ATTTCTCTTCTGTCGCCATCAGAATATTGATTCTTCTCCGTGACAAACTGATCTGATCGGCTAGGGTCTTATGTATCAAAATCCGATTCGGTCTTAGTTAGGGTTTTTCTAGAGGCGGCGTCTTAGTCTATCTCCTTCTCGTCGCCTGATAATTGATGATGATGATAATTTGTCTTTTATGGCGATTTCTTATAATCGTGGAAGGTGCGGGGAAAGGAAGAAGAAGGTTTCCATATAATCGTGGAAGGTGCGGATTTCTAAGGGGAACCACAGTTCTCGAAACTTCAACCTTACCAAAACCAGCATCCGTTTGTTTCTTAATGGTGTGGTCTTTGTATACAGATTTTATCGCCGGCTGTCACGCTGTCGGGATGCTGTATTCACCCTCATAGATTCGCTTGGGATCAATTCAAGTGACGAGAAACGCAGAACCAGCTCACTGACCAGATTAACATGTTGAACCATCACATATTTGAATGCTTCATTGATATAATTAATCCCTCTCCCCTCCCTAGTTACTATAGCTCGGAGTTATAAAATCAACTATGCTATTTATATACTCCTACGTAGTAGTTTCGTTTGTTTCTTAACTTCAGCAGCATCAGTACCTGCGTACTATATTTTTAACCCAAGTCCCAAATAATAAGAATTGTGGTTTTTGCATTGTCCACATATGAGAGAGATTGCTCGAAACTTATAACAAACATGGGTGAATGCTAAATCTAATTACCTTTATCATCTCAGTAATTACTCACCCATATATTCTCTCCATTAGGGACTCCATACAATTTGCACTAATTAACAACTTCAAAATGTGCAGTGAACAAAACCTATTTCCAAGCTGATTTAAAGCTCACATATATGTATTAATTCGTACCCAATAGCGTCCGTTTGGTTTTGGCAAATTATTACTTGTTCACTCCAAACTGTTGTAGGGCGGAAAATCAAGATTTTAACCCAACCTCAAAAGTACAAATTATTACTTGTTCACTCCAAACTGTTGTAGGGCGGAAAATCAAGATTTTAACCCAATCTCAAAAGTACTGATGTCATGGAAAATCTTTTTCCATGCATATTTATTTTCTAAAAACTACTTCATTTGTTCCATTTTAAGTGTTTGTGTAGAAATCAAGAACAGCCAAAACAGTACGTGAACAAAGCACTACTGACTAAATCAATTAAAGAAGTAAACAAGCCAATTTGATCAAAGAAACCATACTGCCCACCCTTTATTAATCAAAAACCAAGAAGTAAATAGAGGCGGCCACCGTGCAGCACTACAACCCCAAAAGCACACACACGAGCACACCACATACAAAAACACAACCCTAACCTCTTATATTTATAAGCTAGCTATTTCCTAAACCTCAAACAAGATAGGAAATTACAAAAACACCCACAACCTAATCCTAATAGGAAATAGACTTAGTTTATTTTTCAACAGTTTGTCCATATCGCTAACTTCTTACATTGGTAACTGCTACCACCATGAAAAACAATATGATTCAAACAACAACATCAAATATCACTACAACATGGCTCCGATACCACTTGTTCAGTAGCATATTCTCGTAATACACTTTCATCTCTGATTACCTAATAGTAACACAAATAATAATATCACGGGAAAGAAATAAAATACTTCGAACAAAGAGTCACGCAATTTAGGTAACAAACACACCAAATCACAAGTTAAAGTTAATGTGAAAATGATTATCCAGTTTGAATTTTTATTTTGATAATATATGATATGTTTGAATATGAACATTAATCTTGACTCGTGATTGACTTTATACGGATTAATCCTAAAAGTTATGCGTAGATCTTCATAATTTAATTCACATCAATCATGGAAATTTTAGTTTTTTGATTTAAATCGAAAACCCTAATGGGCTAATTTTTATCAATATCGAAAACTTGACAAAGGCAATGTTATCAAGCTCGGACCAGAGCTCGACTCGGCATGGTGAGGGGGTCGAGTGACTCAGGAGGTCGACTCGGGGTGAATCGAGGGGTCAACTCGGATGATTTCATAATAACGTAATAAATAATAAATAATTATATTTTAATTAAAATTATATATATATATATTTATCATTTATGAAAGTCAAATTAGTAATTTATTGGACAAAATTGAACTTGGAAGGTCGATTAAGATGATGTAATTATTACTAAATAAACAATATTTAGTTATTTAATACATTTAAAATAAAAAAAATTAAACTTTATAATTCTCTTCTATTGTAATAATTGATATTTATATTTTCGTATTAGTTAATTATAATTTTTATAAAGTAATAAGTATATTAATAAGGTTATTAAGATGAATAATTATTACCAAAAAAAATAGATTTTGCAAGATAATGAACTTTAAACATTAAGAATGAAATCAATTTTGATATATTAACGTTATAGTTCAAATTGGGCTTAAGGCGTACAAAGTTTGTTATGCGACAAAAAAAAATAGTGCTTTAAGTAGTTAAAATTAAAAAATTGGGGACTAAGAAATCAAATCAATACTTTGAACAAAACAAATACTGAAAGTTAGGGGCCAATTGTGAACAAAAGCAAAAATTGGCTTTGGAATGAGAAAAATTCTAGCAGAAAGTAAAAATCTTCAAAATTCGGTCCGATCCAAGTTTACCCGATTTTCGGTTCGACCGGAATTTTTTACCGGTTTTGATTGATTCTAAAACAAAAGATTTTCTGACCTGCTCGGCTCGGCTTGGACTTTGGTTCCCGGTTAAATCGGTTCAACCGACTGGTCCGAGCCGAACATGACAACACTGGACAAAGGCAGTGCTTAAGACTTACATTGTTCAAAATAGAAACCGTTTGACAAAGACAAGACAGCCATTGTACAATGAATTAGGTATTTACTGGTTTGTTTTAAACTGACGATCTTTTTCTCGCGTCGCCATTAGAAACTAAGATTCCAATGACCCAAATAGAGATTTAAACACCTTTTACCCTGTCAACGTGATTCGTTTTTTTTTTGTATCACAGATCTTGGACTGCCCTTTGTGGGCAATTTTTATGAGTTCCAAAACTAGTGAGTGATTTACAGGCTATGAGAGATGAAGAACCTCTGAAATTGTTTATGAAAGATGAATCGATGGCAAAGCTAAGAATCAAACCAATCTGTATCAAATAACCAGATAACCACATGTATTGCAAAACCAAAAGAACCGGTCAACCAGCATAATTGGTTAACCAAATACTATAACCAATGGAAATAGTAACTTAATCAACCAACCGATTAACCCAGTAACCTGTGTACCAGCTAACCAGTGCATCGGCAGACCCCCTAGCCGGAAAACCGGCAGATTATTCCGATGCACGATGACCTTCCGACAGTAGATCCAGGTGGATGTATGTCGGGGTGCATCAGATCCGGAGATGGGGGTGGTTCGCTTCGGTGAACGTCGTCCGGTGCTGCTGCGTTGACCTCCACTATCGTTGCGTTCTTTCTCCATTGCACGGTGACCCTTCGGTAGTAGATCCAGGTGTAAGTACGCCGGGGTACATCAGATCCGGAGATTCATGTCGGTTAGAGCTGTGAAGTCAGATCTATGGATCTCCGGCAACAGTCAGCATTTTGTTGATGAAGCAACTGTTATTTCAGAGCAAATTAGAAGAGTTACGGCTAGAGCATCAATCGCTTTTTAGTAACACAGATCTATTTAGTTTGAGTGCTGCATCGATAAAACAATGAAACAACGAAAAAAAAGGCTTAAAATTTTGAAAAGGTTAAGAAAAAAAAAGGGGTTTAGCTCCTCCAACTACCGTTAATGGTGATTGGGGGAGGAAGAAGACATATTTTTGGGCTGTTGTTGCAAATTTCCCTTACATAATTTTTCCCTCACGACTATCTAGATCTATATTTTATCCATAGAGGAGTACTTCATCAATAGATGCATTTTGTGGTACCTTAAAAGTATAAAAAAGAGAACTACTTGATCACTTTTTGTTAAGATTTTTTTTTTCTTTTTTTTTTAAAAAAATAGACAGCTATTCATCATTTTGTAAATGTGTTTTCCGCAACAACCGGCCGTCGAGTTTTGATTGATGATTATAGAGACGAAATACCTTTTCACAACATGGCACAAATCGGAAAAACGTAGACACAACAGGAAGTCCACATTCCCGGTAGGGTAAGCCATTCTTGAACGGTGGTTAAAACTTAAAAATCGTTGTTGACCCTCTGATGCGAAAACAGAATCGATGGTGTACATTTGAAATTGATTAAGGTAGCCCATAATCATTCATTAATTTCTAAGAAAACCATAATGCATAATTGTCTCCATAAATTGATCAGTTCAATCATATGAGCTTATTCATATTCTGGCCACTTGGCATGCTTATACTTTTGTATCACTTGTGTTTCTTTGTATAGTGATCTCTTTTGTAGTAGTTTTGTAGTATTATAGATGACTAATCGTGAGATCGATCGCTTTTTTCTTTTAAATTTCATGATTTCAAATTAAGGCCACAACAATTTTAAGTATTTTTAGCACAACATCGCATTTAGTTCATGGTCAAAAAAGTAATTCTAGCTACATTGATAAACCGCGTAAATTACATAAATGTTTCAGTTTAATAATATGGCCAAACGGTACACAAAAACTTTGTATACACCTGCACTTAATAATGTGAAAGAAAATGGAGGTGGAGAGGAGAGGGGGAACCTAGGATACCTAAATCAGTCATATGCTCCATGGAGCCTTTTAATTAGCCTACAGGTATTCAACCAAGATATCATATACTCCATCCGTCCCAAAAAAATAGTCCATATCGAGTTTTGAATTTTACTTTGTTTTCATTACAAATTTAAAAATTTAATTTGAATTATTTTTTAGGATAGAGGTAGTATAACTGAAAGTGAAATCCTTTGTTTCTCAGCCAATATGATGATTAATTACACGCCTATTATGAAAGTTTTGATTTCAAGTTTCTTTCTTTATTTCCCCCGCATCCTCAATAAATTGTTATATGCATACTCACAAAAACAAAGGGAGGGTGGGGAGCTGTTCTCCTTCATCAATTTGCATGTCTTGCAGGCTACCTTGATCCTGCTGTTCCGAGTATTGAGAAGATAATAATGGAAACCCGATTCTGAGATCGAGATTAAGTTCACAGCGGCAAGACGATGTTTCATCTGCAAGACTACTCCCAGCATCTGATAGTACTTGTTCTTGATCTGCACCATCACTCTTAACTTTATCCAAAGTTTTTGTTGCCAGAGTGTTCACTTTGGTCCCTAAACATTTTGAACCTGCAGGAGGATTGGATATTGAGTTTGGCTGAGGTAATTCTCTAACACCAGTACTTTGATTTTCAAGAGGAGGAGGATGATGATGGTGCAGGGTGTGAGTTTGATGCAACCGATGATTTTGAGGATCAATTCCCATGCTGACAAGTTTTCTCCTGATATGTGTGTTCCAATAGTTCTTTACTTCATTATCCGTTCTTCCAGGCAATCTTCCAGCTATCAATGACCACCTGATGAATCACTCCAAGTTTTATTCAACAGGGCCATTTTAAGTTACAGCATATTTTTTTTTGCATGCATGAAATATGGAAAGGTTGAAAACAACAGAATATACAAAATTTAAAGGGACAGTTGAAAGTGATGAAAAGGTGGTGGGGGTACCGATTGCCTAAGAGGGCATGAAGCTTGATAATGAGATCTTCTTCGTCTTCAGCGAAATGACCCCTTTTGATATCTGGACGTAAGTAATTTATCCATCTCAGTCTGCAACTTTTCCCACATCGGCGTAATCCTATACGCGGGAATATCTTCAGGGAAAGTGTCGAGTATACATAGGATCCAGAGCCACAAAAATGTACATTTTGATACGATAAATACGCGAACGAAAATTGGATAAAAATAACACAAACCTGCCTGTTTGGGCAAGTCGCTCCAACAACCTTCTCCATGAGTTCGGATGTAATCCACGAGCTTTTGATCTTCTTGCTCAGTCCAAGCTCCCTTGTTGGTGAGTTTTTTATCACAGCAAGGCTTCCTCATTTCCTCAGGATTCTTTTGCAGTTTGCCAATGTCTGAGATGGCAATAGTGTAAGCAACAGCGAGCTAGACAAGTGAAAAGGGAAGGGGGACAAATTTATGGAAGATCGGGAATGGAGGCTGTGGTACGTGTCTCTGCAGGTTCACGTGGAGAACTCCCAGAAAGCAAAGGGCTCCGTAGATATTCCTAATATTGATTCTGGTGTCTGGTCGGGTTCACGCGGCGAAAATTGACTGACTAGCCAGACGTGATTCACAATATTTGACTGGTGGTTTGGGCTGTTTGGAGTTTGGACTGTTTGTATAGGGTCAAATACGTGCAAAAGGCAGTAGCTTAATGTACGTGTAATCCAAATCTAACAAGATGGGCATGATATCAGGTTAAGTGTGACATGTACCCGTTCACCCAGCTTAAATGAGTTCAATCTTGGTTCTTTTAATAGGAAAATGAATCTTGTAGTTTATATTCTTGTACATCAATGACATTCGTATATACAAGATCGTACATCCATAATGCAGAAGTCACTCGTAATTGTAACTTGAACAGGTCATCGACCGTGTTTTAGTCATCTCATTCTCAACTAATCTAATATTCTTTGGTACACATACTAAATTAGGTACTACTACTATTTGCAAGCCAAAATGCAACATGTTAAGGAGAAGAAACGTTGTTGGTTGTGTTTCTATTGTTAGCCGTGAGCCATATCTACCAGTAAATGAAAATAGTTTCGATAGAGGTGGGGTGCAAAGGATGAAAATCCCATCCAAACACGAACAACAGTAGTCAACCCTAAACTGCAAACTGATCACGGGAGAAGAAAAGTAGAGGAAGATGCAAATAGTTGGACATTAGGCTCTAGCCTATTTGAGTAGGAGTAAAATGACCTTCAAGTTGAAAAAGTAGTGCACAGGAACTTCCAACCAGTTTGTCCTCTTATAACCGTTAAGTACATGTCACTTCCTTTGACTTCCTCACAAAACACCTACTTATCTTACCAAATTTTACTTTGGGATCTCATCTGTAGCTACTTATGGAGTATGTACGTACTAGCTAGGCTTCTCCCTGTGTGTCTCTCACCTAACTCTTAACCAAATATTTGGAAATTTAGAAATCTAACATTTACAAAAATCTAGAGGAAAATAAGCAAGTTAGGGAGATTCTAAATTTGGTAAGTTAACTAACAGCCCTCAATTAGGTCTATAACTGAATAGGGGTTAAAACTAATGGATCTGCCACTGCCAAAAAAACTTTCTAGTCCTCGAATCTGTCAGTAATTAGTCCTCATCCAGTTTCTGGGAAAAAAATTAATAATAATACAAAGTAATAAACTGACATGCAGATGCACTGACAACAACAGGTTTATAGTGTAACCATTTACTCACAACAGATTTACAATAGCTTAGTGAACTACTCCACTAATCAGTAAGATGTCAAGGTACAAGAACAATCTCACCTTTGATATTAAAGTCACCAATTTCTAATTTTAGGTAAGAGAAAGATACAGAACAGAGTCCAAACTTTCAATCCTTTCTTAGGTATTGGTGGATGGCTAAGACATCTGCAATTTTTGCAAAACTGCACACTCGTTGCTGCTTTTTCGATTTCCAAGACCATTTGTTCTACACCGAAATTCGAAAGCAAATAATAACCTAGCCAACCACCAGCACCCTGCCATGTTTCAGAGAGGCCCTGAACCTCCAAGGAAATGTTCTTATTCCTCCATCACGCTTGCAGAAAGTAACAGAAACAAGGGCATGCGTATACAAACAACAATATTTTTAAAAAGTAGCTCATCATATTTAGGATAAAAATCAAGGCAAAGTGCCACATTATCAATAATGATTAACTACCCTTAAGCTTCTGCTTAATCTGTCCAATAGTCAGATTTGGATATCTTTCCTCCAGAACACTTGCTTTCAATTCACTTAGTTGAATTCAAATGTGACTGCAAATGCAGTATCCCTCCTAGTGCGTAGGGCAAACAACATAGACCCAAACCACGAGAGATTTTCTTTCATAGTTGGAGGGGGGAGGAAAAAAAGGGAAGAAAAGAAAGTAAAATCACATGAGAAAGTATTGTCATTTTCTCACCTGTTTATAATGAAAGAAAAAAACCCATTGCAAATTGCAATCTCTGACCCCTAGTTTGAACAGCGGGTGATTGCCAATCAGTACAATGCAGCTCTTCTTCAATGATCCATTCAGACTTTTTACAATTTAAAACTGCAACCAATATAGTATAGAACCAGATTTCAGAACTCATAACCAACTTTATTTGGAGCAATAATAGTCACCCAGCACCATGAATGGCTATGAACCTCAAAAGAAGCATAATCTTAAAGTGCATTTACCGTATTACTACAACTTGAAAGCTGTAATTAAATACAATGGTTGACATCCATCTACACTTTAGACGACATGACAGAAGAGTGATCCTTTCTTTTAGAACTTCATGCAGCCTGTCCAATTTGTCCAGTCATTGCATGGCAAATGAAACACAGTAAAAATCTGAACCACTTGATGTTAAATTTGAAATGACATGCAAAAGAAAGGGGAAAGAAGGTATTCCAAATTTGGGAAAACCAACTTGATAGAAAAACAATTGAATTATTGATGAAACAATATCCACATTACAAATGTTGAAGTATGTCCACCTTGAAATGCTGCAACTTTGGGGTTTATAGTTTGTGGTTAATGGATAAATGCCAGAATCAAAATGATTTTTCTAATGCCCACAAGATCATCATTTCCATGATCTTGCTAAAGCTAAATCACATCACCAGACAAGAAATTGGCAATATCATCACATAACTTCACCATAGGAAGAAATAATTTTTCCAAGAACATGTTCTTTACCCAAAATAACATATAAAAATCTAGGACATCTGTTAAAAGGATGAGTTGAGTAATTCATACCTGCAGTCATACTTCACATGGTGATCATTAGAGATTAATTTCCTTAGATTTTCTGTTAACCACAATAGTTCTTTCTTTGAAGTACCGAACTTTTCTATCAAAATCTAGTAAAACTGTTATCTGCAGCAAGGAACTTCACCATTTACAGTTTTTCAGGGTGACTCCTATCTTGCAAAATATACACGACCATATGTTGATACATTTCCTAGTCTACAAATCCTATCCATGAAAGCACTTCCCCCTGATATATATATACTAGGGGTCAAGGAACTTCTTCCTCAGCAATATGGCCAAAGCATATTAACTTACAACAACGAGACAACAATTCAAACAAAACTCTAAAAGTCAGTTTAGGTACTTTAAAGATTGACATTTTCCATTACCAGGTTATATCTGCAGAAACACTAGTATAATATGCTATTAAACTTGGCACTATATTCTTATGGTCATCAAAGAATCAACATGTACAAATGAAAAGCATTACTACAGTACACAGTTTATATGAAAGTATACTTGACACAAAATGTTGCTCATTTGAGAGATATGAATGCGGGGCAAATTACAGAAATTCAGAAGGTGAACTAGCATCAGGCTTCACTCCATCACCTAACCCTCCAGGATGCTGCAAATTCTGCAAAACCTGTGGAGGCAAAGTTCCCAAACCACCACCTAATCCATCATTAGGTGCCCCAAAAAATTGGCACATTAGCCTAGCAACGACTCCTAAGATCTGCAGCTGGTTCTGGCAAGCATCAGCATGCATTTGAATCATCTGTTTTTCATGCTCAATTTGCATTCCCACCATCTTCTCCCTCCATTCCATTTTCTCTTCCTCCCACCTCTCCTCCATTTTCATCCTTTTCCTCCGCTCCTCATCAATTTCCCTCTCTAACCTTGCCCTTCTGTCCATTTCTCTCCTAGCCCACATAATTTGCCTCTCCTCCAAATTTGTTTCCCCGGTCTCCACATCTTCATTCCTCTCAAAATTTCTCCTCTCCCTCTTCCTCTGCTCCCTCTCAATCATGTCTTCCTCTCTGTTACACTCCCTTTCCCTCCTCTTATCCTCCCTTCTCAATAGCGCATCCCTCAACTCCAACACTTGAGCGCTAACCCTCCTAAAGCTTTTCCCATCAAAACCCTTCTTCCATTTCTTCCCTCGGTTAAAATCCAAATCATCAATCTCATCCCTTTCCCCCCTTAATTCACCATCACTGACACCAACATCCACGTCCTCACCAAACCCTCCCTCGTCTTCATCTTCCTCCCCATCCATTCCTTCACTGTCAATTCCAAAATCCAAACCCAAAACATCCTCATCCCCTAAGAACTCCGCAGCCCCTTCTTCATCATCCCCAAAATCCCCCAGGTAAGGAGCCTCCTGCATCAAACTAGCCCTTTTATTATTAACATTAGTACTATTACCGTTGGCCTTCACTTCCAGTTCGACATCTCCAAAAACTTCTTTGTACTTCAAGAAGTTCTCCCAGTGATTCTGACCGTCGTTCCAATCGAACTCGTTGTCAGAGATCCTAATCTTCTGCTTGACGCCCAAGTACTGGTGCCGCATATTCTGAACCTTAATGGAGACATCCCTCCAAGACCACTTGAAGGGGAAGTTGATGGGGTCCTGAAGGTGGTGAACGGAGTTGACATGATCGGCGATGGGCTTGAACTTTTTCTCCCGGGTCTTGAGCTTAGATAAAGTCCCGGAATTGAGCAGCTCGGAGTATTTGGTGAGAAGGGTCTGCTCTTCGAGCTCCGACCACTTCTTGCGCTTCATCATATCATATGGGACTCAGACTGAAAAAAAAGCTGCCAAATTTGGTGTCGGATTTTTTGGCAGTGGAAATTGACGACGGAGGGAGATTCCCTAAATTTGGGGAACCAGGGTCCGAAGCCCAAATGCTCCTCTACTGTGCAGTCCACGGGGTTGTGATGGCCGTAAAGAAAGCGTGGTTTCATATCCTGCTTTAATTTCACGCCTTTATTAATTAAAATGAACGAAATAAAATAAAACTGTAAATATATTAGAGAGGCGGCAAAAAGCCAGAACTTTCCGGAATTCGCCTACTTCGGAGTTTCGACTTTCACCAACGGAACTTACAAATCGACGATAACAAGTTCAATCGGTAGGGAGGAAAAGCCCTAAAATTATCAATTGGAATGGCGGCCGGAATAGACCCGGAGACGGCGACGGAGCTGGTGAAGCGTGGCGCTACTCTTCTCCTTCTCGACGTTCCACAATACACACTCATTGGTGTGGATACTCAGGTACTATTCTAATTACTGATACTCTGGTTTAATTCTAGCTTGTAGTGACATGAATGACGAAGAAATGTAATTTGGATTCAATCTGCAGATGTTTTCTACGGGGCCTAATTTTATGGGTATCAAGATGGTTCCCCCTGGTATTCACTTTGTTTACTATAGCTCATCTAACAGGTTAGTTTTCTTTTTTTTCCTTGAGTTGTCTTCGATTTAAGCTAATCCATTATGGCAGAATTTGAACCGATTTCGTTTCTTCTCTTTGTGGCCACCTGTTTTGCTTCATTTGCAGGGAAGGCAGTGATTTCTCACCAATTGTGGGATTTTTCGTGGAGGCCAAGCCCTCTCAGGTATCAAACTAACCAAATTCTCTTTTTTTTACTTCGTCAATGATATTGATGGACATTATTGATTTGCAAACTTGTTACATTTTTTTTTTTATTCGGGCAGCGGTGATGGTTTAGTTTCACAGCGTTTTTCTTAATGGTTTTCCTTAAATACTGTGTCTATCTTTTCATCGAAGTTAAAAGGGCTCATCTCTTTTGTATTTGAATGGCTTTTCAGGTGATCATTCGGAGATGGAACCAAAATGAGGAGCGGTTTGTGAAACTGTCCGATGAAGAGGTCAGTCATTAACCAGATGAATCATTTTCCTCTTAGTGATGGAAATTTAGTTATCACCTTAGTGGTGCTGCCTCGTGTTTGTCCCAACAGACTTGTCTTTTGAGATCTTATGGAATAAGGGTAATTCATGAAAATTAAGGACATTATATATAAGCAACAAATCCTTAGCCCTCTTTTGGGTAATGATTGCTGTTGCATGGACATACTGATCAAAAGAAAGAAACGCTTTTTCCTTCCGATTGTTAACTACATAGCCGTGTGATTATTCAGATGTAACAATTGACTGTGTTTACACAGGAGGAGAGATATGCAGAGGCAGTGAAAAGGATGGAGTTTGACGGGAAATTGGGTCCTTATGACCTTGCTGCTTATGGAGATTGGAAGCGATTATCCAATTATATTACTAAAGACACCATTGATCGCATTGGTACGCACTTCACTGAAGTGTCAAAACAACTTGTGTTGTATTTTTAAGTTTTGATTCGTCGGAGTGTTTTATAGTCAACAGTACTAAGAAATAGATGGAACATGAATTTTAGTATAGCATTATAATCCTTAATGGGGTAGCCTTAACTCTATCTTTGAGTACAGCTCTTCTTTTTTTTTCTTTTTTTTTCTTTTTGTTCCTTTTTCTGTAAGTTTATGTGATTTGGGTTTTATCATCTCAAATCAATTTCCACATTCAATCACTGCAAACATGCAGGGAAATATGAAACATTTATCATTATACTTTTTGCACAGAAGACACAAATCTGTCTTTGTTTTCTGAACTGTTTGTTTCTGGCTTTAAATGGTTTTCTAACGCGCAGAGCCTATTGGTGGAGAAATTACGGTTGCATCTGAAGCTGACATATTTGGAGGCAATTCTAAGACAACGATGGAGAAAGCTTTAGATGAGCAATTAAAGGGTGGAAAGTTCTCAAAGAAAGGTGAAAGTTCTCAGAAGAAAAGCTGTTATTACACCAAAATTCCTCGAGTTATCAAGCATACGGGAATTAGAGGACAGGAATTAACTGGTTTGAATCTTGACAAGGTACGATAGCCTGCAACATTATATGAGCACAAGCATAGGTTGTTCTGGGTATTTTTATCTTCTTACTGATATAGTAAGGTTTATTTCTGTGTAATCAGACTCAACTGTTGGAGAACCTATTGATTAATGAATATGGTGGTGTAGAAGATTTGCTTCTAGCAGAGCTGCAGTTTGCTTTTATTGCTTTCCTGGTATGATTTAGTACTGTTTCTTCTGTCGCTTTTGTTTATTATTCTCTCCAGGTAACTGAAGTCAGTAGATTGACCTTTTGAATTGTGAATATGCAGATGGCACAATCACTTGAAGCATTTCTGCAATGGAAGAGCTTAGTTAGCCTCTTATTTGGATGTACTGAAGCTGTAAGTCACAAGTTTTTATAAATAAGCAGTTATGACCTTCCCAGGAGGGTTATTATTGGTCTGTTACTGCTCTACCAATTCCACAACTAATTACAACCTTTAGCATGCTATGGGTGCTTTCTCAAAACGGATGCCCTGACTATAGAGAAGACTAATCTGCTAAAAACAAAGACCTGTGCTTCAATTACTCTGTATCAGTGCTTATTCAATTGCTCTAATTGCTTGAGAGCTATAGGCAATTCGATTCCTCGCAATAAAATGTAGGCTTTGAACTTTACGATGTCATAGTTTTCATTTTCTTTGGTGTGTTTTTGCAGCCGCTGCATACCAGGAGTCAGCTTTTCACCAAGGTAATATGTTTGTTGCTTCAGAAGCTTCGAATATTTATTATTGAATATTTGCAATTATGTGTAGTTGAAACATTTGGAATTGGAAGGGCTAATTTATTCCACCATCGCTGTGATTTCAATGGGATCTGTGATTCTTATTTTCTGTCTGCAAATCCATTTTTAATGGCTCTCTTTAGCTTGCTTGCAATCTGCAATTTGATGTATGATTACCCTTTCAAAATATAAGTCACTTTAGACTGCACGTAAACTAAGGAGACAATTATTTACCAATTAATTTGTGTATCAAATATCTATTTTACCCATCATTAATTGTTTTGGAACTATAACCAAGACTAGATGAAATTTGGATAGTGTCATTTATTGGGGTCAAAGTTGGAAAGTTAATCATTAATTTGCCTTGAAATCCTAAAACGACCTATATTTTGAAATAATTCTCTAAACCTAAAACGACCTATAATTTGAAATGGAGGGATTATTGAGCTTGCTGTTTGTATGTATCGCATGCTGACAAATAGCCTGCTGTCTGTTGGCAGTTTAATAGAGTTGTCTATTATCAGTTGAAATTCGGATTTCAGAAGGACCAGCAGCATAACTCTGTCTCACAACAAGGGGCTTTGCCTTTATTGGATGAATCTTTCTTGTCTGCTGATAGCTTTCTACACCACCTTTGCAAGGTCTGCTCTCCCTCTCACTCACATATATTAGCTTTTCATTCGTGCTCCATGTCAGCTGTGAATAAGGATCATTTATGTTCGATTAATCTCTTTAGAAGAATAATTTTTTGGTGAAACGGCATCAACAAGAATGAATTTTTATCCTACTAGCATTATGAGCAGCAGAATAGAAATTTCAATTGACTACAGCTACATGTTATGGCCATTTCTAACTACACATTCCTGCTATTGTGTGAGTGGTTAAAGCAAGTGCGACTCTGAAATGGATCTATTTTCCTGTCCTTGACTAGGAAAATATGAGCTTGATGATATAACTTCTTATTCTGTGATAAAATTTTGGTAAACAGAGCATGCACAAGTGAAGTTATGATTTTCCTAGCTCCAAATAGCAAACGTCAATAACGAATCCTGGATTTTCACAGACTATTTACTGATGCAGGATTTCTTTTCCCTGGTGCTGGAAGCCTCGGTGATAGATGGAGACCTTCTGTCTTGGGTTAGTGTTATTTTTTCTTTGCTTTTTGCATTTTGACTCGGGAGATGCATGTTTGGCCACTAGCATGTCACTCATGTTGAGTGCTGAAATCATAACAAGCAAGTAAACAATTGTGCATTTATGATGTAGCATAACATTATTTCAAGTAATTGGATTGACTGAAAGCAAATTAGAATGGGAACTCTTGTACATGCATCAAGTTTATGATGAATTATTAACATGTGTGATTGGATGATGACATCTTGGACACGATACTCTATACATTAATGATTTGAGCACTAACTCCTCGCCTTTTCGATTCTAGACCAGAAATCTTAAACAATTGCTTGAGGATTCTCTGGGATGGGACTTCCAGGAGAAAAGTGCAGTCGATGGAATGTTCTTCGAAGATGACGATGAGGTCTGTGCTGTTAAATAATTCTATATTCTGAGTACATATAGTAACTTACCCTCATCTTGTAGTTTTCCTATCTACTGATTGGTTCCCTCTGCTTTTTTCAGTATGCTCCAGTTGTTGTTGAGATGCTTGACGAGCCAATTCACGATGGTGCTTAGGCATTAAAGGCCGCTAACTGCATACTTCCGATTACCCTAGAAACATCATCAAATGAGAGATCAGTAGACTTTCAATATGGATTGGACAGCGGTCCAATTACCCTATAAACACCATCAGAAGAGAGACCAGGATACTTACGCAGCAGGTAGCAGTCATCAGCTCACCAGATTGTTAACTACGAAAGCTGATCATCCTAGATCACTGGATAGTCATCCTCCATAACTCCATTTGTGAGGATCTTGAGAAGGTTGCTTCAGAGTTAGGCCTGTAAATTTCAACGCGTTGAGACACTAGGAATAGCGTACTAGTACATCTTTACCAGAGCTAATGTAATCATAGTAGGGATAGACTGATATGAGGTCAACCACTAAATCACAGACCATATCGAGTTGGGTATCATGTTAGCATGATGTTGAGTTCCTCTCATCTGTTGCATGAACTAGTAGTACTTTATTGATTTCCATCTGCATCTTTCCTCGAACATCCGCAAATTTAATAATTTCAAATCATTGTAACAAAAAATTACTATCAAATCATTCGACCTGATAGATTTTAATTACATAGAAATTTAATGTCAAAAAAAATAAAATAATGCACAATGAAGGAAATGAGTTTAGCAAAGGAGAGTTGAAAATGCCTCTCAAGTTTTAGCTTTTAAAAGGATGGACAAAGAAAGAGTCATCAAAACCCCAAAACATAAGCCGAAAAACGCCAACCGGTAACCTGGTAGCGAAACTCCGGGTAATCCAGTTAACTCTGCGCCAACGCTTCCCTTTTTGCGAGAAATGGCTCGGCGGCTTTATTCCCGCGTTTCCCTCCTTCCGTCACTTTTCAAAACCATACCGGCAACCCAACAGAATTTGCCTCTCAATCGCTTCCAGTTCATTTCCGCTGACGCTGTCAATTGCCGTGATATTCCATCTGGTTGCCTTTATTCCCCGTTACATTTCCAATTTCAAGGTACTTAACACCTCTGTATGTATCACAACTTCTTGTGGTTTGGCTCTTGGTGTAATACTATGTTTAAATCAGCTTCATGACGCACTTTTCCCTTTAAAGTTCTTGAGTTGTTTGTGTGGTGCGCTGAACCAAGCTCCTATTGTGCCTCATCTGTTTGTGAAAATTACTCTGTGACAGTTTTCTCTGTTGGCCATTTTTAGTTTTATTGTTTCCCTCTAAAATAGTAAAAAAATTATGTAATCTTTGTTCTTTTGCAGCATCAAGATTCTATGCTCGCAAGAGAGCTCCAAGTTATGATCTTTTTGGCGGGAAAGTCCCGGATTCCAAGGAATTTAGAAAAACATGGGCTAAGCAAATGGAGGAAGAAGAGGATTGCCTGTGGACAGCAAGCGAAAGTGATGACAATGACAATGAGAATAACAGTGACTACAATCGTCTCAAGAAAGATATAAGGAAGGCAAAGCAACGGGCAAAACAGCATTCTGATCGCATTGATGCTGACGACAGTGATGAATTGTGGAGTGTGTTCTCTGGTGATGAGGAGAAAACACTTTGGACTGGTAGTGAGGGAGATGATGATTACGATATTCCAACAGATCCTTACCCCAATGAGAAGAGCGATCCTTATATTGATAGGTTGTTTGAATTTGAAGAGAAACCCAAGTATCGAACACTTGCCGAGGCAATGAAAGAAGAGCCAGAATTCGAAGAATTATCCCCTGGAAAACAAGCACGGAAGCTTGCAGTCCAGAATGCATTGAAAAAACTAAAGAAAGGACCAGATGGGAGGTATACTAATGTTTGGGAGGTGATGAGTGATTTGGACATTCTGATAGGAGCATTTGAGAATATTGTTTCAGGGCCAGAATATGAGGAACTCAGACAGGGTGGACCCAAGAAATTGAACATGGAGTTCTTTAAGGATATTCAGGCGAAAATGAGGGACCCAAACTACAATTGGTCGCCAGAGTTGAAGTTGAAACCAAAAGGCAAGTTTGTACCCAGAAAGAAGTTTCAGAAGGCTGAGTCTAGACGTAGGAAGGCGCGGAAGCGCTAGTTATTCTCCATGATATATAGATAGAAACGCATCCTGTAAATTAAATTCCTCAAATTTGAGTCCACGGGCTTCTGTGTCCTCAAGCCTTGTGTTTTTGAAACAGAGACAGTTCACTTGCTGTTTAATCAATTGAATTTGGAGAGTATCTGCAACCATAAGAGTTGACACATTTTAGCCTTTTTAGTCTATGTATCTGACGCGCTTTATGCTTTAGCTGAGGTGCGGGGTTCAAATTTGCATTGCATTCCATTGTTTGAAGTTGTTTTAAAGGATGCATCTGTAGGGTAGAATTGTCTGCTAAGTAAGGTTATAGATTGTTTATTGACTAAACTACCAAACACGTCTGGTACATTTGGATAAAAATACATTTTTGTCTTGTATATTTAAAAATGGAGATTTTTGTCCCATGATCTGAATTTCACAACTTTTCATCTCCCAAATCAGTATTCCGTCAAAGAACGAGGTGCGCAGTTTTTCTCTTATTAAGAAACTAGATGTTTGCCCGGGGCGAATGTCCGGAGTGACGCCTTTACTTTTAAATCGATTAAATAAAAAAACAAATCATCTTTAAAAGAATAAAAAACAAAAAAACAAAAAATCGATTAAAAGGACAATAATTGAGTTACTACACATAAACCTATGCCGGGGTTTACAACAGTTAATTTACAACAATTAACTTATACCCAGATTTACACAACTCATAAACCAATATCTACAACAAAAGAATAAAAAAACAAATCATCTTTAAAAAATCAAATTTTCTTCCATGACCGATTCTTTTTCCTCTATTGTAGAAAAAGATGAATTGATAAATGATGTCAGATTTTAAGTAGTTGATTTGAAAGCCTCGGTGTGAGAGAGGAGCGAAATGGAAAAGATCATTTTAGATTGGGTGGCAGTGTTGTTTCACTTGATTTAAGGAAATTTTCTGACATTTGATTTTATTAACTCAATATTATTATTTTAAGAGATTACTATATACCTATAATTAATGGATTTTTATGTAGTTATAATTAAGGAATTTATTTATTTATTTATTTCATCCTTTTTTTCTGGTTAGTTAGAGTGTCACATGTCAAAAATGATTTTGTACTGAAAATAACTTTTGACGGGAAAATTTTCATTGTGTTGATGACACATGTCCTTTTTGTTTACTGCTTTAATTAAGTACTATAGATATAAAATTATAATTAAATAATAATCAAATGAATTTAAAATATTTTTGAATTCAAAAAGAAAACCAAAAATAAAAAATAAAAAGGAATATCCCGCCGGTTAGGCTTGCTTGAACCATAAGAGGAATTCATCGCATCCGAACCAATTTAACTCTGCCAAAACAAAGTTTCTAAACTGAGTTAAATCGGTTCCGCCACGGTTTGAATCATGAAGCCGGTGGTTTCGGCTGAATCAAAGCGTTTATATAACACACACCACGCACATATTAAGTCAGAATTTATCCAATAGGAATGTGTCGAACATATTTATAGGATGAAAAGTATCCTAACAAATTTATCTTTTAAATGTAACAACAAAGAATCAAAGCATTAGAAAATATTAATTGCACAACAATCAAATTATTTTATTTCTTAGCAGCCGAGACAGGGGCAGTAACAATTTCGATGGACAATTCTTCGTCATCCTTGTTGTCATCTTATACCATTAATCATGTTTCTCAAGTACACGAAACAGGGGTTTTCAAATTGAGTGATGATACATACACGATAAATTTTGAGAGAATTTTAATTAGGAATGATGTGGTTTAATTTAAGTATCTTCTAATCCTTAAATGCATAAAGGTACGATTTAACTATTGACGGTTATGATTCATTTCTTATGTATTTTTCTCAAAAAATTTTCGTACAACAATCATTACTCTTTATAGCAAAACCCTTATAATCTTAATTTTACGAGTTATGATGCATACATGAAAACTTCGATGAAGAAATTTACAAGGAACGGTAATGATTCATTATTGATTAAAAAAATTTCCTTCAAAATTACAACACACATATCATTATCCTAATTTTACATATAGGCAAAAACCCAATATGTTAAATTAATTTTACCTAAAAAGAGAAGAGATACTATCGGGCCTCTTTCTGTTTTTTCATCCAGGGCCGAAGACATCTCAGACCTACCTTGTAAGTTGTAACTATTATGACTTAGTCTGGGTTTGCCTTTATTAAAAAAGAAAAATACTGATTCATTGGATAAATTCTTATTACCTAATCTCTACTATTTTTTTTCAAAAAAAAAAAATACTATAGCTCTTGTTGTTCGTTAAAGCTACTAACGAAGTTATCAAATTACAAACATTTCGATAAATGTTATAATTGACTAAATTATCTACTGGTGTTTTATACGGATTTTAAACCCAAAATCCAATGTGGGTTGCGGCTACAAAGTATTTAAGACTTTTGTATCCATCTGATGAATGAAAGATTGGGCCAACAGGAAATGGTGGCCATTAAAATGAGGGGAGGATTGGACCCAATATGAAACGCGAGCATAGGCAACCAATTTCGCATACCAAGAGTCACGTTGATTTCCGCTAATTTCATCCAAATTCCTTTTTTACCCTTGTTTGTTTTGTGGTATATATATTATTCCATCAGTAAAAGGGGACGTCCTCAGTAGTGAACTTAGCAGTTATCTATCTATATTCTATATACTATATTAAGGCAAAAATCAGAGAGAGAAAACTAAAAGCATGGAGCACATGCCACATAGAATTTAATCATATGTGGCATTTTCTTAATTTCTTAGACTTAAAAATGCACAAAACAAAATAATAAAACAAAAAAAAGTAACTAAAATAATTTTAAAAAAATAAAATAATAAAAACCGAACTCTCATTTTCATGAACCAAATCCTAACACAGTGATTGATTGGAGAGAGTACCAAATCCTAACAAATTTTAGAGAAATCTGCATAAACCTTATCACCAGTGAATTTAAAATGCCATTTAAAAAAAAACAAATTCCTGTAAATCCAGAGATAATCATGTTTAAAACTGAAGTCATTACATATTTTATAAAAATACAAAATTTATGTAAAAATGTCTAAATGTGTATGCCTTCTCCGTCCATGGGACGGGTCTAACACCCAGTATACTATCTATCTATATACTATACTAAGACAAAAACTAAAGAGAGGAAACTAAAGGCATGGAGCACATGCCACATAGGATTTAATCTTATATAGCATTTTCTTAATTTCTTAGACTTAAAAATATACAAAACAAAATAATAAAATAAAAAAAAGTAACTAAAGTAATTTAAAAAAAATAAAATAATAAAAACCGAACCCTTATTTTCATGAATTAAATCCTAACACAGAGATTGATTGGAGAGAGTACCAAATCTTAACAAATTTTAGAGAGATCTACATAAACCTTATCACCAGTGAATTTAAAATGTCATTTAAAAAAAAACAAATTCCTGTAAATCCAGAGGTAATCATGTTTAAAACTGAAGTCATTATACATTTTATAAAAATACAAAATTTATGTAAAAATGTCTAAATGTGTATGTCATGGACGGGTCTAACACCTAGTATACTATAACAGACTACGATATTTACATCATTGTTTGTTCGGTCTTGCATTTCATATTTTGGCTTCCCCAACTTGCTAGGGTTCTTTGACACGTTTCTGTTTTCTCTTCACGATGGCCCCTACTCTTATACAATACTTTTCCTAAAACTATTTTTAGCTGAATCTGTCTGTTATATTGGAAAATAACCATAAATGGCGTTAATTGAATTTAGTCATTATCTTTTCTTTCTCATACGATTTTTCAAGAATTTGTAAAATTATTATTGTGATTATTGTGTGTGGATAACTTTTACCGGCCATAATTGCTGGTGAATTTGATATATATCATAATATTGAGTTGTTTACAATATTCATCATCTTGATTTTCGTAGGAATGATTTTTCACTTTTTATTAATTTTGAAATGAATGGTTCTTTTTTCTAGATAATCAATATCGAGACCATTAAGAGTAGATTGTACGAAATAACATGAAATTTTTGAAGCTTAAGTTGAGTGCGGATCAGGGACAAATTTAGGACTTCATCTCTGTGTGTGCTCAACTATAGTAAAAAATTCTATAAGTTAGTAATCTCATGATCTCTAAAATTTTTTTAGATTATGGATTTATTATTTAATCAATAATTTAAAAATTATTATTTTATTGATAAATAAATAACTTATTAGTTTAGGAAAAAGTTAAAAAATGAACTTTCATTTTATAATAACTAGAAAACGAAGTCGATTTTATAATTTATCAAACATGGGTTTAAGTCAGTTAGAACTTCTTCTTGTTGTTGAGGATTCCGATCTCAGAAACTAGCAATCATTTTCTTATTTGAACCAGGGTTCTCTAGTTTTCAAATCAATATATTGTCTCCACTTGTATTCATCAAGAGATTGAATGAATGTTATTTCCTAGATCATCATGTATATTGTGGACTCAATATTTGGGATTGGATCTGAGGTGTGGGAGAAACAAAAGGAAAAGTACTCTGGAGTTGTCTCAATTTTCATTTATTGAAAGGAAATACATGATAATGTTGATCATCTATTGGTTTTTGCTTTTGAGGTTTCCTTTTTTGTTATGTTTTGTGGCTAGCTGTTAAATTATAATTCCCTTACAATCGAGATAAGCTTTTCGTTGTGTTGTTCCCATGTAAATGTTGGATGACGTATAGACATTCTATATTAAACCAATGTGTTTGTGGCTACAACATGAAGCTTTCACTCTCTCAATATTGTTTACTGCAGACTTGCGATTATTTTGTTTCGAGTCACTCACACTGATTTTGTTGTTTTCTTCTCTAATTGTCTGTTGAGGACTGGATTGAAATGTCCACATCTGAGATCACATGCTAAGATATAATAACTTTGTTTTCTGATGAAGAATATGATTTGGTCCTCAAGGTATTGATCAGTGGTTAGGGCTTTTTTTTCCGGTTGTTATCTCCCATGATCATTTCCAAATATTGTTATCTCAGATGCCATTTTCGGTTTTGGTTTGGGTTTGGTTTTGGTTTTCATGAATGTTCATAAAGAAGACGACAGGAAGCTAATGGAGGTTCTTGGATATTTAGATGAGCGACTCAACGATCATTTTTGTTCCTGGCGGAGGAGATACGCACCATACCAGATATCATCCTGATTTGTATGCAGGGCAATCCAAGTTGTTGAGTATCCCACATTGGTGGTGGAAGAGAGTTGATATCAATATATAAGTATATGGGTTACTTCCCTCATTGCCAATTGGTTTTAAGGTGGAACCCTATGAGCTTCTATATGGTATCAGAGCCAGTCTGCCAAGAGTCGGACTCCAAGCTTAATGTAATAGAACTGGTAGGACTGAGACGTGAGGCGGTGACTGGGCTGACAAGCCCAACCCAAGAAGAGACGTTGGGCTTGCGGGGGAGTGTTGAGTATCCCACATCGGTGGTGGGAGAGAGTTGATATCAATATATAAGTATATGAGCTACTCCTCTCATTGTCAATTGGTTTTGAGGTGGAACTCCATGGGCTTCTATATGAAAGAATTATTGTGTGTGTTATTCACATGATACATTGTGGTATTTATAGTATAATAGTGTAACAACCCTAGCCGTCTACATGGGAAACCCTAATTCTATCATCCCCCCGCAATCGTAGCAGGAGAAGTAATCATGCCTAGATTGGTTCTAAACAAATACAATTTATCCTTAGGTAAAGATTTGGTAAAAGCATCTGCAAGCTGTGATTGTGAGGAAATATGAAGGATCCGAAGAAGACCAGCAGCAACACGTTCACGAACAAAATGAATGTTTAGACCAATATGTTTGGTGCGAGCATGATTAACCAGATTTGCAACTAGGTATGTAGCAGAAACATTATCACACAAGATGACGGGGCGATGTGAGAGCTTGATTTGAAGTTCAGACAGAAGATTCTCCGACCAGACGGATTTAGCCAACGCAGAGGCAACAGCACGATACTCAGACTCAACAGAAGATCGAGACACAATGGATTATTTCTTGGAAGACCAGGAAACTAGGGAGGAGCCCAAGAAAACACAAAACCAGTCGTAGAGCGGCGAGTAGTAGGGCATCCAGCCCAATCAGTATCGGAATTATGTAACAAGGCGATCAAGGGGGCCAGCACGGAGATGTGTACCATAGTGAAGTGTGCCCTTAATGTAACGGAGAATGCGTTTGACCGCCTGAAAGTGCTGCTCACGAGGATCATACATATGTTGACAGACAAGATTAACCGCATACTGAATATCCGGTCTGGTGAAAGTAAGATACTGTAATGCACCCACCGAGCTTCGATAGAGAGTCGGATTGTGAAAAGGCGGGGACTCATCAACCGAAAATTGAAAAGCCGGAGCAAGTAAAGTTGCAACTGGATTGGCATCGGTGAGATGACTGCGAGCAAGCAACTCCTCAGTATACTTGCGTTGGTGTAAAAACTAACCACCAGAGTGAGGAGAAACAGAAATACCAAGGAAATAGCTGATTGGACCAAGATCCGTCATTGCGAAAGCTCCTTTCAGCGATTGAATAATAGTAGTGAGGAGATGATTGCTGGAAGCTGTCAAGAGAATGTCATCAATATAAAGTAACAAAACAGCCATATCCGATCCAGAAGAATACACAAACATGGAAGTGTCCGAGCGACTGCCTTTAAAATCCTGTGTAAGCAGAAAAGTAGTGAAACGATGAAACCAAGCTCTGGGAGCTTGCTTTAAGCTATAAAGAGCTTTGTTCAACCGACAGACATAATGAGGATGGTCTGGATGAACAAAACCAGTAGGCTGTTTCATATAGACAATTTCATTAAGATGACCATGCAAAAACGCATTTTTAATGTCCAACTGATGAACGGACCATTTTCGAGAAGCAGCAATACTTAAGACAGTCCGAATTGTCACAGGTTTAACCACCGGATTAAACGTTTGGTCATAATCAAGTCCAGGCTGCTGATTGTAGCCTTGAGCAACCAAACGTGCCTTACATCGATCAAGAAAGCCATCAGATTTTAACTTGACGCGAAAAATCCATTTGGAGCCGATAATATTGGCAGAGACAGGGGGAGGGACTAAATCCCATGTATGATTAGTGAGGAGAGCATTAAATTCGTCATTCATAGCAACACGCCATTCAGGGTATTTATTCGCTTCAGTGAAGGATTTTGGTTCAGTAGGGAGTGAAGAGGATGTAGTAGTGGCAGTAAGAGAGAGTATCTGTTTAGGTTTACGAGTACCTTACAGGAGAGACAACAAAAATGACCACTCAAGGGTGCCTTAAAATTTCAGCCAAGCCCCCTATTTATAGGCTTAGAAATTCGGCCAGCACCTAAAGAAGAAGATCAATTAGGACTCTCTAATCTTTTCTCACAAGGAGTAGAAGTAGAAGAGTATTTGATCTCTTTGACTCTATCTAAAATCTAAGAAACCTTATCTAAAGGACTTATCCTCAAGTAGGATAATATCTAGAAGGAATCTAAGACTCCTAATCAAAACACTCTAGTTTTATTCAGCCCACATGACTTATCTAACTAGATAAAACTCGAAAATAACTCCTAGACTTAGACAACAACTAAATCTCGAAATTCAGCTACCAAATTGTTGAAGTAAAATATCTTGAACGCCCTTCCAAAAGTGGAATATTGGTCTTGCGCCCCTTAAGTTGTAGAAAACTCCTATTTACTCCAAAACTTGTAGAATTCTCTTTATTGACTCCAAAAGATTGGAAAAACACTTGAAACAATTAAGATAGTTTGCAACCTATCCAATTGTGTAGCAATGGACTCAATCTTGAATACTTTGATAAAATAGACCGTCCATTCAAGAACTTAAATGACTCTTCTCACTAGCTTGATCAATGATCTTCATGGAGCACACAGAGTCAAACTCTCTTGATACTCTTCAGCACTTATTTCCATGAGGTCATCATCTCCTTTGGTTTGAACCCCAAAATTAATGACATTCTCATCATCTTGATCATAGCTCTCTTGAACCAACTCCCTATCACATAGGTAGTCAAGATCCATCCTTTCTTCATTGATTGGCCTGCAAAGTAAACTTGGCATTCCAAAATTAGAATGAAGGACTAGTTCATTCCCCTCACTAGGAGAATCACCATGGAAGGCTACATGATTCTCATCACACATGTTTTTGTGAAGGAGAAGCAACCAATGGAGAGGATTCTGATGAAGGGAGGGATCGTGAAATAAGGAACGAGGGATTTTTAAAAGGAGATTGGGGAGGATTGTTTTGGAGAACCGAAGAGAGTTGAGGAAATGGAAAAGAGGTTTCATAAAAAACGACATGACGGGAAGTATAGACTTTCTTAGAAACGGGATCAAAACAACGATAGGCCTTATAAGATTCAGAATAACCAAGAAAGACACATGGAGTGGAGCGAGGATGGAGCTTATGAGAAGCTAAATGAGAAAGATTAGGAAAACAGGAACACCCAAAAACCCTTAAGGACCCATAATTAGGTGGATGACCAAAAAGAAGGGAGTAGCCCATGGGTCGAAAATTGACTTGGAATGTAAATAGTCGAAAAATCGTATTTTTTTGGATGAAATGAGACGAAAATGGTGTTTTAAAATGTATGGGACGAAAATAATTTTTTGCCCAAATGTATCAGACATTTTCTGGGGTTTAGTCATCAAATTGTCAAAAAGAAAGAGGAAAATGAGCCTTGCTCAAGCGTCTGATTTTGGGTTAGCTTATGTGTCCTCGAGTGTGTTTTTGAGTTTTTGAAACAGATATGTTGCCTTGTTGTTTTAATAAATTTGTACAGCGTATCTGCAACCTTCTTGTGATATTTTGTACTTCATTTGAACATCTATGACCTATTAGTTCCAAAATTTTATCTACCTTCTTTGCATACATTCTAAATTCATTAGTGCCGAAGTGTTTGCCCTCTGTAAAAAAATTTAAAATCATAACTTCGATTGGGACAAAGAGAGAGCTCATCCAGAAACAGTATTGAAGCCAATCTTAGCTAGTGAATCCTTAAACTGTATTAGACAGGTGACTCAGGTCATACGATGAACACACTTAATTTAAAATGTAGCTAATATTACTTAATCCGACTATGATCACTACTTAGTAATACTTCTTGTATAAACTGCCTAGTAATAATTCCAATTACTGTCAATAGCAGGGGAAGGTCTTTGATTCATAATCCCCAGTTGAAGATGCCTGTTGAGGATGTCCGTGTTCATTTTCAGTGGAACAGGAGTATTGTACTGGTACTGCAGCAAGTTATTGCGCATCTCATGGGTTGGAATGAAGGGCTGATCATAATTAGGAGATGCTAACTGGTTCTGCTGCATGTTGTTCCATCTCACAAGTGTTGGATTGTAATACTCCAAATTAGTAGGTTGCACCGGTGAGTTAGATGGGAGGTTGTGTTTGTGCTGCTGCAGGTTGTTGTTACTCGGGCGAAATGGCGAATAATGATGTTCATATGCAGGAGGTGGCAGCAACTGTTGGAATCCAGGAAATGCTTTATCAACAATGCCTGAATAGTCTCCTGCAGAGTTTCTGGAATCTGGAAATGATAAAGACCTCATGTTTTCTTCCATCTCGAGTTCATCAGGAGCTATATACTGGTTCCAACCAAGCTGCGGATTCTTCCCCGAGTTTGTTGCTCCATTGTTGATCGCCTCGTCCATGAAAGAGTTCATTCCTGTATTCGGGTTAAGGTACTTTCGGCGCCTCCAATCAACATCAGGTTCCATGATCATGGGGTGGCTTTTGAAAGCATGAAGACCATTTGTTTGTCCCTGTGGTTGTAATAGGTCTTGGTAAGTGGCATCCAGAAGCCAACTGGGCAGTCCTTGAAGATTATGGTTCTGATCAGGCATTGGTGACCAAACTTCAGCATGTTTCCCAGATTTGATTAGTTTCCTGATCAATTTCGCAGAGTCCACAGTCCCAGCTACCTTTACCTTCTGGTTTTCAGGATCTATGCTTACCAGATAAACCCCTGATTGACAGAAACCAATAAGACAATGCGATTGTTAACTGCTTAAGCATGCATTTTAATTTGAAACGAGATGAACATGATATATTTTCCATTTTCTTCTTTTTCCAGAGAAAACTAGAAAATTATGAGGCCTAGAGAGCTGAACATTCATAGAATTTCACCCAAAAACATTGATTATTTTTGCTAAACCGTCAATATTAATTGCTGATTCTTTAAGCCTTGAACTAAGAACATAGATGACCTCTGGGATGGAAGCAGGACTCTAATACATTAATATTTACAAATACCATTTGAACCAAACTCAAGGATCATGGAACTGTGGCATGCTACTCTATTGTGAGGTTGATTTTATGGACCAAATGCGAAGAAACATCTCAATTCGTATATATGCTAACAAAACAAAGTCGCTTCCTTTTTACTGTATTTTGGGTTTTATTTTTTTCAGTAGATGAGAACCTGAGAGGAGATTTGTGATATTGAAGAATGTACAACAGGGCTGAGAGAAGAAGTTGATTTACCTTCAATTTTCTTGAGGAGTTTCTTCACCTTCCTGGCGCATCCATCACAATGAATCTGAACTTTGAGAGTATGGGTCTGCAAATCAAAAATGTGGAAGAGATTAGTTAATGCTCGCTGGAGAAGCCAAAGCAGCAGCAACGTGAAACTGATAGTGAAGAGGAAGACAGTGAAGAAGGTAAAAAGCCCACCTTAACAAGCTGATAATCACTTCCCAACATGTTCATTCTCTGTGTTTGTCTTGATTTGGTAAAAATTGATGAATGTTTGACTTGTAAAATGTAAATACAAAGAATTTTTTACCAACTCTTACGGTTCCTTGCCTGGAAAGCCAGAGCCTAGAGGCTAGAGGTATAAAATTGTCCTCGGTAGATGAAAATGATTACATTGGAAAAGTCCATCTGTTTCAAGATCAATAAATAGTAGACTTCCAAGTGAAAATACCACAATGGACCAAAACCCTTTGTGTTTGTGGCCTTTAGTGCGTGAGTGTGTGAAAGAGAAAGAGCTAAGAGAGAAAAAAAAAAAGAAAAAACGAAAGAAATGGTGAAGATTGGCGAGTGAGAGATGTGTGAATAAGTAAATTTGACCAGCTAGCTAGTTATGACAGACAGCGGCAAGAGTTCTGTTTCCGAGGAGGTGATGACGCAACGACGCCTATATATCGTACTGGAAACTGGAAAGTAAGCTCAATGTTATTAGTTCCATCTCTGATCTCTTCTGGTATTTTGATCTTTGGGCAGATGTCATGCAACTCGCATTTTTTCAGATCAAACATAGAAAGGGAATATATGCCATTTTCTTTAGGCCAACTGCATTTGGTTACAAACTTTAAAAAGCGGAAACACGGGGTCTATAAGTAGTGTTACGCTTCTTGTTCTCCGACCATATGACAAAATAAGGACCAAATTTGTTTAATTGGCTCAGGTAATAATCACTTTCAGATAATTTGTTGGAAGCTTTTTTATGTGAATCTAGCCCGCTCAAATTCTTATTGGTAGGGATCATGAGTTTAGAAATGGAGTGCAACGTAGATAAAAAATAAAAAAGGAAAAAAGTGGAAGAATAGAAATGATGAATTTGTTGTGAAAATAAATACATATTCTCTCTTTCTTAAAAGAGAGTATTATTTGTTAGCTGTGATAAGCTATACCGAGTGTAATATAATCAACTAGTTCAGAATATAAATATAGTTGTTTCCTCCATCTAAAAAATAAGGATCATATTTATCAAATTATTTTAATACAACAAATAACCCTATATTATTTTGGAACTTGAGGTTGTATTTAATTTGATTGATGTGTTGATGCGATACAATTTCCCAAACTCAAGTACTCCTTACCTTTCAAAATAGATGTCATTGGAGGAATTGTATAAAGTTTAAGAAAACAATAAATACTTGGTTAAAATATAAATCTACCCTTATTTACTTTCAATAAAATTCTATTTCCAATATTATTTAGTTCTAATACACTTCTATTTTAAACACAATTATAATTTCTCATGTAAGGACAATGTTAAAATAAAATGACTCGAAATGCGAAAACGACATATATTTTGAAAAAAATAAAAAATTTTCTCCAACTACATTTATTTTGGAATAGAGAGAACTAATTATTCATGTGCGTTACTGTATAATCATATAAACAAAACTTGTTATGGAAGCTCAAGCAACTCCTGTGACTTGCACAACAAGCTCATACAATACCTATGTTTCACATACAATTTCATTATACAAATACATGTATATACTCTTTCGATCCCAAACTTGTAGTCCTGCTTGGATTTTTGTTTTTGTTACGGCTAATAAATTTGTAACTAAAATAAATTGCAATTAACAAAATGTTTGTTCATCGGATTCTGATATATACTGTGGAAGCCGGAATTTAAGTACAAAAGCAACTCATCGAGAATAAATTTGAGTCAGGATAATCTAGTGCTACTTTTTGTAGAATAGTGTCGGGGCATTTGACAAAACATGCAACCACGGGGCATGTGGTTCTTTGATCTAATCGTTTTTATTATTATCAGTCCGAGAATTAATTGTTACGAATTTCAGTTAAGCCCGGTTTAAGCCCAACATTGCTCTTGCTAAACTTGAAATCCAACTAATACAATAGCCTAAAGGAACAAAGTGGCCAGTTGGCCCTTGGCATGGTCAGAAATCAGAATTCAGAAATAAGATTTATTGCGCTAGGAAGTAATGCCCTTGTCACTTGTCAATCTACCGAGCATCCCTTGGATTTAAAAAGCCCAAAAGGTAGTAGCCTGGGCCATTTCACAACTGAACTAGTTAGTATAGTAGTTTTGTTCGGAAGCTCTTTGAGTAGTGTTTTTTAAAATAATTAATTAATATATCTCCATTTCAGCATATCTCAAAAAATAGTTTTTACTCCCTCCATTCCAAAATAAGTGTCGTTTCAGCAAAATAAAGAAATTTTAAAATAAGTGTTGTTCTCACATTTCAATGCACTTTTTGTCCAAAATTTCCAAAATTACCCTCGAAAGAATTAATACTATTGGTAGACATTTTTTTAGTGGGGTTGGTTGAGGATATTCAAGTAATTTTATTACCATATTTAAGAATTTCTTAAATTATGTGCAAAGTGTAGAATGGCGCTTATTTTGAAATGGAGGGAGTACATTTCTACTAACACAAAAAAAGAAAAAGACAGTTTAAGACGCTTAGGACTCAGCAAATGTATTAGTCACTGTTATTAACTATGGAGATTGTGTTGGAACGAAGAAAATATTGTGTTATTTCCAATCTGAATCAAATCATCTTGGACTCTTTCATTATTACAATTGATACCTACCTTTACCGTTAATACTTTTTTGCTTCATTCTGAAAATATATTTGTTTACATTGGATTTACTTTTAGTACAGATTGAGTTATAAGTTTAAAATTCAAAATTGAATAATTATTTCGAGACAAAGAAAATATTAAATAGTGAACTGAAATGGATAAAAACAAACTATTCAAGCACATTAAAAAAATTTAAAGGAACGATCCAAGACCAAGAAGTGTGATATTTAAATGTAATTGAAAATCTTTGGGGATCATCAAGTTTGACTTATGACCAGTGCGATCGTTGTAAAACACTAAGTACTACAACAGTGCAGACAAAATTTACGTGATTACTTAAACTATTCCCCCCAAAATCCACATAAGTTGTTTGAGATTTAAACGGGTAAAAGTAATCGTCTTAATCGCCTTTTCCTTGGGTAACTAACTACTCGCTCCATTCTAAAATAACTATCATTTTAGTAAAATAGAAAAATTCTAAAATAATTGTCGTTTTCGGATTCTAATGTATTTTTTGTCAAAAATTTTCAAACATACCCTCAAAAGAAATAATATTATTGGTGAGTATTATTTTAATGGGGTTAGTTGATGATATTCTAATAATTTAGCTACCATATTTAACTGTTTTTTAAATTGTGTGCAAACTCTAGAATGACACTTATTTTAAAATATATGGAGGTAGTACTATTTTGGGGAGTTTTGAAAAGAAAAGGCTTGAATCAGCTACTTTAACTTTTACTTTTACATTTTACATCCAGAGAAAATGCAATCATAAGGGATCATTCATGGTAAATTGGTAATCATTGACAGTTAATTTGATGCTAATCATCAAGTTGAGTTTAACTTCTTCTTTTTTTGGGAACTGTTGGTCCAAAAAGTTGTCATTAAAATGGTCACTTTCTTATTTTTAATCGATTTAGTTAGTGGCACCAAAAAGGTATGTACGCGGCGGTGCTTTGAATTGACGAGACCAAAGTTGATCCCCCTCTTTAACTTCTTTTTCGTTTTTCAGTCCATTTTTTACATCGAAAAGCCAAAAACTGGTGATTTACTACTTCTACTATATATTATCATCCACGGACAAGTAATAATAATAACTCTAATAATATTAGAGTGAAACAAAATATTCCATTAATTTCTTGCAGGAATTTTCCAGACTGGGATATCATGTCATCACCAAACAAACTTATTCAAGTAACGATTTTTTAAAATACAATTTTTTTTTATGTGTGTTAAGGTATTTTATGTTATCTCACATCATCACTGTAAAGAGAAATAACTCTGTATATAAGTGCTAAAAATTATCCCATTCATTGCCAATTAATTTTAAGATGTGAGTGCAAATTACTTATATACTTTGACAGTACACACTGTAGCTACTTATTTTTCAGAACATATGGAATGTACATTGGTCAATTTTAGAAGAAGGTCGCAGAGAAAAATTTACCCTCTCATTTTCATGGAGTAGCTGGACGAATAAAGTTGTTTCTTTCAAAGTAGCTGGAGGAATATTTTGAATGATCAAAATTTTGCGATCCCGATGATTAGATTCAGTTTGAGTGTAGGAAAAGAAGACTTCTTCGATCCTTCGATTCGAAGTAGTTACTTTTTTTTTTTTTTTCTCAGAACTTTATGAACTTTTCTATCATCCTATAATTAATGTATCATTTAAAACTATTAAAATGGTTAGCCATGAAAAGAGTATCATATAGCTAGACTACATGTTCATGTTACCAAAGATAAAATCTTCAATTGTTTATGTTTATGTCATTTTTCATTGGCTTTTAAAAGAAATTGTTGGGTCGAACCCACAATTGTTGATTGTTCCTCCCAACTAATCCACTTCTTATAGTTGAAAAGAATGTCTCCTAATTTAGTGAACGTAAGACCTAAATCAGCAGAGATTCGAGATAAGATTTACCACGCTCATTAAACATGATTAAGTTAGCGTTAGTTTTATATTGTGTCATACCATACCTATTAAAGCCAGAAATGAAGGGATGACATATATAGGACATTCCCATTTCCCAAACCTAAATGAATAAATTAAGCAGGTACTACAAACTGCATGAACCACAAATCAAACCAAAGAAGACTCATACCTAAACTTCCTTTCCTGAATTTGCTCAATCAAAAACTTTGAAAGGAACTGGTAATTAATCAAAATTCGACTTTGAAGAATATAATTTCCTTTTCAGCCCCCTTTATATATATTTTTTTTAAAAAAAAAAGTTGGGCAAAGAAGGTTTCATACTACTTTCTTCTTTAAATAAAAGTGTGAAGTTGAAGTAGATAGATCATGACTGCAGGATGCGTTTCGAAGTTTCATGTGATTTCGGTTCTTTTGTGTGTATGTATGGTATCGACCTTAAGGCATGCATACCATATTTGGCCTTAAGGTTGGAAAGTAAAGTGGGTAAGTTGGTGATCCAAGAAAAAACGTAAGGAATAATATTAATTGGAGATTCTCTCATATATGAAAAAGATGGTAAAAAGAATTAAGGACAGAACCTAACTAAAAAAAAATGGTAGTGACAACAAGTTTCATGTCGTAACGTTGTTTGCAACCAAGGAGTACGTACTAGATGGAAGAAATATTGTGTGTTATTCACGTTATAAAACATAATATTTATAGTACATCAAGTTACAATCCTACTCGTTTATCGGAAACTCTAATTAGAGTTTTTGTAATTATATATTCTATCACTAGATAGCTCGCCCTTAGTTCTTTTTCAATTTCTCCTCTGTTTTAGAATTTTCTGCAAACATATGGATTTCGAATTTACACGATCTTTATTAAAAGGATTTATATACTTGCTACCGATAATTAACTGTCCGGTTCGAAATTTATACATGAAGAAATTATTTGTTTAAAGAATTTTATATTTAAAATAAAATGATCCATCCCGTGAATAAATGAGAATAAATATACAGTGTGTAGTAATTATGGTATATGTCATCTTGAAACGACTCATTCCTATATGGGGATTAAAATTGACGATAATATATTGATACTATGATAAATAAAAAAAAAATGTATAGAAACTTGGGAGAATAACAAGCAAAAGGAGATGTTAGACGAGTGCTGTTGGTTTTAGGTCGCAAAATTGTGCTTGATGCATGGAAGAAATTTCAGGGCCAAAAAAAATAATAATAAAAAATAAAATAAAATCCTAATTAGCAATTTTTGGTGATTCAATCTAATCACACTTTTAACCATAAGTAACAAACAAATAATCCCAATTAGTTGGAAGGGGACGAGCAATGAGAATCTTATTCTATCATCACCCTCCACGCTCGTGAAAAGCTAGATTCTAAAGTAAGTTGTATATCTTCAATCAATTTTTTTTTTTTTTTCCTTTTCAGATTTGACATTCTCCACGTTTCCTCTCTACTCTAAACGATGAAGAATGTGCACTTTTTTTTTTTTTTACATATCTCTATATTGCGTTGATATGCCACCAACATATTCTTCTCAAAAAGTTCAATTAATTTGGACATTTCACACCAAAATAATACTACTCTCGTACTTGGTCAAGATAACTAATCAAATTGATGATTTATGAGTATATAGTATATACTAGTAAAAGTATTTGTCATTTTCATCATTTCAAGTCTAACTAAAGAGCGTTATATACAAAGTGCCTGGCACCATTAGACAGGTCTAGAATGATTTATGATATTCATTTCGTATGACACACACAAACGTAGTATTTTGGTATGACATAATGAAAGTAAGTAAATCACAATTAATTAAGCCTTATATATTATACTATCTCTGTCCTCAAAAAAAAAAAAAAACAGTACTCAAAATTCAATGTCGACTATTTTTTTGGGACAGATAGAGTGATTAACGATTTCAAGATCATAATCAAATCCTTCATAATTAGGGAAAATTGAGGATCAAATATTGTTGATGTATATTTGTATGTATAATCACATAATGGAACAAGCATTAGGGTTGTCATCACTGAAAAGATAGGCAATTTTCTCTTCAGCTGCATTTGAAGGTGGTGGCGCTTGTATTACGGTAGCGTTCCTGACGTGGCCGGCGGGAGCCCTTTTGTCGTAAGTTCCGGCAACGTAGGGATACAACACCACATTATGGGGAACATATGGCCAGAATTCAGCTCTTTTTCCAGTGTTTTTTATCGCATTTAGCACTTTGTTCGCATCAACGTGTCCATATACTTTTACCCGGCTTTGCTTTCGGTTAACTTCCAATTCTTTTACACCTACATAATACAAAAGAAACCCATTTCAAAATTCAACGAGAGTAAAATAATATACTTTTTTTTTGCATATAATTCTTTTTTCGGAATGGAGAAAGTATCAAAAAGCCATAAAACTTAAATATATTTACATGGGACGACACTAGAAATGTAAGAGGGGCCAAGGGGTCAAAAGGAGGGAAAATCACACAAATAAAAGTAAACGTTAAATTATTAGATTTTAATTTTGAATTAATGCAAGAAAAGTAGTTGAGCTTCAAAGTAAAGAAATCCCATCGGTTATCCAGATTGAATATTGTCACGCTCATCTTTCTCATGAAAAGTAGTCTAAAGCACTGTCCTTTTCCTTTCATTTATTTCTTTCACAGAGCAGATTTTTGCTTCATTAACCAAACCGACAAACAAGAAGACTTATGTATACTTATACAGTTATACTTCCTCGGTCTACAATGAACATGACTCTTTTTTGGGACGACAGAAGTGATTCGGTCTTTGAAAGCCACAATTTGCAGCGTTCACCCATAAATCACCCAGCAATATTGTTCTATCATCAAATGCATAAAAAACAAGCTCATTAAGTTCTTTTTTTTTTTTTTTTGGGAAATGCATTAAGTTCATTTCATTTTCTCTTCATTCAAAGTTTTCAAGTTGAAAAGGATCGGATATGATCAATGCATAAGAAAACAAGGGTACATGAAGAGGAAGGAGGGATTTATATGTATATGAAAAGCTTACCTCTCATGTGTTTAACAGCATTCTTTACTTTCCTTTCACATCCATCGCAATCCATCTTCACTTTAATCTCAACAGTCTAACAAAATCACATTAAAACATTAGCCCAAAAAACCAAGAAGAACCTTCAAAATTGAGGTCATTACAATATGCATGCAACAAGTACTGAGGGGATATATACCTGCAATGGCTTCTTCCTTCTGCTTCTTGTGCTAGTGACTGTACAGAAGTTGGAAAGATAATCAAGAGCTCCCATTTTTTTTTACCCCCTTTTTTCTCTTTGAAATAAAGCCAAGGAAAGATAGAATGAGAAAGAAATTGTGGAATATGGAGGTGAGTGGCTTGGTCTATAAGAAGAATTAAAGGACTCTTTATTGGTACCTTGATGTTGGGCGAGGCTAGTATTTATACCAGAAAAGTTTCTATTACATCATAAGCTGTAGGGCCTTTCTGCAAATTCCAAAATGTAGAGATGTAAAGTTGCATAATCCCTTTCTTTTGGCCAACTAAAGTTAATAATTAAATTTAGCAATCTTTTCTAGCATTTTTTTTTGGGGGAAAAAGTGATAAGCAATGGTAATATATTCATTTTGAATTAGGTGCTTTATACTTTCTTGCTCGATTCCAGAAAAATAACCCACATTGAATTCTGAAATTTGTATTAAAATTAATGCATACCCCAAAACATTTGTAGACTATTTTGTTTTTTGGAATGGAGAGTAAACATAGTATGTACCCTCCATCATTAACTAATACCAAAACTCTTTCTCTGAACAGCAATACGCATGAAAAAGGTATTGTTGCAACTGTTCTTTTGCATACAGAATTGTATAGTGGGATGTCCTAACTTGTAAGAAACTTTAATTTCAATTGTGTCTTATTGAAATAAGACCAATGAAAGTGTTTGTTAAGTAAAGAATACTGATTAAGAGGGTTACTTTTTTTTTACCCTCAAAAAAAGAAAGACTTTTTATTAATCTATTGAAAAAACAGAGTTTTGATTACACGCTTTTGCTAAATTATGTACTACTATCAGACTATTTCTGCTAACTTTCCTAAGGCTATAGGCATTATGTAGTCTCTGATAAAAGAGAATGTATTCCACAATATCTTTGATTTCCACTGAAGCTTTCTCTGGAGTACCAATAGCGTGAACCAGTGTGATTGAATCTGTACCTATTGTGTCTACCACAATTCGATTTTGAATTGCGTATTTGATGGCCTCAAAACAGGTGTATGCTTCCGCTTGAAGGGCGGAAAGAGCAAAAAATTTAACCGTTTGTGTTATTGGAGATGCAGAATCCGGAAGATGTATTGCCCAAGCTCCAGCTCCTTGAAGTGTATCTTGATTGAAGGCTCTATCAAAGATCAATGGCAGAGTCAGGCCATCATTTGCTTCTAGTTGGAGAGACTGTTGACTCGACTCGTCTTGCTGATGAAAATTATTCCAGCTTATCCAGTAAATGCCCTTTTTTGTGTCTGTTTTTGCCCAAATGAAATTTCGAAGAAGTTTGTCAATTGCTGTCGTGGTTGCTATAGGAAACTTGAAAACTCCCATAAGATATAAAATTGAGGATGATAAAGTTGACTTAGCCAATGTAATCCGTCCCCGTGCGGATAATGATGCAGTTTTCCATGTTGAAATTTTCTTCTTCAACCTAGATATGATTCCAGCAAGTGCAGCTTGTTTAGATCTCCCTAGATCCAGAGGAGCTCCCAAGTACTTATCATCTACTAAAGGCTTGTGTATATTAAGAGCGATTTTGACCCATAAGGCGTCTGTATGATTCATTCTAAGGCTGAGAAAAATGCTCGATTTAGAGTAATTAATTCGATGACCCGACCACTTAGAGAAACTAGACAGCTTGTTAGCCAGATCATTTATTTGTGTTTGAGAGCACTCGGTGAAGATAATAGTGTCGTCTGCGTACATTAGATGCGACAACCGTGGCCCGTGACGACTGATTTGGATGCCTACAGGTGCGCTGCTATTGGAATGGTTAAGTACAGAGGAGAATGCTTGCTGACTGAGAAGGAACAAATAAGGGGATAAAAGGCACCCTTGACGAACTCCTTTGATGGGAACGAAAAACGGTGAAATCCAACCATTGATGGAGATTGAGTAGCGCACTGTTGTAATGCATTGAGTGATCCAGGTTATCCAGCTGGGAGGGAAGTTCATTTTCTTCATTATTTCTGTTAAAAAGTTCCAGGAGACTCTATCGAAGCCCTTATTCATGTCGATCTTAATTGCAGCAAGACCTGAGCCTTTTGCCTTAAAATGTTTTATATGATGTAAAATCTCCCACGTGATAATAATATTCTCACTGATACGTCGCCCAGGAATAAAACCGTTCTGTGTCTCATCAATAACTGCATGTAGTACCTTTTTGAGCCGATTAGCCAAAGTTTTGGCGATAATTTTGTATTTAACATTACTAAGACTAATCGGGCGATAATCACTTGGCGTTTCTGGAGATGGTATCTTGGGAATGATCACTATAGTAGTGTCATTCCAATCTGCTGGCATTTGCCCTGTGTGAAAGAATTCCATGATCGCCGCGATGACAGTATCACCAATTATTGGCCAATACTTTTGGTAAAACCCGGCTGGAATAATTTTGTTGCCCATCTATGATAAAGTTTGGTATTTCTTTCCCCTTGTATATGCCACAATTTCTTTGACCTTTGTTGCCAGTACAAATGTTCCAAATCCAAGAGTTCCTCCAATTCTCTCTCTTTAGCATCTAGGTTTGTTTGATTTTGTAAGGATGCTTGTGCTGTTGAGAGAAATGCTAATTCTTGCATCGTCCGTTTTATTCGTGTAGGCAAATATCCATACGTGCTGCGATTCCAATTGTCAAGGTGAACCATACTTTGATGAAGACTTTGTGAGAGTCTCTGCGAGGACGAAAGATGCGGCAATGTACTGAGTTGCCATACTTTGTTGACAATCTGCCTACTAGCATCTGTGTGCGCCCAAAATGATTCAAAACGAATTGGCGATTTGAAACGAGAATAACCCGTCTTGTGAGTATCAAGTATCACAGGTCCATGGTCGGAAACCATGATGGGAAAATTGTGAATCTGAGCATGAGTAAAAATATTAAGCCAGGCCGAATTTGCAAATCCACGATCAAGTCTTTCATAAACTCGGGCATGTCCTTGACGTTTATTTGTCCATGTGAACCAAGAGCCTTAGAGGGTTACTAGAATAGGCCGGAGATCTATGACTAACATGAGAATATGCAAAATGAAGGCGGCCGGAGAACAAATAGTAGGTGTGAGAATAACAAACTAAAATAATTTGTAGTGCCGGATTCAATTTTATCAAAAGCAAATGGCCATAGGAGCCCCAAAACCATGATGAGTAGGCAAGAAAGCTTTTGGTTAATCATTAAATCTCAATTAATTAGTTAATTATTTTATGTAATTGTGTTTGATAAGTTAGCGGGAAGATGTTGTAAAGTGTTTCGGTGTTTGCTTTCAATTTCGATGGTTTGCTTTACTTTTCCAATTATTTAAATATGAATGCCCCAATTATTGCTTTGCTTCTGTATTGGGATTCTAGTTGATCAATCTATCCTGTGGGGAGGGTTCCTTTAATATTTTTATTTTTTTCTTTCAAAAAAAAAGAAGAAAAAAAATTTGGGTCAAGTAACATAGTTAGAAGAATAATTATAGCTTTTTCTATGCCTTTCTTTGAATATTGAAAGGAGTGGATCAGGTCAATGCGTTTCCCTGATATTTTCACAGCATCATCACTTCTCTTTTTTCTTTTAAATTTTTTTATTTCTTCTTCAAAGAAACAAAAACTCTAGAAAAAAAAAACCAGTTTTTTTCTTTAAAAAAAAAGTAAAAAAGAAAAATCATTCACAAGTTTATAGGTCGCACTCGAAAACTCGCAACAGCACATGTAAAAGGGGTATTGTACACCTGAACCTATTACCAGGTAAGCAAAGAACAAGCATTGGCGAAAAGGAGAGAAAAAAATAGTTAGCATTTCTCCTTGATTATTATTATGTTTATTATTTTTTTGGACTAGATAATTAATTTGTCAAATAATTTAATATGCTCCCATTCCCATATCTAAGGCGGACATGAATACCTGAATTTTTTTTCTAATAAAGAAATAATTGATGAATTTCTTCCAATCAGCCACAACCTCTTTGATTGTCGAACCAAGATTCTTAAACAGGGAAAAACCAACTTGAATTTCCTATATATTTAGACCTATAGGCTAATTTGTGTTGATATTACGTATATTTACAGTGTGTTTTAAAGCCACTTTTGCAATGATTTCAACATTACAAAAGTCGACGGAATCTGAACTGCAGCAAATTCCAATGCCTCAAACCACTTAATTGAACTTTTTTTTTTTTTTTTACCTGGGTGGGTAAAGTACAACAAGAAGGACATCTTTTTCCTGCCGTGCATTTTTGCGCATATTTCTGCCGGCAGCCACCAGATGGTGGTCCTTAATCTGCCTTTGGCGGGGCTCACCACTCGAAGAAAGAAAGGGCCATAAGTAATCAAATCATGGCTCACTAATTTCATCACTGTAGTAAACAGTTCTAATCATGGCTTGCCAGTTCAGCTCCAAATCTTTGAATTGAAAACAAGCTACCTTTCTTGTACCATTTTGCAAGCACAACACATTTATTATATATATATATATATATATATATATATATATAATGATTTCAAGGAATTGACAACTCAATTTGAGAGGAAGATACTATACTAAGAATGCAGAAGATGGACACAAGTCTCTCGAAAGGCCAGGGAATTATCATTTTGGATATATTCTCTTTGGGATGTGCTTCCAACTTGCAGGAGGAAATAAAAAAGAACCATTTTTGTTAGCGTGCATTGCCAACTATATTCCTAATTCCTAAAGGTCAAACCTGGGAAGGCACATTACTTACAACTGATTCATGAAAAAACAATAAAACTACTGCAATATGAGAATCGTGGGATTTGACACCACGGTTAGTGGTTGGGATAAAACCCAAGCAGAATAACCCCTTCTACAGTGCTAAAATGAATATCATGGTGGAATTCCTTTTTATACTAGCGTTAAGCTGGAGTCTGATTTGACGGAAACTTGTAACTTTTTAAGATTCAATGGATGTTTTTGTAAGTTTCTGCTTACTCATTTCAAGCATGGCAGGCCTCTTCTCTTCAAATCAATCGCCAAATCATGTTAGGAAGAGGCAGTGCTGGAAGTGATGTTTTCTTCTGCCATCTGAGAACAAAAGGAGTAGTCTTGTTAGTCAAATACAAAGCAAAATCGTTTTCTCAGGACACAACTTTAAAAACTGAATTACCATTGCCATTATGTTCATAAATGAATCTCTCTCGCTACCAAATTAACTCATCTAAATATGGTAGAAAAGAAAGTCAAATAAAACATTAAAAACTTGCACCCAAGGTGGGAAGAGAATAAAGCTTCACAAATTATGTAAACCACCAAACAACTACTTACACATGAAGGCTTTCACTGGTGTCCTATTCTCTTCAGCTTTTGACCTCTCAATCCATTCCAAAATGCTGATGCATTGACCACTTTTTTACCTGGAAGCTGGACTTCTAGCACCTGAAATACAATAAGTGAATCAAGTACAATTATCGCAGCATGAATGTGAGTAATATATTGCCATGATTTCCTACCTCCAACGCCGTCAAACCGCCACATGGAAATATCAGTGAACCTTTCATAAATACCACATCATCAGTTTCCCCGCCCTGAGGTTTAATACCATCATAAACCCTTGTTGTAATAATCTTTAGTTCTATTATACTATGCTGGTCCTTTATGGAATCAATGATCATGACTTTAGCTTTGGTTCCCGGCCATCCTGCAAATGCCCGAACCTAGAACATTGTATAATTAAAGAAAAAGGGTGGACGATTATACAATTGAAGGAAGATAAGGATCAAACACTCACCTTATTATGAATGTGTATAGCTTCTTGGTCAAAGGACAGCCATGACTCCTCAGGCATAATCTGCATTAAGCCAACCATTTCACTAACTGGTCGTCATGGTTTGATACGACATGCACCAGGGTTAACCAAGAAGGTAGAGGACAAAATGACATAAATCAAGATTATAATTGTTTTACCTTTGGCGCCAGGGTAGCTTTAGACTCATCCTGCGCTTCGGCTTTTGTTAAAGCTGATCCATCAAATATAGAGGGAAGCTCACGTACCAGAAGTTCAGATCCTGCATATTTGGGATGGATGAGCATTTTTAAGTTTCAATTATTGCCGAAAGAAAAATCTCATTTTCTTAAGAAACGGTGTCATTAAAAACCACGATAGTAGACAGCACAAGTTGCTCAGCTGACAATTTATTAGGAACTTAACTACAAACTGGCTATGTCTATGAAAACAGCCAGATGCCAACTACTTCCGGGTTAAACAAGCCCTAGGAAATACCTTTAAACCACGCATAATCTTAAAAGCAGAATACTATGATTCATGCATACAGAATGTATTAAGAGAATAAAAGGCAAAGTCGTGCTCAACTTTGACACAATTGACCCAAAACATAAGAGAATTTGGCATCATAAATACTTAAGCAGAAAGGTCTTTGCAACCAATACCAATAACATCCTAATGCGGAAGATACGCTTTCTCTTCCAAACAACTATGTATATCGTCATTACTCTATTAAAAAAGGAAAACAGCTGCAGCAATATCATCTGAGAAAAAGTAAAAGTAGTTACTGGCTACAATAAAGGAACCCTATAGATATTTCGTGGAAAATGTAATTCTCAGGTTTGCAACTAAAGATATCAGATCAGGCTTAATAAGTAATTAGGGGGAAAAAATCTGGAACAGTACTGCAGGAAGTTCATATAATGGGCCTCACCTCGTGCAAATAACAACTCAAGTAATTCAGGTGCCTGCAAAAAGATCATCCGAAATTTACTGAGAAACAATCAAATGTTTTCCACACACGAAAAAGAAGATTCACAAGTGGCTTACGATAGGATTTTCCCATTGGCTTCAAACCACAATAGAACCACAATGGGAACCTGAAGTACCTTTATTCGATCATCAATTTCCATTCTTTCACGGGCAATAACAGGTCCAGCATCTAGCTGACGAACAGTAAAAGCAAGGGATACGCCAGTTTGCTTAACACCATCCTGTTGTAAAGTTCCTTATCAGGATTGAATTTTATGTTGGCCCTTTGGACTATGAAAAATTTCAATAAAAGATCAATGGATAACCAAATCAAACCTGCAATGCTCTCTGAACAGGAGCTGCACCACGATATAGAGGTAAAAGACTCGGGTGAATATTTACAGTCCCTGCAAGAATTTGTTGGGAAATGAAAAGCTCCGGATCAGATTTTTCCTAGCTCATACAATGAAAAAATTGAAACTAAATACTGCAAAACAACAATGTCCTTCTCTACATATCCAGACAATAAACAATTATCAATTGGCTCCAGTCTTCTTTACTAGTCAGTATTATCTCCAGTTAGCAATGATTTAACCTTGAGTATGCAGCAGTTCTTCAAATTTGGAATTATATTTCCTTCTTTTCAATAATAGTAAAGATTTCGTAGGTCTATACCAAGTATAAAATTATTGAACCATTTATTGTGTTATTACCATCAACTTTTTCAATGCCCCTACTACAGGAACTACAATGAATTACTTATTATGCCCATATTTTGTCAGAATGCAAAGCAATATCAACAAGATCCTTTTAAGTTCATTTCAAAGGAGGATAAACAAGAAGATGGTGGTGAAACAACTAACACAATAAATTTTCTGAAAGACAAGTTTAACTAACCTAGTGATGGGATCTTTAGAAATTTGGTTGGCAGTATATTCCCATATGCTGCAGTAACACAGAGCTCGGGCTCTAGAGACTTAAAACTGCAAAGAAATGATTCCTGCATGACAAAATGAAAAAGATAAAAAGCTACCCTTCAAATTGATCACAATGGCATGAGTTTTTCTGGATATGAAAATTTCAGGTTCCAAAGATTCACTAGGAAAAAGAAATTCCATTCTAGACAGAAAATATGTTGTGTAACAATGTTTTAAAAGTTTATGCCTCCACCTCTTCGAATTAGATTTTTATTGCATAAGTTACCACCAATCGTGGCCTCATATTGGGCAGTAAACAAAACTCCAATAACACCGTTCCCACTAGCATATTCTCAATGAGTGGGCAACACGGAATATCATCAGACTAAAAGAAACCTTATTATACTGATCAACTTCTGGTTCTCTTCATGCTACATACACCCTCGTCAACCACACCTATGATTGTGCGGCAGTTGTTTCTACTCCCTTACGTCACTCAAGTCCAGCAATCAAACATCATTCAGAAGAAAAAAAGAAAATAATGCTGCTCAGTGCAACATGATAGTACCTCACCAGCTTTTTCAGGAGTGAAAATCAAATCATGAGGGAAGCCACTATCGAGGGCATGTTGTGCCACCGGAGAAGGCAAAACTTTTCTTCCCCTATCCCTTCTAGCAGGCGGTTGACTAACAATTGCTGCAACCTAAATCGCACAAGTTTAGCAGGATTTCTACATCTTTATCTTCAAAGTAATTCTCCCCCAAAAAAAAAAAAAAATCTGTACTGAAACTGTACTGAAAAAAGAGAGAGCAGGCAATGACATATGGTCTTTATTATCAAATTTTGATTTAGTTATCCACCAATTGCTAACATCAGTGAGGGAAAAAATAGAAATGAGCACCAATTAAATGCAGAAGCAACTCGAAATCTGTGTAGGCATATGAAAGTGCACAAGCAGATTAACTTCATGGCGGTAGAAGGTAGCACATAACAATGCAAAAGAAAAAAGAAAAAAAGAAAAAGTCAAAACATTTACAATCAGACTCCATATGCTCATAGTGATCTTAAAAGGGTATCGCGATAAATTGTTTTTTTTTTCTTTTTTACAGTCAGGATCTAAGGTTTTAATAAAAGAAAAATCCTAATTTGGCATTATATATCCAAACACACAAATCCATCAGTCCCTTCTTTATGTGCTTGTGAATAGCACAACCATGGATGTTTCTAGTAGAATAAGAGAAGAACATAACTAAAACCCACAATATAAAATGCAACCCAAAAACCCTCTACTAACGCCTAAGCTATCTTGAGCAACATTGTCAACTGAAACAAAAGAAGAAGAAAAAAAAAACATAAGTTAAACAGGAAAGCAAGAAATACCTCAAAAGAGGAGTCTGGGGCAGAGGAGGCAGAGAAGAGAGCATCAAGAACCGAAGCAGATACCTGCAAAACCAATAATCGAAACAACCACCCCCTTTTTCTGAAGTGTGCGAAATCGAAAGGTTAAAAAAAAAGAATGTGAGAGGAGAACAGAGCAGCAAAGAGTATACCTGAGGGGAACCCATGAAGACAAGACGCTTCTTCTGGGAAGTTGGATTAACAATCTTTGCAGAACAATGTGCGGAGGTAGTGGCAGCGCTGCTGAAGCAGCGAAACCTTCGCAGCATCGCTGAAGATGAAGATGACCATGCCAATGATGCCATCATCATCTACTTCTCTTCCCAAGTTCCTCAGAATTTTTGCTCTTCCAGACTGGAAAATACAGTCGAAAAGACGATTACCGGATTATGGTGTGGGCTTGGGCCATTGAGCTTAAAATATTGGGTTCAATGGACAATAATTTTTTCATTTTGGACCCGTACGGGTTGGGCCTCTAGTACAAAATTTCATCTGAATTATGTAAGAGATGCGCTTCTGTTGTTCTTTGCGCTTCTTCTTCATCTTAGTTAGATTCAGGATAATCTAGAAATTTATAGGTTATCCTCATGGACCTCAGCCCCATTCTAAATGGATGATTTGTTCTGAGCCATTGGCTTCCCGTGTAAAGAAATCCAGTGGAGAAAAAAACAAAAAAGAAAAGAAAAAGAAAACAACAGTCCAGCCAGAATTGCAAATTTTGAAATTTGTAGTAAGAACAATATAAATTTTAAAACTCAGATCTCCATGGAAGAAGCATCAAAGGCCAAAGGGCCGAGCTCTTCAATGTTACTCGCTTTCCAGTTTCCCTTTCCTTTAGCCTGAACAGAACGACAGTTGAATAAACATTTAAGAGCAAGTTCATTGGTTTTACATTAACTGAAAAGTGTGGGGCTCCTACTTCTCAACATTACTCCACTTTTCTTATTCAACGTTTTAGTATAGTAGTGGTCTTACCAAACCATTTTTACTCTCAAGTTTTTTTTTTTTTAATTTATATGGATATCACTTGTTTGCTTGCATGTGACCCACCATGTTCAGACAAAAGTAATGTAAGTACTGATCACCCGAGACATCACAAATTAACTCTATGCAATGGGTTAGAGTTGAATGTGGGGGGTAAGTAACACACATTTCGGTGGCACTTACCACCAATAGACTTGCTCTTATTGAGAGAGATATGCATCTTGAAATAGACCTTAAATTGAATCCAGACCCAAAATTATTGTCCAGTTCGGATTTTCACTTTCAGTAACTAAATCTAAGGTGGAAAATAATTTTGAGACATTATATGAATAATAATATGAAGAAGAATAACAGATAAAACTATGTGTTTTTCTTCATTCTAATAAATCAGCTTTCATGATATGCACTTGCAACAATAGCAAAATCTTCCTGCCTCTTGGACTTGTTGCCTCAAGGTCAAAAAACAAAAGCAGGCCAACAAAGCTGGAGTCTGCAGCACCAACTCTTCCTTTCTGATAGGGTTTTCGGCTCTGTAACACACCGTGCATCCTCAGGAAGCTTTTCACAGTTTTCCTATAACCTGAGTATTCCTAATATTTCTGTTACTCTCACTACTTATATTTCTATAGCAAAATATGCAGACCTGAATGATATTATCTACTGACTGGATCTATTAACATCTACACTTGCACCTCGGCACTTGAATTCCATATGCAAACTTCTAAATCTAGATGGCCAGATGAGCTGACATAAGCAAAGGGAACTAGAAGAAAGTCCACAGGGGAGAAATCTTCAATCCTGCCAGGGAAATTACGAGCGATTGACTTTAATCTTACAGAGCAACTCCCTCTTTCTGATCCAAGGTTGTAAGAGAATTGCTCCTTCAATGAGCTTGGGCAAACGCAAGTTATCATAAGGTAATGCCCTATACTTTCTGTTCCTCTATTGAGGAGGAACAGAACACCATCTTTCTCTGCTTGCAGAACAAGGCAGGTCTCATCCTTGCCCAAAGAAACTTGGAGAGGGCAGTCATACTGGAAGCGTCTCCCTGAATCCCAGTGTTTACTGCTAAAATGCAGTGCTAACTGCCCAGATGACCCCACGAAGTCGCAATTCCTAAGAGGGCATGCACACGGTGCAAAAGTGCAAGTCTTTTCATGGTTGGTTCTAGTTACATAATCTACAATTTCTGGGCACCCGTATTCCATGTTTCGACATGGTCCTCTAACAGCATCAGGAACAGTAATGTCCCCACAAACTTCAGTCCCATCCCTGTCATTTAGTGGCATGCTTTCCTGACAATAAATAACAATCGATCAGATCACAGTCATCGGTACCTGGCAAGTGGATGCTACATAACAAAAGGCCAAACAAATCATAGCGAACATGGAATAAGAAAACAAAGTGCAGTAAGAGAATCAAAATAATAAACCCTTTATTATCCAACCCAACTGACAGAACAAAGTAGACTTATTGCACATCTTCCCAACTTTAGAGAAATGAATTGAATACCAAGTCCTCATTCTGTTCGTGTGCAGGGCAAAGCTCAAGCTGAGGTTCTAGAAACTTGAGGGGTGCAACGGCAACCTGATTTTTGCATCCCTGCAGTCCGATCCCAAGGCCTCTCTCCTTGCAAATCACCTTTAAAAACATACGCTTAATATACTACTTGATGGTCTTCCATACATATAGTAATTTGTCCAAAATACTTCAACATTTAACAAATCAAATCTCATTTACCTCTCCAGTACCATAACCACCAAGCTCTCTTTCTTGCTTCTCTCTCTCGCTAATTTCTTCTTCACCCCATAAGTGTAAGCAAGGAAACGAAACAGGGGGGAGGTCATGCAACCCGTTAACAGCAACACATTCATAGTAGAATAGCTGCAGGTAACTCATTGGTTAGGTAAATTTAGACAGCTGACTCAAATCTTCTAAAGATCATATAGCTTCACCTGCAGAAACAATAGACAACCACCGACAGCTCGTTGCTTTCCCTGACGATAACGAGCCACCTCCTGAACCAGCCGATCCAGCAGAAACTTTCCCCAATTATAATGGTGAATAACATCCACATCTGCCAGGAAGTGAAGAAATGCCGGGCTCACATCCAATCTTGCAGTAGGACACAAAAGAGTGCCTAATACATAAAGAACAAATGATCTTTTAAACTCTTCTCCTGCTCCAGGAGCTGCCAACCGCTCTTCAAGAAGCCGCACAGAAATCCCTTGATTTGTAGCATTGTAGTGTTGGCGCAATTCCAATATCAGTTTATCTGGGCCTGTATTCACCACATCTTTCCCACTAGCTGCCAACCCCATGACGAGTTCCACATCATGTGGAGTTAGAGGTATGCGTTCGCCGCAAATCTCCAACGTACGCCTCATAGTGTTAAATCTTTCCAGGAGCCAATAGCACAAACTACGCCTAAGAGTTCGGCATCTGAGACCAAGAAGGCTACCAAAACCCATGCTCTTCACAGAAGCCTTCTGTTCAGGTGTAAGTTTTTGTATCAAATTCAATAAACGACCAGGAGAGCACCTCGTGACTAGCTTGGGCTGCATACAGAGACAGCCAAAATTCTTTTACATAACCTAAGAATGTCCAATAAAAGCGATATGTTACACAAAAACGAAGAAAGAGCTACCTGGTGTTTTGTTTTAGGAACTCGAGCAGGACTTGTGCCCAAGTACTTATCCCACACTTCACGGGATCGGGAGGCGTATTTTGCCTTTTCATCAGGGCTCATCAATTTCCAGACATCTGAGGCAGCTTTTGTAGCCTAAAGTGAGCCAAAAGATTACAAACAGAAATGAAAGATGGGAGAAAAAACCTACGGCACCACATAGAGAAGATATAAACAGATTCTTACCGCTTTCAGACCAGACAATCCCGGATGTGAAGCACAGTACTGTTTAATGAATTCACGGCTAGCAAATTTCATTCAACATCAGTAGGACAACACCAAGATAGAAAACAAACCCAATCACATTCAAAAGAAACAACTGAAATCAGTCTCAGTTCCATTTACCTAAAATGCACCCAAGAACAAGCAGGACGTGTAGTTGTCACAAGCCTCTTCTTCTTCTTCCCACTCCCTTCAGGTTCTCCATGCTCCAGATCCTTTCTTTTGTCAGTAACTAGATCACCTTCACTTGGCATCTTAAAGTTGATGAGGTGGAGAAAGGTACATCATCCATAGCAAACATTCACACAAGTTAGTAACAGAAAAACTAAACAACATACAACAAGAAAATAGAGAAAATGACTACTTTTATATCCAAATTATGACGAAAGTGGGCTATATTTAGGAGGAAACACCAAGAGCAAACCAATCCGGCCTAATTTTTAAAATTCTGGATTCTGGTACCAACAAAGCTAAGCTATTAATTAGTTAACTTTTATATCCAGGTATCTAAAAGTAAAACCATAAAACTGGGTTTAATTATCAATGTAAATCGGATGAGCAAGAGAGTTGGCTGGAGAACTAGAGAAGGTCACAACTATATATTAAATGGATCCAAAACCACAAAATATAGAAAATGACTACGATAATATCGACATTATGATGAAAGCGGGCTATATCTAGGAGGCAACATCAAGGGCAAACCAATCCGGCCTAATTTTTAGAATTCTGGTGCCAACAAAGCTAAGCCATTAATTAGTTAACTTTTATATCAAGGTATCTAAAAGTAAAACCATAAATCAGGGTTTAATTATCAATGTAAATTGGATGGGCAAAAGAGTTGGCGGGAGAACTAGAGAAAGTCACAACTATATAATAAATCGATCCAAAACCACAAAATGCAACTAAATCCCATCAGCCAATCACTACAGAAACTATATAAAATTCAGAGGCAGAATAAGGCAACAACAACCTGGAATTCCTCATATTCCATATCAGAAGTAGCAAGCATGTCATCTGTGGATATCCTCGTGCCCTGGAAAAGGAGCAAATGCGGAATCACACACTTAACTGTGATCAAGATAATGCCGGCGCCATCACCGAGTTTTTGATTACTCCTAAATGCAGATTCACCCTGGGCATTGAGACAGAGAAATTAAGCCACTATGCAATCCAATAGTTAGACATACATACAAAACAGGAAGTGCAGAAACGTTCTTAGAGCTATGATCAAGCAAACCCATAAAACAAAATTCAGGCTTGTATCCAGTTATATTATCAAGATAATGTTAGTGGATAGGAGAAACAAAAACCTATCAAAACTAGTCTAAGACTATGGCGATCCGAATCTGGTGGGGCAAGTCTATACGAACCGGGAAGAAGATAAAGTTCTAAATTCGTACGGACGACAAAAACCTAGTTTCCGTCGGAATTCGAACGGCGAAGATGAACGGTGATCTCCAGCCCCCCGCCGATGGGGAGAGGTCGTTCGTTGGGCACAGCTGCCACAGTTATCGTGCTTTGCAGGGTTGTACCGTTTGGCCACTGAATAGTGAACGAATAAATCAGCAATTGATTAAAAAAAAATCATTTTCGCACTTTCCTTTTTCTGGATAATTTTATGCTACCATTTTATGCCCAACGAGTTAAGACTTTAAAAGGACTACAAGGAGCTATGAAAGACTAATTGCTTGCTACAAAAAGAAATTTTCTCATTTTCACAGGTATAATAGTGACATTCGACATCATTTTTTGCTGGGAATATTTATAAAAGGAGTGATGGAAGAGCAGAAGATGGCACTTTATAGTAATTCTGCTGAATTTGGAAAACTTATGCCTCTTTGGCAAGAAGAAACTTTTTAATTTTGATTGTAATAGCTGGAGTTGGGTCGAGTACATATCCAGTGCATCCGGGTATACCGTATACCCCTACCAAATATACGCGTTACACGCACTTAACATTTTTCACCTTTATATTAAATGATGTACTTGCATTTTTTTTTACTGGATAATCACTATAAAACATTTGGATAATTAGGTGTAACAAGTTGGATAACTAGTACAAAGATTCTGGATAATCATTACAAACGGTTGGATATTGCTGGTCATTGGCTAGATAACCAGTACAAAAGTCCTGGATAATCAATACAGAGCATTGGATAATCAGTTTACATCTTCTGGATAACCAGTTTACAACTTGTGGATAACCAGAATAACTAAACGACTCCCACGGCTACCGGAATCGCAGGTCACCAACCTGCCCCGCCTGCGCCGCCCCGCCGAACACGCCAATGTAGCTAAGGTAATCCTTTTTTCGTGTGTGTGTGTGTAAGGAGAGTGTGTTATTGCGTTAAGAAGGGACACAAATTACTTATATAAATCTCTTCATAATAAACTAAACGACCCGGATGCGCCGGTGTCCGCGGCTGTGCCGCCCCCATGCCAAACATGACAAATTTCATAAATAATATTTAATTGAATGCGGGGAAGTTTGCCAAATGATGGAGAACAAAAAATGAATTAAGGGCAGCTGGATAACCAGTGTAAAAATACGGACAAGGATATCCAAGAAAATACGGACAAGGATATCCAAGAAAAATATAAAAGGAAAAATATGAAATTTGGCAACTGGTTATCCAGTTGTGTGTAACTGGTTATCCATAATGTGCACACTGGTTATCCACTATGTCCATACTGATTAATGTGCACACTGGTTATCCACTATGTCCATACTGATTATCCAACAGGTTAATAATGGTTATCCAGCTGTGTGTAACTGGTTATCCATAGTGCCAACACTAGTTATCCACATGGTAAACACTAGTTATCCACGCGTTTAAAAAAAAAAAAAAAAAGAAGGCGCAGGGGAATATACCGGATAGTAATGCGTCAGAAACAAACATACTTGCCAAATTGTGGTCAGAACTCAATAGGCAAAGCTTAAAATTACAGTTAAAATCAAATTTGGGACACAGTTTATAAGACTCCCAACAAAGAAAACTACAATGACACAGCAAATCTGCTTTCTGAAAAGCTGCTAAATAATACTAGAAGCTATGGCAACATCAACACTTACATTACTTCGCCGATATGTTTGATTACTACATAAATACAGATGAACAGTTTAGTTGCAGATCGGATCCATCTTTTCAGGACATTTCGATCTTAACAAGTTACATAACTGCACCAACATAAAGCTAAACAACTGACGTCGGAGCTACACCTTCTGAATCTTTCCATATGCAAACGTCCAAATGGAACCGTCCAGTAGAAGATACATATTGCCTTGGAACCAGAATGAATTTTCTCGGAGTAGGGAATTCCGCCCACTTTGAGATGCTCTCCACAGGTGAATGTAGGGTAATGGATGTGTCCTCGTACTTTGCCGTAAGATTGTACGAAAGCTTTGGACTTGGTGTTGAAGATGATGCAATTCGAACTACATTCATCATGCCTCCATTGTATTCAGTATGATGAGCTAGGACAAAGATGGTAGTTTCATTGCTCTCTCTAAGAACTACCAACTTCTGGTTGACCTCCACAGAAACAGAGAAGAGCTTGTTGAAAAAGAAATTCTTGGCGGAGTGCGGGTGACAGCGACCAAAATGCGAATAAAAACTAAAAGTGGGGCCTGTATAACCGCAATCTGATAAGGGGCACGAACAAGGTCCGAATGAACACGTATTCTCGTGTCCAACCTTAGCACTGCAATTCAGCATCTGCCTGCATCCATATTTTGTATATCGGCAGGCGATTCTGACTGCTTCAAGCACCTTTTCCATGGCCCGACATCGATTGTATCCAGTTGGCCAAGCGCAAGTTGGACATTTATTATGAATCTTTACACAGCAGGAGGAACATGCTATGTGTCCATTTTCACACTATGATGTAGTCCAACAGAATGAAACATATTAGAGTTCTTATCCTTCGAATTGGTATGATACTGAGTCAACAAAATTACAATTCAAAATAACACATCAAAGGTGCACAGGGAAGAAGAAACGAAAAACTATCTTTGAACGAGGTAGGAGAAAAATAAATTCAGACAATAGAGAGACTGCTTCAATCAACTGGTAAAGATGTTTTAATAAGGATATCAAATGAACACAGGAAAAAATTTCTTGTAACAATAAGCCATGCATCCACTATTTCATTATCAGCTAATTATGCAACAAAACAAGCCAATGTAGATGGGCAGCATAACAATAATGTTTGAAGTACACAATTATTCATTTGAAAATAAAGATAGCAAGCACCAGTGCAGCAATTTTCAACAAGTATAAAAGAGAGAGATACTAGGAAATGTTCGGAGCAGTATGAGCTACAATGAACCAGTGAACCAGTCAACCACGGTACAAGAAAATTTTCAGCCAAGACACGCATAGACAGAAGGTCACTGAGTAAGGACGCGAGTGCATCTTGTCAGATTGAACCACCTGCTCGGCACATATCAATGTTATAGTTGATCCTTACAATCTCTGCCTTCTCGGATATAATTCACCAGCCAGCACCACAATCTCCAAAATCCTTACACATAGTGCATGACTAAAGAAGCTCAATATAAACACCTTACGAACATGTCATGCACAAATAAGGAACCTCTCATGTGCATTTTAAAATGCATCAACGTACAAACAAAGTTTCAGGGAAGCGCAAACAGATTTAAGGCCAAAAATGAACCATGGCAACATTACCTTACCCATCAGTTATCCTTGCTCTGAAAATGGGAAAACGCATAGACACTACGATTTTTTCCAATGAGTGAATTATGAATTGTAGCAACATACTTGAGAGAGGAACAAAATTATTTCAACAAAAGTGATTTGGGTGACAATATACTTAATGCAACGCAGCCATGGTAACATATTAAACCTTGAATCTCCGAAGTCCCACAATCTCGAGAGAACATTCCTACTAGATTCCAACTGATTAAACTACAAGAGCTGGTTAAAAAGCAGGAACCTTGACACTATTATAGTTATAATATACTAGTTTATTTCACCTGTTAATCCTGCGATGTAAAATTTTTCACATTCCACACTCGCGGTATACTGAAACAGATTGCATAAAAATAGCTCAAGTCGATTAAGGAGATCCTACAATCCCTAAAATTATGCAACGCAATTTCAACACATGAGAGACCAGTTTAGAAGAAACTAAAAACCCTCTTCAATAACCTGAAAATTAGGCTAAAAAAAGCATCTTTATGAGGGCAAACAAAAAGGATGAACAATCAAAACCTTACCTGAAACACAGGGGAAGAAAGTGGTTCGAGGCAGATGGGACAATCCAATACATCCGGGTCAGTTAATGTCATACGAACAGGCTCATCGTCGTCAAATGCATCCTCATTGAAATCTGGCTGTTGCTGGTTCTCTAATGATCCCTCTTCCTCCTGATCGCCCCTTTCCTCCCCCTCTTCCTCTTCTTCTTCTCCTTCTTCATCATCGTCGTCGTCGTCTTGAGAAGACTCCGCTTCCACCCCTTCCTCATCTTCCTCGGCTTCAATTGGATATTCAGGCTCTGATTCTATATAAAGGAGTTCCACCCCGTCATTCGACGGCGGAGGTTGCGGTGGTGGCGGTGTTGGTGGCCGGGATGTTTTCCGGCGTTTAGACCCTTGCCTGCTTGACCCGGGCGCTTCTCCAGGTTCATCGTCTTCTCCACCTAAAGAAAACCTCGCCATTTTCACTGACAAGATTTCTTCTTTACGCCCTCCACCCAGTGGAGGTTGACAAAATAACCACCCAATTAAATGTTCATTTATTTTTTTTTGAGTTTTTAAGTGTTTTTTTTATTAAAAATATAAAAAAAATTGTATTAAAAATATAAAAAATCATGTTAGGATAGAACAATTATTAATTAATAATTCTGAAAAACCATAAAAAAAAAAGAAACAAAAATAGTGTTGGTCATGCTAAAAGAAACCTTGGTCTTGCTCCTTGTTCGTATTGGTGTTATCTTCTATTGCACTTATCTTCTATTTGGTTGAGTACACGCGAAGGGCGAAAAAAGAAAAAATACCATAAGTGCATTGTTGACATTCTATATGTTGGGTTTTATTTTTTAGAATATCTCAAATATCGTGTTCTAAGATTTTTATTTTTTTATTTTTTGGTTATAGTAAGGACAATTTTAAAGAAATTGAGCCAGGTGTGAAAATCAAGTGTTTGTTTGGACGTCAACTTATATTTCATTTTGTCACTTAAAAGTGGAAAATGTTTCAAATTGAAAATTAAATGGGAAATAAAAATGTTTGGATGTTGGTTTTGAAAAAAAATATTTTGAAATACATTCTGAAATATCAAGTATAGGTCATCACTAAACAATTAAATACTGTCAATTATAGTCATTGCAAAAAAGAACTTTTCCAAAAACAATCACTCAACAACGGAATCCTGCCAAATTTGTCATTGAACTATTTGTAGTTATAAAATAGTCATTACTCTAGCAAAAAGTGTTTCATGTTGGAATTTAAAATGTAAATCAGATTGTTGTTTGGATGATGTTTTCTTTTCCATTGAGTTTTATGTTTAAGAGGTAAAATGAGACAAAATGCAAAATGGAAGGTTGGCCAAACAAAGCCCAAGATCTCGTGTAAAAAGACCCGAATGAAAAATAAAAAGACCAAGATATGGAGAAAAAGCTAGAAAGACCAAAGACTTGAACGATTGAAAACCTTACCTCTACCATTGAATAACAATTTTAGGAATAAAAAAGCAATAAGATTCGTAACATACAACAACTCTACATTAGCTGAATTCAAAATCCCTAAAAAACTGATGGGAAATAACAATTTCTTTAATCATTATATAAAGATTTTGTTCAAAGTGAGAAAAGAATTGTTATCTGTCAATGTAATATTTGACAACATCTACATTCTCATCATTCTTGCACACCGTCTCTACACAGCAGCCTCTGCATAAGGATTAGTCACTGAATGGACACTTGGAGCTGGTGCAGAGTTAAATATGTTTGCAGCTGAAGCACCTTCATCTTGTTGAATCGAAGAGAAAACAACTTCTTTTATTCTGGCAGCAGCAAACATTGCATTCTAACTCCGACCCCTAAGCACCATTCTTTTCAGCTGAATTCTGAATCCGTTTATCTTGCCACCTTTTACCCTTCTTCATGCAGGATTCAACACCCTCTTCATTTGGATTTGTATCTTTGTTGAACACTGGAATATCACCAGTTGCTGCTTGAACTCCATCGGGGAATAAAAAACACTACAAAAACCTTTCAAAACATACAGCAAGACCTTCGAAACTAACCACAAGACCAGTACAACAATTATACAGGACCACTAGAAACAGAGTGACAATGCAAAAACTAGTTACAAATATGCTGTAGAACCTTCAAAATAAACCAGAAAACTAAAAAACAATTCTCAAGGACCTTCTAACTGAAAGACCACATTGAACTCCACCACGAGGATAAAAACCACTGCAAAAAAACTTTCAAAACATATGGCAAGACCTTCGAAAGTAATAGTTCGACTTAAGTTGCTTTATTTACAGTATGCCATTCTTTTGTTATTCTAAAAAGTAACAGTACTAGTAGTAGCTATAGCAAGGAAGTGTAAAATAGAAAAACGTAACAGATCGTATTTTAACTGGAAATGTCACGGAAGAATTTTCATTTGCTCACAGATGGTAGTATTTAATTGTATAAGTTTGAAGAAGAAATTTCACGAGGTTTATTAGTTGTGGGGTTGAAAGAATTTCTTCGGTAGTTTAAGGATTCCTTATGCAATTACTCGAAAAGAACCCCTCCGCGACGACGTCGTTCTTTTCACGAAGGAGGAGGAGGAGAATAAGGAAGAGTGAAGAAGCTGCCATATCCAACAACAGCGGCAGCTAAAACAATAGAGTTCATATTCTGAGAATGGAGAGGGGTTGTCTAAGCTTCAGAACAGCGGCGAGGCCCGCCACTTTTATTCACCAAAAGAATTTATACTCATTAATTCCTTCATCTACATCGACTAAAAACACGGTTAAGTTTCTGAATAATGGTAGTTATACTCGGAGAAGAAGAAGTAAGTTACGCGTCGAAGCTACAAAGGCGGCGTTTTCTGCCTCCGGTGCTGGCGGTGGAGGAGGAACGACTATATCCAGCAATTGGGATATCTCCAACTACAGCGCTGCACCCTCTTGGCTGCCCAGATTTGAAGAACTCGACACCACCAATATGCTTCTTCGCCAGAGGATTATTTTCTTGGGATCTCAGGTGTCGTTCTTCTGCTCGTATGGTTATTGTTTAATTGGGTTTTAATTGATATGGGCTTTGGTTTTCACAATTGTGATCAAAATTTTCAATTTGACGCGGGTGGATTTTTGGACTAAGTTAATGGAACTCCCAAAGTTTAGATTTTTGGCACCCTTTTGGGAAAATTTGTGTTCAAGATGGTTCTTTTTGCGCTGCTTACGTTTTTAGGAAGTGGTATTTTTTGTTTTACAATATTTTTTACTTAATGTCTTCTCTTTTTTATGCTGTTCTTTTGTTGACATGGTGGTCTGCTCATATAGTCTAATCAATATCATTCCTTCCTATTTTCCTGATAAACAGGTTGATGACACTACTGCAGATTTTATCATAAGCCAGTTATTGTTTCTTGATGCTGAAGACCCGAAAAAAGATATTAGATTGTTCATCAATTCCCCTGGTGGCTCTGTTACTGCGGGTACATTTATTCTTTCAGTTTGTTGACAACCTTTATGATATTAGTCTTTGATGGTTTAGAATTGGCCCTTCCATGGTTGGAGTTCCTTCAAATTTCTTAGGACTAATTTTCGTGTTGCAATGAACTACTGTATAGGTATGGGAATATATGATGCAATGAAGATGTGCAAGGCAGATGTTTCTACCATCTGCTTGGGGCTTGCTGCATCCATGGGTGCATTCCTCTTAGCCTCAGGTACTAAAGGGAAAAGGTTTTGCATGCCTAATGCGAGGGTGATGATCCATCAGCCCCTTGGAACTGCTGGAGGCAAAGTAGGTGCTCGAAGCTTCTTACTATTCCTAGTACAGATTTTCAATTTCGCTCGAACTTGTTATATATGCTTGATTTAATCTTTTGAAAATTTGTTGATTTTCTGTAATTGGAAAAGGAATCGTATTCAGTTATGGTAGTGTTCTGACCTTATTTATCTTTCTCTGGGTATTCTGCTTCTATCTCATGCCTGTTAATCTTCTTTGTACAAAACCTGAAGACTAGAGCCATATCATTTTCTGATTTTCATGTGTTGGCTTGATCTTCTCTTTCCTGCATGGTATGGCTAATTTCTGCATCCTTTTCATTGGTTACATAGTTTGTTGCATGGAGTTCTTGATTCTTAATTAATTGAGGGGAAGATTAACTGATTGGCTGTAGTATTAATATTTTGTTAATAAGAGATGGTTGAAAGAGATTTATTGGCATTTCCTTCTGGAAAGAGGTTTAGATTATTATTTGACATCTGAAGCTACCTCGCAAAGAAAGAGTTAGAGCAACCGTATATTAACATGTGTGAGTTTTGATGTTTGCTGATTGCTTAATCTATTTGTTATTCAGGCAACAGAAATGAGCATAAGGATCAGGGAAATGTCTTACCACAAGATTAAACTGAATAAAATTCTGTCTCGTATTACTGGAAAGCCCGAAGAGCAGGTGTGTCACCAACAGTTTGTGATTTTTTCTTCTTCATGACCTGGAAAATGAATAGTTCCAATACTTTTCCTTGTTTACTATTCAGATTGAGATAGACACAGATCGAGATAACTTTATGAATCCTTGGGAGGCAAAGGATTATGGTTTAATTGATGGCGTGATAGATGATGGCAAGCCTGGATTAGTTGCACCGATTGTGGATTCCATACCTCCACCCAAAACACGAGTGTGGGATTTATGGAAAATTGAAGGCACCAAGAAAGCCAAGAAAAATCTGCCCTCAGAGGAAGCGATTCTTCAGAATGGCTTTGTCGGTGGTCAAACTAATGATGATGGACAAGGCACGCAGAAAGAGGAAGCACCGACACCTTCATAGGGCATTGCAGTGCTGTATCTCATGTAAACTACATTATTCAAATGTAGCCTTTAGATTAATGCTTGGGATGGAAGGAGTTTGTACTGCACGAAATTATAAAGTGGTCAAAAAGATTTTTAACTCTCAAGATTCCAGATTGTAAGTTGAACCTATCATCGAGTTCTCTCAATGTATGTCCATTGTCAAACTAGATGAGCTTCTCATTATTCAACTGCTCCTGTTGGGGCTTATTTATGAATTTTGGTTTGTTGGTACTGGAATTTTTACTTTGGTAAAGTATATTTTGGCACAAAAACCTATCTTCAAGTGGCTTTTCAAGGTTATTTGAAAAAAAAAAAAAAAAGAAGAAGCAAACAACTATATATCTCATCGAAAAGAATTTGTAGAGCTTGATTCCGGTACAATGCCATCTATCAAAACGTTGATGAACTATGTCAATACAAACTTAATTTAGTTTACATTGTTGAAAAGTTTGAATAGAACAAATTGCAGAAGTAGGGGTGGGGAGGAGGACCAATTGTGGCACCTTAAAGTTCCTATAACAAATAAGCCTTTCAGTATCTCCCCATGGCATAACTGTATAATTATCCACTGTCTACAACTCCTCTTCGGAGTTTTCCTTCTTAGATGGAGGTAATGGTGGCGTTTCTTGGTCTAATAAAAGTCGTGAACAATCCGCATCCAAAGCCCTTGGTATTTTCAAATAGAGTTAACAGAGTCATCATCACTGTTTTCACTGTCACTGCTGCTACTCCCACTCCCACTCCCGCTGCCACTTCCACTTCCACTTCCACTGCTCTCGCTCCCACTGCTACCACTGGAGCTTGAACTTTGCTCTTCCTTTTCCTCTGCATCTACTTGGGCTCGCAGGGCTTCTGCAGCATTGGGTCCCTTGTCAGCTTCATCATCACTGGCATCAACATCAGCTATTTCGTCATCTGTATCATTATGGTGAGGTATATTAATATCAATGCCAGTATGATACTCTTTCACATCAATACTTCCTCCATTAGCAATGTCAACATCAACATCATCATCATCGTTCAGTATATCCAATTGTTCATCCAAATCATCCATCTTGTCGGGAGACGCATTTGCCGCATTATCTTGCACAGATGGATAGTCGACAACCTTCTCATTCTGGGGTTTTGCTTCTGAGACAAAGAAAATGAGTCAGTCAACAGGACAAAGGAGATTCTGATAAAAATAATAATAATAATAAAAAAAAAAAAAAAAAAACTGAAATCTGCATAGTTCAGACTAAAGAGAAAGCAAGCCACTCTCCAACATGCAGAAGACAGAGGTTGTAACATGAGCCAAGTACGTTGTTCTGGTAGAAAAGCCTGATTAACCATAAGATACACAAGCATGAACAGAACCTTATATTATAGACGCTCGTAGCCAGAATATATCTGATTACAGTATCATTGTAGAATAGAGTAAATTGGCCAAGTGAATGGAAGTAAACATAACTAGTTATCTGGATAACAGATAACAGTAAAGCCTGAGCATAATCATGTTCCTACAACTGAGAAAAAACTCAATACCATCTGTTTCCACCACAAAGTCTAGACAGGCATAAAAGAAAAATAAAAAACTTCTTTATCAAGCTTTAACGCTTCAGTTCATTCACATCATTACTGAAAATAAATCCAGGTTTACAACATGCCTTTATGTCAAAATGAATTCAAGCCTGTTGCTTCCACAACATTGTGATAAAGCATACAACTTGGTAAATAAAAAGAAGTTATATGAAATAAACTTACCAGAGCTTTTGAAGTCTCCAATATCAATCCTTTCCACTTCAACCTGTACAAGCAAGGATCACAACACCATCAGCAGCAGTATTATGGAATACTGGACAGATAACTAATTGAACTCCCATATTGAATCCCTTGAACTAGATACAAATATTCTGCCAACAAATCAGACGCCTCAGGCCCTTCAAACCAGTGCAACTTTGATAATCTCAACTCCAAAGATCAAATGCAATTGCACAATCGTTCACCATTCAAAAATTGGTACTTTAGGTTCCACAGTGAGAAAAGAAAATTAATAGACAAAGAAAAAAAAGGACTCACAGGAACAGCAGGAATTGTGCTTTTATTGAAAGGCAACTTAGCCGCCTTGCCAACCGGCGACGAGCCACCGGCATCAGCAGCTGGTCCAGCCGAGGGACCAGCTAACGCCGCGGCAGCGGAGGAAGCGGACTCTCCAGGAAGACGCACATGCCTCAGCCGCTTCACCGCTCGGTGGAGACGCTCAAGTCGGAAAGACACACCATCAAAGAATAAAACGGCATCGTTTTCCTTGTAATCCTCACTACTCCCCTCGAACGTGACGTTGGGTTTCCCAGGCTGGTTGTTGCGGAATTCAACAGTAATCTTATTATCCTTGGTCTTCTGCAGTGTTCCCGCTTGATTCTTATCAATTGATGCCGGCTTGAATTCATCTGCCCAGAAAAAAAAAACCCAAACCAGAAAGGTTAAAAAAAAAGAGGTATGTGAAAAAACCCATAAAACATAGCAAAATATACAAGCAAATATTTAGAAAAGATGGAAGCTTTTACATCGTAAAGTGCAGAACTTGGAGGAAGGATCACTGAAGGAAGAGCCCAGGCTTAAATCATACCATCGATCAGGCTGTGGTCCTGTGTTTGGTTCGTTTTTATTGATGTTGGCCATGACTATTTAATTTTTGGTTGGAACCAAAACTTATGAATTATGATGATCATCAGATTGAATAAATTTGGACATTTTTGTAGCGTATCAGATTGCAGTTTTAGGAAGGCACCGCCGCGGAACCTAATTGAAGAAGGGCGGAAGAGGAGGGGGAAAAGGACATATTGGTCATTTAGTCTTAATAAAACGATGAAACTACGTCGTGTTGCGAAAACAACTGCCTATGAATGGAACATCTTTTAATCGACACCAATCAATCCTCTCTGTGATAGCTCAAATATGGCAACCCAAATCGGAGGAAAAGCCTATATGATTTCACCGATAAATTTTGTGCGAATCGATCCTTCGGTGATTAGGAAAAGCATATGCTTCAATTCAGAGAAATCACTGCCCAGAAGATTCTCAATTCACTGCTCTCAAAACCAACCCAAACTTGAACTCAGAACCTGCAAAAATTGCAAGACCCAGTTCGATCCTTTGCTCAACCATCCCCGAGCTTGTCGATACCATACTGCTCATTTTGGAGGTACCCTTTTCGATTTCCATAGTTTATATCAACTCAAACTTCTCATATGTAAATGGTCAAAGTTAATATTTTTTGTTTGGTTGTTGTTGATTCATATCGTAATAATGGTTATCTTCTTTCATGGACACATTTTTTTGCAGGGGAAACAAAGAGGAAATTTGAGAGTGTGTACAGTGGAGGAACTCTGGATACACCAGATTCTGGGAAAGTCTTCCAATACTGGCATTGCTGTGGTTCTGAAGATCCCTTTGACCCTGGGTGTACAGCTTCACCACATGCTTCCTATGATGATTAAAAAGCCTTTCTTGTTTGGATTTCTGGTAATGATCTCAGATATTGTCTGTGTTAGGCGTCTAATTTGATAAGCCCCCCTTGATAATTATGAATTCTTGACATTTTTTTACTTACCACCTCTTTGTCTATGGCCCTTTACTCTTTTTTGCATTGTTTTTTTTTTTTTTCAATTTTCAGAACAGAAAATATGCTTAAGAAGAAGATATATTAGGAATCCTGTAGATCATCCATACCTCAGAAACTACCTTCCAGTTTCCATAGAAACTTTTTTTTTTTTTCCCTTTACTTTCATTTGGATTAAGGATTCGGTGCTAAAATGTTGATCGTTTCTTCTTGCAAATTTCGCTAAAATACGTTTTGATTTACTCCGCGTTGTAACATGAAAATGAAAATTTGATAAAAACCAAACAAAAGAAAAACAAAAACACGGCATTACAGATCTAATTTGAACGCATTATTATCAGGCTTATTTGTCTGCGGCTCAGAAAGTTCAATTGTAGGCACCATAATAAACGGGGCATTGCCGATTCGACCCATGTTCTGAACTGTTCTGAATCACTGTTTTGTGTTTTAGGATAAAATGGAATTTTTCTATGAGCAACTTATTCGGGTCACGGCATCCATCATCGTCAAGTAATTTCTTTGTTGCTTGCACGCGCAAATACCTACGCGGCCACCATTTTTACGCGATTCTTCACGTCTAATTCATAATTCTGATATTATACTTCCATTGTTTTGTCAGCTCATGACATTTATAAATATCCCACCATTCTAATCATTCCTTTCTTCATAAAGATTCTCATCAAATTTTAGTATTTTACTCAAATTAGGATGGAGATACCATCTACTACCATCATATCTTGCCCAAAACTTCCTTCTAAGCGATCCTTAATGTTTGCAAATCCCCCCAGCTTCCTCAGACAAGGGGCTTCGACAAGAAAATATGTCGTCAAGGCAAAAAAAGATGATCATGATCAACACGGAGGGAAGATTGTAGATGACAACATGATCATCCTTCGAATGCGCATCAAGGAAATGAAGATGATGGAATCGGATTCTAGCAATGATCATCATCAGCCCCCTTTGGATTGGATGGAATGGGAAAAGAAATACTTCACCACATATTACAATGAGGATATTGTAGAGGGGATTGGATTGTTGCAAAGTTATTTGATGAACACCAGGCCAAGTTTGGCTTTAGGAATGCTGGCCCTTCTTGCTTTGAGCGTTCCAATCTCTGCATCTTTTCTAATTGTTGAAGTTATGGATTTGGTGAAGAGTTTGGCTTCTGGTTTTCACTTTCCCTAGCTTGTACATACACACCGTAATGTAGTCAGCCAATTTCTATTTTTGGGTTAGTACAGCTTACAGTTTAGGATTTGTAAAGGAATTAATTAAGCCGTCTTGTGAACCTATTGGCCAAATTTAGTTCTGAGGTTAAACTTTTGTGTTGAGTTAATCTCTCAGCCAAGCTCAAGCGTCAGATAGTTGGTTCAATCAAAAGGTGGGGCTTAATCTCGAATTCATTTTAAATGATGAATTGAATTCGAGATTGAGCTCGATACAGGGTTATTGTAGGTTCAACTAATCACTTGTAATCCTAATTGATAATGTATTATTGGTTGGTGATTATTCTTTAGTTAGGCTCTTAATCTTTCATTTTCTCAACTAACCTGCCATACGCACACTTTGATCTAAGAAACAAAAGTAAGGTTAGCGTTAAATGTCTTGATACGCTTGATTTCCATCAAGAATAACCAAAATTCCTGGACAAAACTTTCTCAAAGAGACACGCAAACATTTCAAAGAATGTTTAACTAGCTCAATTATTAAAGGCCCCCCTTTTCAGGTCATATCAACTACTACCACACAAAACACCTAATCGGACTCTGAAAATCGATGAAAATACACTAAACGCCAATCGGCCCGATTTGCAAGAGTTGCGGTGGAGTTGGATTTGGAGGAGCCACTGGTGCCCAGCTTAAGATCGGTAGCAAGCAGTGGAGTACGAAGGTTTCTCGGTGATATGCTACAATTGCGGCAAAATTGACCATGGAAGTGCGATTTGCAAGGAGGAAACCAGGAATCCAAACTTAGCAAAGCAGGTAGGGAACGAACACGACGGAAAAATGGACGCCGAAAGTACAAAGGACACAAACATGCAATCGACTACAAGTAATACTCAACAAGACAAATATGAAGAGGGCCGAATAGGGTTGAGACCATGGATGGTTGCCCAAAGGAGACCTGGGAGATATGCCAGACAGCAAAATCCGGATAGCAACCGGGGGCCCCAGTGCAACTAACGACCCAAGAAGCCTCCTTTTCAAGCCTGAAAACTAAAGAACTTAACCCCAAACCAAACCAAAGAGCCCAAACAGCCCAGAAACCCCAAATTACTGAAACAAACAAGACCAAACTAGCTCAAAAGGTTACCATTTCAGCCCAACCAGCCTTAGATTCGCAAACCAACAGTGTTAAAACCTCTCCCCAGTTAGACAAACAATTCCAAACATTAAAAATCGACAAGGCACCAGGAAAAAATATAGCAACAAAACCAGGTGATACCACATTTACGTATGGATTAGGTTCACCAAAAACCTTGCATTTAACACAACATAAAGATAACACAAATTTTGTGAGAAATCTGACTATGTAACTAAGTTGGATTGTGTCTTATTTCATATGGAAGGAAAATAACCCAAGTAGATCTGTTAAAAGAACACAAGGGAGAATTAAACTGATTCTGCAACGAAAAAATGATTACCCAATAATAGGATGGGATTCAGAGTTCGCCAATCTAACAGAAGGGGGTAAAATACATGGCAAGATTACCCCCAATCTGAAGGAGGTGCCACCGTCTATCGTGATGGCGGTCGATTCCATCCTTGAGTTGAATAAACCTCCATATCCACACGAAGTACACAACAAGAAGATCATTGAGCAGTATGATGGAATAACTATGGAAGCAGAGAACGTCCTCCTTAGGGAAGACCAGGTATGATTCGATCCTTAACCTCTTTCAATTAACTTTTTTTAATGAAGATCATTGCTTGGAACGTGCAAAGTGCAGGCTCTGAGAAATTCAAGCCTGCAGTTAAAAAATTAAGAAGGATTATAAGCCTGATATTCTAATAGCTCTGGAACCAGGGGTTAGCGGTATAGGAGCTAGGAGAATTGTGAGGGGATTAGACTTTAAAGAATGATTTGTTGAAGATGTTGTGGGTTTCTCTGGAGGAATTTGGGTTTTATGGGACATAAATAAAATAAACATTACAGTTTTGGCCTCATCTAATCAATGGGTGCATTTCTTGTGGGAATCAGACGAGGGAAAAGGGTTTTGCACATCGGTTTATGCATCTCCTGCCCCCCTAGAAAAGGAAAAGTTTGTGGCGAGATTTGTTATCAATAAAAAAACCAAATTTCGGGACCCTGGGTTGTCATAGGAGATCTAAATGTATACCTTAGTGCTGATGAGAAACAAGGGGGATCACCTGCAAACAGATGTAAATGTCGGGAACTTCACGAATTTATGCACGAAAGTGGGCTACTGGACATGGGATTTACTGGTCCAAGGTTCACTTGGAAAAGAGGACAATTACAAGAAAGACTTGATAGGGTGTTGTGTAACTTGGATTGGAGGTGCGATTCCCAGAGAGTGATGTGATTCATCTGTATAGAATCAAGTCAGACCACCGACCGATCATGTTGAGGCTAACACAAGATAAGGCGCCTGATCTGGATGAAAGACCTTTCCGATTTCAAGCTTGCTGGCTCACTCATAGAGAGTTTGATAGATTCATTAGCCAAACGTGGAGAGGAGATGAAGGATACAAGGCAGCGGAGGAAGTGTTACGACAAAATCTGATTGTGTGGAATAGAAGGGTCTTCAGCAACATATTTACTCGCAAAGAAACCTCACCAAAAAACTGGAGGAGCTGGAACGAAAAATTGAGTATGACCAGTCAGAACCACTTGCAAAACAGAGAGATATAACTCAAAGGAAGCTAGAAGAGACGTTGGTATAAGAAGAAATATTGTGGTATCAGAAATCTAGGACTAAGTCGCTACAGTTTGGATGCAAAAAATAAGTGGTATTTCCATCTTAGTACCATGGCGAAGAGAAGACGTGGGAAAATCATCAGGCTGCAAAATGACAATGGAGTGTGGATTAATGATCAAAGTGAACTAAAGAAGATGGTTGTACATTATTTTAGTAAACTTTTTAGCAGGGAAGAGTCACATGAAGCAGATCCGATATGGATATCGAATTTTCCACAGTTGAGATCAGAAGAAAACGCAGCCCTATCAAGGATGATTAGTGAAGAAGAAGTCAGGAGAGCAGTATTCGACGTGGGACCTTACAAAGCTCCGGGACCGGATGGATGGAGTCCTATTTTCTTTCAAACACAATGGAAGACTTTAGGAAAGATAGTGACTGATTTTATAAGTGGATGTTTCAGGGATGGCCATATACCGCCCAATATAAATGAAACACTGTTGGTTCTCATCCCCAAGAAAAATCAACCAGTGGATATGTCTCGACTCAGACCAATCAGTCTGTGCAACGTGATCTTCAAGATCCTAAACAAAATTTTGGCAAATAGGTCAAAGCCAATCATGGGGAAAATGGTGAGCCCGACACAGACAAGCTTTGTCCCGGGGCGTAAATTGGCAGATAACACAATCATTGTACATGAAATCATTCATTCAATGAGGCTGAAAAAAGGAAAGAAGGCTTGGATGACTGTTAAAATCGATTTGGAGAAAGCTTATGACCGATTGAGATGAGACTTTGTTAGAGACACCCTAGTCAGAGCTGGACTGCCAGTTAAACGAGTCGAATTGATTGATGAATGTAATAAATCTGCCAACACGAGAATTTTGTGGAATGGAGGTATCACAGAAGAATTCAAACCGACGCGAAGAATAAGACAGGGAGACTCTTTTTCACCCTATCTGTTTGTACTTTGCATGGAAATACTAGGACATAACATCACTAATGCTGTAGATAAACACGAGTGGAAGGGCATACGCCTTGGGCCAACAGGTCCCACCGTGTCACATTTATTTTTTGCCGATGATTTATTTTTATTTTCTGAAGCTACATTAGAACAGGTGGATATTATGAGTCACATTTTGAACGATTTTTGTAGGTACTCAGGTGAGAAGATCAACAAATAGAAAACCTAGATCTTCTTTTCCAAAAATGCACCTGGTCACCTTAGAAATGCCATCAGCCAGAAGTTCGGGTTTGGCGAAACTAAAAACCTTGGTCGATATCTTGGCTCACCTGTCATCCATGGTAGAATCACGAAGAGCACGTATAATGACATACTTGACAAGATCAAAGCAAAGTTATCTGGGTGGAAACCTAATCAGCTAGCTTTAGCATGAAGAATAACTTTAGCTCAGTCGTGTTTGCAGTCAATTTTTTTATATTTTAGATACAGTCAACAAAATTGCCGATATATTTGTTTGATGAGATAGATAGATTGGTGAGAAATTTTGTTTGAGATTCAACGGCTGATAAAAAGAAAATGGGGAAACAGTTTGTAACCCCAAAGAAAAAGGAGGTCTCGGGCTGAGAAAAGCAAGGGAAAGCAATATGGCATTTCTCATGAAAATTGGATGGGAGATTCTGGCCAAAGAAGATGAACTCTAGGTTTAAATACTTCGGGTGAAGTATTGCAAACAAGTGCCAGGAGGTTTGGTCATGAAAAAAATAAAAAATGCATCTCAAACATGGAAGGGAGTGACGGATGTGCTACACCTACTGGAGAAAGGCATCACATGGGTGATAGGAAATGGAAGATCGGTTAAATTTTGGGAAGACGAGTGGGTTGAGGGCGTAGGCAAGCTGAAAGATCAATTGCTATGACCAGTTCCAGAGAGTTATAAATTACAACCTATGGTGGAATTTTTGACACCTAATGGAACCTGGGATGTCAATAAGTTCAGACATTATCTTCAGCAAAGTGTAGTGGAAAAAATGTGCAGAATACCTACACCAATGGAGAACCTATGAAAAGATCAACCGAGATGGCTACATAAGAAGTCGAGTAAGTTCTCTGTCAAATCAGCTTATTTACTAGCCCTTGATAGTTCTTCTTTGTAGGCAGACAAAGACTGGAGTAGAGCTTGGAAGTGGAAAGGTCCCCAGAGAATCAAGACATTCCTATGGCTAGCTTTACATGGGCGTCTCCCAACAAACGATCTATGCCGGAAAAAGGGGAGTTGACACGACAGATGTGTGCTCCACGTGTAGAATGGATGTTGAAACAACACTACATGCCATAAGAGACTGTCCTCAGGCAAGGAGTGTTTGGAATCAACTAATACACCCCAACCGCAGACAAAGCTTCTTCCAACAAGAGTTGCGGGATTGGATGAGAACCAACCTTGAAAATGAAAACCAAGACTAGGCGACGAAATTTGGGGTGACAGCATGGCTAATCTGGAACTGGAGAAATGACCGAGTCTTCAATGAGGAAAATATCATATTGGAGAAAGCTGTCAGAACAGCTCAACAGAGAGCAAACGAGGTAACAAGAAGCAACTCCATCCTTAAGTGGCACAAAGCTGAATGCATAAGAAGAGAAGTTATAGGTTGGCAGAAACCTCCTTCAAAGTGGATCAAAGCCAATTGTGACGGTGCTGTCAACGATGCAGAAAATAAGGCAGCTGCAGGAGGTATTTTAAGAGATGAAAATGGGAAGTTCATTAAAGTTTTTAATATTAACTTAGATTGCTGCTCCATCGAAACAGCAGAACTGAATGCAATACTCCTTTCAATGGAGGTTGCAAAAAGTCTAGGGACTCCTAAACTCATGGTGGAGTCTGACTCACAAGAGACAATCGAAATAGTTCAGAACCTTGTGGGGAGAAAAGAGTGTCCTCTTGACCCCGTGTTAAGAGGCATCCACAACCTTTTATTGTGAAACTGGGAGGTGCGTTTTGTACATACTTATCGTGAGAATAACACTTGTGCCGATAAGTTGGCTAAAGAGTCACTCAACATAGATAGGGGACTATATTCTTTCGATGACATCCCTAGTCGTATTTTGCTCCTGTTAGAACAGGATTGTAGACGTTTAACTATGTACTAATTAAGGCCATTGCTGTCTGGCCATTTTGATTACCAAAAAAAAAAACCTAATCAGCAACAAACATTATAATGAGAAGTACACAGAAATATTAAAAGAGCGCATGCACCTAACCATCAACGTACAATTATATCATCCGCCCTTTGAACTTTGAAGTGAGTTAACTTTTAAGTTTTTGCGGTTGATAAGATTTATAAACTCGTGATTTCTCTCACTCAACATTCTAATTATTGGACTGATGGTTGTTGGTTCCCTCATATGAATTGATTAATCTTGTGTAGTTTTCTACACATCGCTATCGCGTGGAAATGTGTCATTTGTACAAGACCACCATCTTACTATTTGGTCCATAAACTTCATCGTCGGGTCTTCATCAAATTGATTGGCCTATTGTACGAATTATTAAAAAAACAAAAAACCTGGCCTACCATGTTTACTTGTCCGTGGTATACTAATCACACAAACCACTAATTTAGACTATTTTAGTCTTTAGATGATGAAGGTATAATTTACGTAACTTGATAATATAATAGTGATGATTTCTGTCAATTTTGTGACTTTTCTCATCACGCGATAATAATGCAATATTAAACCAAGAAAAAAATCATAAAGAAAGAAGAGAATAATGCTGAAAGTTGGCAAAAAGTTACAGTGGATCGATACCGCGTACCCGCACGTTGACATCTCTAGATTTGTACTTTTTCACTAAAAAAATGATTAATAACTGAAATAACTGTTAATCTTATACTGTGTGCACTCTTTATTTTTATGGAAAATCTCATGTAATACAACGATTGCTCGTCCAGACCTCCCGGCTTTACGATGAGCACACAATGATAACATCAGTCACAACACTCGACTGTCAACTGTTCTTGTGCATGACGCCAAATGGATAATGAGATAAGGGGGAAGAATGTTCAACAAAAGTAATCATTTAGGAGGGAGAACGATCATGAAATTTTTATCCGTTTTCATGCATTTGAACTTTGAAATATCCCGTTGTGCGGTATTTTTTTTTTTTTGTCCCTAACAACCATGTAAAAATATTATCTCAAATCACTGATTCAATTAATTTTAATTCGAGTCGTATCTGTTTATAAATTGTAAAAAAAACTTTTAAAATATATTGTAATCATTGTCATGTGTTAGAGGCATGATTCGAACACGATTATATTTAATTGATCGAATAACTTAACCATTAATTCAAGATAAAATGCTTCTGGATTATAAGGAAAATGATAGTTATGTGAAACACGAGTTGGTTTGATTAGTCTCTGTTGAAGTTTGGGGAGAAATCCAGACGGCGGAAGTTAAAACGGTAAAAGGTGGTAGTAGTTTGTGGCGGTTAGATGAACCACCACTTTGATGTCGGAGATTTTAGTAAATATCAACGGACCAGATTAATACAACGTCAAAAGGACACTGACAATTAGAGCATCCCGGAAAATCTCCATTCCCCACAAGACTGACAACAAAAAATGGTCCAATCGTCGATGATTGAAACCCTTTTTGTTTTTTTTCTCTTCTTTTCTGGGAAGTTAACTCTCTGGCTGGCCGTAGTCACCAGAAGGCCCACCATATCGTACGAACCCAAAACCCGCCGTGTCAACATAACAAATCGAATTATAACTTTTGTACTCTTAGCTCGATGACGACCGTGATAATTACTCATTAAATTTCATTTACGACGGTGTACTTTCATATTTTGGTAATCCTTTTACTTTTCATTTAGCAGCATACGGTTAGCATAATTTTTATATTTTATTAATATTAGTGTATTGAATCAAACGTGGAGAAAATTCCCACATAGGCAACTATTCGTATTTTGCAATATGATTATCTGTAGTATCGTGACGAGTCCACAAGTTTACTTTTATAAATCATAATAGTTTAGAAGGCATTGTATGTATGGTTTTTTTTTTTTTTTGGTAATTTCTTAATAATTTTTTATTATCAAACTTTTTATCCAATGCTTTTTTTTTTTTTTGCATTCGTAAAATAGGAAAAATATCTTAAACACACAATAGAAAAAAAAAGGTTTGTCTTGTGTTAAAGTAATATATGTCTTGAAAGACCCTCAAATCCAGGCGGGATTTTAATGTGAGGTATTTGGGTTCTTTTGGAGTATTTAGATTATTTGGTATCTGCTAGATTAGTTCGGTATTATTATGATGTAATTTAGGTATTTTTACATGTCTCTTCAGTATGTAGAAAAAAAAATAAAAAAGTAATACTGTATGTTTGGTACAAGATAATTAAACTGTTATATTACTAGTAGGATACAACTACAAATGAGATAATTATTTATAAGTTGATTTCTCCTTATTCCACACATCAAGTTCAACCTTGATGCACCTTAAACTTACCGGTGTTGCAAAACAGTGAAGTCCTCCTATTAATTTAACGGTGTGGCGGAGCACTCTTGTAACTTGGAAGTCCAGAATAGCACCGGCACCGCCATAGAATAACGTTTATTACTGCAACACGATTCACTCATTAGTAATTTTGTTTCCGGACTACGATGCATCGCCAGTGTCTTCCCATGGTATGTCTCGCTTTTTTCTTTAACTTCAACTTCTTTTTTTTCGTTTCGTTTACCTTTTTTTTTTTTTTTTTGTAAATTTACTTCTACGTCTTTTGGTCTCTCATTTTTCCAAAGTAATTATACCAGATGGATCTAGTTATTATGATGCGGTCATCAATTTGGAATTAAAATATAAATTTAAAACATAACAGAAATTTGGAGAATCTTTATACAGAAATTTCAATAAAAATTTTTTTTCTGAAAAAGAGAAAAATAATCAGATGATTTTGTTTAGATGAATGAAACTAGTGATTTATAACCTAAAATAGCGCCACATACATGCAACGTATAAAAATCTAAGACAATTCAGAAATTGGTCAAAATAAGTAAGTGCCAAAATTAAGAGATTATTAGTGGCTAGCTCTATTAATTTTATTTGTTTCCCAGTTCTGCGTTGGTCGAGCACAATGATTTTAAAAAATTAATTACCTCTTTCATACTGTATTTAACGAAACAAAACATCAACATCAAATTTGGACCGTTCTTGCTGCATTATTCATTCAATAATTTACATTCATCTGACATACTACTAATTTATTTAGTTACGAAGAAAAATTAAGAGTCGAATTTATCAGACTCGAATTGTATTAACTATAACTGATTACTGTTATTATAAACTATTTTTACAAAATGATTATTACTATACTACTCAATAATTACTCTATAAATAACTAATTATTCTTTTTGTTTCTTTTGTGTTTACTCATTATTTATTTTTTCCATTTTAAATCCGTCGTGTCTTCCTCTAGTCCTAGTTATCATTCCCAATGCTGCCAATTATATATAGAGCTCTGCTTATCATACTATTCACATTTCTTATCATTTCTTTCCTTCTTCCTTCCTCTTGACTTCTCTGCAACTCTGCATTTTTCTTCTCCTTTTCACACTTATTCTTTCTGAATGCACAAGTTTTCCGTTGACCTTTTGTTCTCAAACAGGTTTCCTATTCGTCCTGGACTCTTTAGGATTTACATACCTTTAGACTTCTCCACTGTCCTTGTGTTTTAAGATGATATTTCTACCGAGCTCTTTGTCTGGAGAGACCAAGCTTCTGTTCAGGTTCTAAAATTGGTTCTTTTCTTTATTTTCTCTGAATTTTGAGGTTTTTTTTGGAGAGCCCAGTTGATAAAGTTTTGATTTTGGTGGAGTCTTTTTTGTATTTTTGGAGATTTATAATAATTATTATTACTTTGGAGATCTGGTTTTTATCGTTAGGCCTGATTTTTTAAGTTTGAAGAAAAAAATGGAACCTTCATATGACCAAATTAACAGAAATATGAAGTCCAGAGAAGAGTATATTATTATGAGTGCAGTTCTACCTCTGCTGAAACTTCTTTCAGTTACAGCTTTTGGTATAATTCTTGCCCATCCCAAAACTCAACTCGTTCCAAAAGCCACCTTTAAGCTCTTAAGCAAGCTAGTTTTTGCTCTGTTCTTGCCTTGCACAATCTTCATTCATTTGGGAGAGACTATCACTTTGAAGAATTTCATTCTTTGGTGGTTCATTCCCGTTAATGTCCTGATTAGCACTGTCATTGGTTGTGTATTGGGATTCTTGGTAGCCTTAATTTGCCGGCCGCCTCCAGAATTCTATAGGTTCACTGTGATTGTGACAGCATTTGGGAACACGGGTAATCTTCCACTTGCAATTGTTGGGTCTGTTTGTCACAGCAGTAGTAATCCCTTTGGTCCGGATTGCCACCGGACCGGTGTGGCTTATGTATCTTTTGCCCAATGGGTGTCGGTTCTTCTGGTTTATACACTTGTTTACCATATGATGGAGCCCCCTATAGATCATTATGATGTTGTTGAGGATGAAGGCCGTGAGATTCGAGAACATTTGTCCACCAATGATCTCAGTAAGCCCCTTCTGGTTGAAGCTGAGTGGCCTGGAATGGAAGATAATGAAACTGAGAACTGTAAGGCGCCTATTATTGCAAGGACTTTTGCTAGTGTTTCCAGCATCTCAGAAAGCAATATTTCTGACCATGTTGATTCTTTGGAGGAAGGAACTGGAGCAGAACCTAGGAGTCCGAAATCACTCAGGTGTTTGGCCGAGCCTCGGGTGGTGAGGCGAATTAGGGTGGTTGCTGAGCAAACGCCGGTCAAGAATATCCTCAAGCCTCCTATGATTGCTACTTTGTTAGCTTTCCTTGTTGGTATGGTTCCATTCTTGAAGTCGATCGTTTATGGTGATGATGCGCCTCTTTCATTCATCACGGATAGTTTAGATATGATGGCTGCGCCACTGGTGCCTGCAGTTATGTTGGTTCTTGGAGGAATGCTTGCCGAGGGTAGAGGTAACAATGAATCTAGGCTTGGGTTGAGAACAACCATCGGTATCATTGTTGCTAGACTAGTGATCCTTCCTATAATCGGGATATTGGTTGTTTGGCTGGCTGATGAACTGAAATTCTTGATCGCCGGGGATCAAATGTACAGATTTGTGCTCCTACTGCAATATACAACACCGAGTGCAATCTTATTTGGTGCAGTAGCTAGCTTGAGGGGTTATGCTGTTGGTGAAGCTTCGGCAATTCTTTTCTGGCAGCACGTCGTTGCTGTCTTTACTGTATCGTTATACATCATCATCTACTTCAAGCTTTTACTTTCGTATGTCAGAATTTGATTAGAATCATTTTGCTGGATCACTTTGAGAACGCTCTCCCTCAAGGGAATCGGCCGGCATTTGCAACTATGAAGTACAACTACAAGGTCAAGTATGGAGTGCAAGGAAGGAGGATCTATCTCACAAAGAAATTGCAATGGCTAGAACTCCTTGCTGCAGATGCAGATCTCTCCCAATCCTGAAACCAGGCGATTCGCAGATGGAGACCGTCTAAGGACACCGGAATGAACTAGTAAGTAGTACAGTCATAGAATAGGTAGGCATCGATGCTTGAAGCACTTGTAGTTGCCTATATGCTGTATCATTAATTAAACTTTCATAATTGGTCATTCATAAGAAGCAAAACCTTTTGAGAAAACTGTCACTTCACATATGATTTTAGATGTCTTTCTGACTTGCATAACTTGACCATTCCGTCAGTGTGGATTATACCATTTTCCTCTCTGAATATGGTTCCCATTGACATCACAGTTGATTGTTTTTACTTACTATTTAAGCAGCATAATGGTGAAGTAGTTTTCGGCTATGTTACCCGGACTCTTCTATTTGGGGAGAATACCCGTGTCATGTTGTGTCGACACTGGTGTGGGGATGAGTGTCGGGTGTGACATTTTAGCCTAAAATGTCCAAGATTTTTAAAATATTGACGAGTCGGACACTCAGATCCCCGCACCCGATACGACGCCCATATCCGAGTCCAGGTGAAAACTCAACCCGGTGACCTATATAACTTGGATGATATCCCCTTAAAAGTGTGGATCTACTGAGGCTTGGAGGAGGCAGACTCCGAAGATAAGTGCTACTTTAATCGGCAAAATCTTCCAACAACTTTACGTCTTGCCAAATTGTTCCTTCAAATCTATGCTTATAACTTTCCCAGTTCCATTTGGAAAACTGTGATTCAAAAGAAAGCTAATTGTTCTGATTGAAATTTTGTTCTGATTGCAGTCTGGTCCTCAGACTGCAACACGTGCTGGACATCTATGAAAGCAATGTGTTGATTTGGTCTTTTTCTTCATTTAAGGAATTGTTGTAATAGTATGTGGTTCTGGCACATTAATTTGTTTGCCCTGTCAGTCCCATGTTTGGAGTGTCTTACAATGAAATAAGACTCCGTTCCTTAGAACCTTTAGAACCATTTTGGGGGCAATTTGGCTCTTCCATCAGACCGATCACTAGATTTTTGTACCCAATGCCCACTGTCTACGTTGACATCAACTAATCAGACGATATCTCAAATTATTGTACAAACTTGTTCTTGCGCATGACTTTGGATTTTCGATCTTATGGTTTGGAAATATCCACGAATGTTTATATAACTATATAAACTCTGGCCTCTACGCTACTTGAGTTAGGCTTTGTCATGAATTAGGACTTAATTGGCCTAATTCTATAGTTAGGTACAAATTAGGCATTTTCTAAACTTAGAGGCTATATATAGAGCTGAACGGGTGTGTAATGAATTATCAAAAAAATGAAGAATTGAAATGATATTTTTGTTTCCCCTCCGGGTTGTTTCTCTGAAACCCTAGATTCCCAATTTTCAATCGCCGATTACTTCGATTTTCCTTCCGTTTTGTCCTTAATCCGTCCGGTCCATTACAAGCTTGTCATTTTTACAAATAATAGACCAACACATTATTGATGTGCTAATTCATTATTTAGATCATTCCGGATTTCAACCTTAAAAAATACATTACGTATGCAATCCATAACAAAAATCAAAAGAGACGTCGATTTTTACTATATAGAAATATTATTTGTTGGTATATGTGTTAATGTTTTTTTCTAAAAAAAGAAAGAGAATATATTTCTCCAACAAAATATATGATTAAATATGAAAATACTAACATATATACCAACAAATAATCTTTTTGTAAAAGATAGGCTAAACTCTAATATTCATTGCGTAATCAAATAACAACGCTGATGTCGGTTTAATCCCCGGTTCATATACAACCGCCTCACCCCAGGTTTTGGTTTTTAACCCCACTTTGGGGTAGAATTTACAGCCTTTATTTTTGTTACTACTCACATTATTATCAGTGTTCTTTTTAACAGTTTTAATTGGATCACCACCGCCTTGTTAAACCCGATAAAAAGAAAATGGTGTCATCAGAACTCCCGATGGTAAAACCCTAGCCCTGAATCTCAACCCCAATTCCACCACCGTCCAAACCCTAGCTACTCAAATCGAATCCAACATCGGCCTCCCGAAATCCCTCCAACGTCTGTACCATTCCCCGCGGCTGATTTCAACGCCTGAAAACGAAGGTATTCTGCTTTCCCTTCTCGGCGTTTCTCCCAATTCAACCCTAACCCTTCACGTTCCTCTTTTCGGCGGTATGCAGCAACCTCCGGCGTCCAAGACTCGTCTCGATTTCTTGAACACGAAGCCGCCTCCGAATTATGTTGCGGGATTGGGTCGTGGTGCTACCGGATTCACTACCCGTTCTGATATTGGTCCGGCACGTCAAGGGCCTGACCTTCCAGATCGTTCGGTGATTGGGGTTGCTCCTCCCGGAGCACCTACTCCCGGCAGGGGACGGGGGAAGGGTGGGCCCGGCGAGGAAGATGAGGAGGAGGAGAATGAAGAGAAGGGCTACGATGAGAACCAGAAGTTTGATGAGTTTGAAGGGAATGACGTGGGGCTTTTTGCGTCAGCTGAATATGACGATGAGGACAAGGAGGCCGATGCAATCTGGGAGGCCATCGATCAGAGGATGGATTCTCGAAGGAAGGATAGGAGAGAAGCTAGGTTAAAAGAAGAAATTGAGAAGTACAGAGCTTCAAATCCTAAGATCACTGAGCAGTTCGCTGGTCTGAAGAGGAAATTGCTTGAAGTGACTCCGGAAGAGTGGGATAACATACCGGACATTGGGGATTACTCTTTGAGGAATAAGAAGAAGAAGTTTGAGAGTTTTGTGCCCGTTCCGGATACCCTGCTGGAGAAGGCGAGGCAGGAGAAGGAGCATGTCACCGCGTTGGATCCCAAGAGTAGAGCTGTTGGTGGGACTGAGACTCCCTGGGCTCAGACTCCTGTTACGGATTTGACTGCTGTTGGTGAAGGAAGAGGTACTGTTCTTTCTCTTAAATTAGATAGGCTTTCTGATTCTGTAACTGGGCAGACCGTGGTGGATCCTAAGGGATATTTGACTGATTTGAAGAGCATGAAGATAACTAGTGATGCTGATGTAGCTGATATAAAGAAAGCTAGGCTTTTGCTTAGTTCGGTAACTCATTCGAATCCAAAGCATCCACCTGGTTGGATTGCAGCAGCTAGGTTAGAGGAGGTGGCTGGGAAGTTAGCAGTTGCCAGGCAACTTATAAAGAGGGGTTGCGAAGAATGTCCCAATAGCGAAGATATTTGGGTGGAAGCAGTTAGACTGTTCCCTCCCAGTGAGGCTAAAGCCGTGATTGCTAGGGGAGTCAAATTGAACCCTAATTCTGTGAAGTTGTGGATGGAAGCTGCGAGGTTGGAGCATGACAACATTGACAAAAGTAGAGTGTTGAGGAAGGGTCTCGAGAAAATTCCTGGTTCTGTTAGGCTGTGGAAGGCCGTCGTGGAGCTTGCTAATCAAGAGGATGCTAGGCTTTTGCTCCAGCGGGCTGTGGAGTGTTGTCCCTTGCATGTGGAGTTGTGGCTCGCACTTGTGAGGCTGGAAAGTTATGACAATGCTAAGAAGGTTCTTAATAGGGCAAGGGAGAAGCTTCCCAAGGAACCTGCCATTTGGATTACTGCAGCCAAGTTGGAGGAATTTAATGAGAATAATTCAATGGTTGGTAAGATTATAGAAAGGGGTCTCCGAGCTTTACAGAGAGAAGGGGTGGAAATCGACAGGGAATTTTGGATGAAAGAAGCTGAAGCTTCCGAACGTGCCGGTTCAGTTGTTACATGCCAGGCTATCATTAGTAATACTATCGGAATCGGGGTGGAGGAACAGGATAGAAAGCGGACATGGGTTGCTGATGCCGAGGAGTGTAAAAAGAGAGGTTCGATTGAGACAGCTAGGGCAATTTATGCTCATGCCATTTCAGTATTTCTGACCAAGAAGAGTGTGTGGCTGAAAGCAGCACAGCTTGAGAAAAGTCACGGAACCAGGGAGTCTCTAGATGCTCTTCTTCGCAAGGCTGTTATGTATATACCGAAAGCTGAAGTTCTCTGGTTAATGGGTGCAAAAGAAAAGTGGCTAGCTGGCGATGTGCAAGCGGCCCGATCCATTCTTCAGGAGGCATATGCTGCAATTCCCAACTCTGAGGAAATATGGCTCGCTGCTTTCAAGCTTGAGTTTGAGAATCACGAGCCTGAGAGAGCAAGATTACTTCTTGCCAAGGCTAGAGAACGTGGTGGTACAGAACGCGTGTGGATGAAATCTGCTATTGTGGAGAGAGAGCTAGGAAACACTGCAGAGGAGAGAAGGTTACTTGATGAAGGGCTCAAGCTTTTCCCTAAATTCTTCAAACTCTGGTTGATGTTAGGTCAGCTAGAGGAGCGACTTGGTAATTTGAAGCAAGCAAAGAAAACATATGATTCTGGTCTGAAACAATGCCCCGAATCTGTTCCTTTATGGCTTTCCCTTGCTAACTTAGAGGAAAAGATGGATGATGTTAGTAAAGCACGAGCCGTTCTTACAATGGCTCGGATCAAGAATCCACAGAATCCCCAACTGTGGCTTGCTGCAGTTTGGGCTGAGTCTCGGCATGGCAACAAGAAAGAAGCTGAAAACTTAATGGCAAAGGCGTTGCAAGAGTGTCCCACAAGTGGTATTCTTTGGGCTACTGCAATTGAGATGGTTCCTCGACCTCAACGGAAGTCCCGAAGTTCAGATGCATACAAAAAATGTGGTGGTCAAGATCCTTATGTCAATGTAGCTGTAGCCAAACTCTTTTGGCATGACAGGAAAGTCGATAAGGCTCGAAATTATTTCAATAGGGCAGTGACGCTTGCTCCTGATATTGGAGATTTCTGGGCACTGTACTACAAATTTGAAATTCAGCATGGTAATGAAGAGACTCAGAAAGATGTACTTAAGAGATGCGTTGCTGCGGAACCAAAACATGGTGAAGTATGGCAAGCTATAGCAAAGGCAGTGGAGAACTCTCACCAGACAACTGAAGCTATATTGAAGAAGGTGGTGGTGTCAATAGGGAAGGAAGAAAGTTCAGCTGAGAATAACAGACATTAATACCTGCTGCGAGTAGATTTTTTTCTCTGTAGAGATGAGATTAGTGATCATTGATGCACAGGGCTTTGTGGATTAGTTCCAATCTCGTTTATTTTCTGTTTGGTTTCTTTTGAGTTCTCTTTGGTACATTTTTGTCACCCGAGGAGCCTGGCTATTTCTACCATAGAACACTCATGGTAGTGTATTAAAATGTCAGACATCAAAGATTTGAGTTTTTATTGCAAGCGCTTGTTTAGCTTTCTTTTCATGGTGAATTGGTGAATGCTAATGCGTTATTTGCATGAGCTAATAATTTTGTGGTTAGTATTTGGATCACCTGTAAGTTAGATGGCCTTCAACCAAAAGGTCCAAGACAAAAAACACTAATTTTAATATATGTGCAATATTGATAGACAGAACTAATTCAGTAGTGATGGGGGGCGATAGCATTATTTCCTATAGCCTTGAAGTCTCAACCCATAATTATGGCTTTTTTGCCTCTTGGGATTTTCTTCTTTTGCTTCTTAGGTCAGGAAAACGGAATCTCCCCGTTAGAAAGCAAGAGAGCAACATTAGAAAAGGATGACTAATTTCAACAAGAAAAGCTTTCTTCCTTTGCAAATATCCCATATTCCCATTTCCCTCCGTGTAAGCTTCCTTGTCATCATTGATTTTTGAGTTTTTTTTTTTTCTCTTCCAGGGCATGCCTTGTTCGAGCTTGTTGCTTTCTCGTGTTACATTGGGGGTTTCAGACTGTCAAGATGGATTCTCATTTGCTCATTTAATCTTGGTTTCATACTATCATACTCTTGGTTTTTCTTCATTTGAAAATTTTCTGCTTTGGTATTTCCCTTTGCCTGCTTTATAGGGAACTCCTATCTCGATCGAGATGGATTCCCTTAAGTTTTTGTAGCTGATAAGATCTTTGTTTTATCTGGGCTTTTCATATCTCATTCTACATTTTCCAATTTCTTCTGGTTTTTTGTGATTGTGAGACATGGGCTCTGTTGACCCTTTTTCTTCAACATTTCTATCAACATGTTTTGAGTATGATTCTCTTCTTCTTCTTCTTTTTTTTTTTTCCTGCAGCATTTGCATCCTAAGGTTGATTTTATCAGGATTTAGCCGAAGTAAGATTCTTGCACAAACAGATTGGTTATCAGTGTATATTTCCCATTTTATACGTGTTTGAAAACTTTTGTGCAGATGCTTTGGTTTTGTACACTCTAAATGCACGTCTTTGCTTAATCTTATCCCACAGGATGGTGGATACTGCTGAAACGGGGTCATGGTCCTCACCCGAGAAGGTGGAATGTAGGATTTGCCATGATGAGGATCAGGATTCAAACATGGAGACTCCTTGTTCCTGCACTGGTAGCATGAAGGTTGGTTAGCATCAAGGTCTTTACAGTTAAATCAAGTTTCCTTTTTTTCTTTATCAAAAAAAAAAAATTCCTTTTCTTTCCATGATGCTATGGATCAGTACTTTCTTTCATGAATCTGCAGTATGCTCATCGGAAGTGTGTGCAAAGATGGTGCAACGAAAAGGGGGACACTATTTGTGAGATTTGCCGACAGGTACCAAGCTTCTGAGCTGCCATTTTGTTTTGTGTGTCATATACTAATAAATTCCTTGCATTCTTGTCCAATAGTTGACTTCTGCTTCTCATTTCTTTTCACAGGGTTTCAAGCCAGGGTATCTAGCTCCATCTCCATTATCTCGCTATGGACGAATTACGAGCAACTTCAGGTATTTTTTCCCTCGTCTGTTGCTTTACTGGCTACGATTAATGGCCTTTTGCGCTTCCCCTGTATGAAACTGATAAAATAAAGGATCCTTTCAGAGAGGGATGGGAGATATCCAGACGAGCACTCCCCAACACTGAATTTATAACCATGGTTGCTGGTGATGATGATTTTCTGGATCATGATTTTGACGATTTTCCATCACCTAATCTGAGAAACTTGATATGTTGCCGCATTGTCGCCATAATTGTATTCTCTCCTTACCCTTCTTTGTTTTTTAACGTATCCCTTTGCCGTTCACTGTTGGATACAATTTTCCAAAAAAAAAAAAAAAACTATTAGATACACAAATAAGATGCCAATCAGGCTCAAGCTGGCAGTGTTTTATTATACTAATTTTCGGATAGCTGAAGTTGGAGAAATTTAGAATATCTGATATAACTCGGTTTCTGACGGCAGTGCTTTGTGTGGCTTTTCACAGTTTGTAAGTCTTCTTGTTCTGAGACATACTCTACCAGTCATTATTAATGGCAGGGAAGAGTATTCACTGACACTGTTTATGGTGAGCTGAGATCCCCTTACTTTTATTTGAGAATAAACCACCTGTATTTCAATAGGTTAAGCTTGAAGGTTTGTTTTGTTTTCAGTTCATATCGTTGAGGATAATCGGGATTCTTCTGCCTATTTATGTAATGGTTAAAGCATTCACAGCCGTCCAGCATTGTCGACACCAACAGGTTTGTGTACAGCAAGTCTACTCACTTAATTGTGTTTTGCACAACAATTCCCACTGATTTACAAAATGTTTAGCTTCTGGCGCAGATGATGTTCATATAAAGAACAGACAAATGTCTTTGCATTTCGGTGGTTACTTAAGAAGTTCACTTTCTTTAAATTTGGAAATGGTTTTTCTCCTGTAGAATGGGATGACCCAGCTGACCTATTCAAACGATCATAAAAAACAAGCAGTTGCATGTGAAAATTTGGATTGGTGGACAAGGTTAATATTTTGCCTAATGCAGTTGATTTACTAATCTCCTCCTCTCCATTGATAGATTTCTAGCAACTCCCGTCTTTCCACATTAACTGTTGGAAATGGATCATCACCCATGCGCCCCCCTTCACAACATGTCATTCACCTTCGTTAACCACTGGAACCGCACTATGATGTTCAGCAAATATCAAGAGAACAGCACATTTACAAGAGTGTGGATGTCCAATGACGGAACAGCCTCCTGGTGAATGACAGATCCCAGCATGAAACTGGAAACTGCTCACACAGTTACATATACGAGACTTGTAAATATACCAAACTCTATTTTAGAAAGGAAGCACTGATTATTCTGGCATTCTATCCTCTATCCACACTGAGATGCTTAGCCACTCTGTAACAAGACAACACCATGCCTACAAACGCCACCTTCTAGGAATTGATCATATTGGGGTGAATAGCGAACAAATGTGATCTGGAACTCTCAATTAACTGCAAAACACATTAGGGAACGCTAAAATGGCTAATTACAGAACAGGGAAACTATTCCAACTAAAAAAGGAAAGACTGACAAATGGCTACCAAGGAATTTCATAAAATAGTAATATCTCATAAAATAAAAATCAATAATCCTTTCCAATATGACACAACACACGCAAATCAACTAAGAAACTGAAATCCATCATCTTGTTCATCAAAATAAAAGCCAAAGCAATGTCACTTCTTTATTGGGACGAGTTATCAATAAACAAAAACAAACAAGTAAAATGAAGCTAGATGCATCACTCGTCTTCACTCTCGGACTCAGCATTCTGGAGCCATTCGATGAAGGGTTTGCAGTTCTTCCAAATAGCCGATTCTTTGTTCCCACCAGCCAGACCTTCCTCGTACCACTTCACAATGTACTCTTCCTCCAAGACTTCTGCATCATACAAGGCTTTGAGAACAAGAGCAACTTCCTTTACAGCAGCAGAGTTTGATTTCATAAAAAACTGCTCCATTGCATGGAGCAAGAGCAACTGTGCATTTTCATCCTCAGCAACAGCAGCAGCAAAGAAGTTTTTCTTCTTCAGAACCTCTTTTGAGAACCCTTTCTCGACACCCTCAAGAAGTGCCTCAAAAAGAGCAGTCATTACATCCTGGGCAGAACCAGATACCGATGATAACGAGGACTTCAACTGATTTGCAGTAACTCCTTTCTTCACAACTGCTTTGACATCCTGAAGAATCTTATCATAGGCATTAACACCATTCTCTGCAGCTCCATTACCTTCTGGTGGAGGTGAAGTAGCTTTAGGACTTCCATGAGCTTTATGAGCTGCATTAGACTTGCGCTCTTCGTCATCAGTTGTAAGCATTACCATGTCAGCAGTTACTGTATTCAATTGTTCCTGGATGCGAAGCTTGGCAGCCTCCAATGATGTGTCTGTTTGCCACTGAACATCATCATCGTCATCGTCGTCATCGTCTTTCTCGGCTGCACGGCCTCTAGGTGGTGAACCATGATCCTCATCAGAGCCACCTGCTTTCTTTTTTGAACTGGTCTTCCCAGAACCATCCTTGGACGAAATCTTCTTCTTTGCATCTTTCTTCAGCTTTTTCTGCTCCTCATCAGCAGCCTCCCCTTCCTTCATACGCTCCTTTTCAGCCCTCCTCATTGCCTTCTTGTCCTTTGACCCCTTTTTGGCTTCAGGTGGATTCTTCAGGATGAAGGTAGTGAGTTTATCCTTCATGTCCACATCAGAGACATGCCCACAAGCAGCACATTTCAGCTGTATCATCTGATTTTTGGTGATTAAAATCTCCGTCTCAGGGTTTCTGCACCCATAGCACTGGACATACTTCTTGATGAATACTTCAAGAAGGGCAGCCAGTTTAGCAGTGTCATGAGAACCATTCACAAGTGAAGTTCCAGTTTTCTCGTCAAACTTTGACTGGGCTCCAAGTTCAGTGCCAAAATACTTTGTAGTGTAGGAGGGAGGCCTCGCCAAAGCTTTCGCAATGTCAACCATATTGACAATGTTTGTCTTGATTCCATTTCCACGACCCTCTATCTTCGTGATCATTTTGGGCATCTTATACCTGTAGAAGGCATCATCCCTGTTGGTATCACCAATGTTCTGCAACTCCATTTTTCTTTTGCTCAAAGTACTGGTACTTGCGTCACAGGTAAGAAGTACAGGAACTCAAGATATAAGTGTCTTCAACAGATTTTTCAGCACACCAAGACTGATCCTCTAAAACCAAGGAAGGTTGCACTCTGCTGCAATCATAAAACTGAATAGACCCGAGATGCATGCAGCCAAACCGTTCAAGAAAGTTCTTTTTCCTTGACGTAGGACAGTATTCACCGAGCAACCCTATTGATCCCAAATAGTAGACCGCTTCTTCGGACATAAAAGAAGTTTTTTGTTGACACCTTCAACCTTTTTTGGCGGCACAAAGTAGATGGCACCTGCAGGCTGCACATAAGAGCAATGGCATTATGAGACAAGTTCATCATAAGGATAGCTTGTGGACGGTTCAAATAAATTGTCACCCTCAAAGTAGCCAGTCAAGATCAAGATCAACAGGCACAATCCATAATTCTCCATAAAGTAATAAACAATGACAATTAGCTCAAAAGCTACGGAATTGGATCGGAAATCCAATTAAATAATATATCTCTTAACAATATGATTACAAAAAACAAATAAGCTAAGAGCTAAAGACCTTGCACTCACCAAACAGAAATGATAAACTGCTAGCATAAATTATCCATCAGCAAGTACTGATAAAATGCTCACATAAAGGATTAAGTGCGACTGATATACTAAATGAATGGGCAGTACTGAGACAATTATGCTAAAGAACTGTGAGTTCAATATAGTTGTGGCAGATACATCTGAATTCTGATTAAGAAAGTAGACACAAATTAAAATACATTCTAATAGGGAAAAAATAATCAGAAATCCAAACGTCACAAGGAAACCACAAGCTATCAAGGCAAAAACAGATGTTAACAAGGCAGAATTCAAACAGCTAATGGATAGTATTATTTAATTCCTGTACAGTCAAAAAATCAATTCCAAACTCAAACAAAATCATTTATAAAAAAATCAAAATCAAACACCTTCAATGCTTCTAGCTTAACTTCTCTATTGTACTGATGCACAGACTCATAAGAAATCTCATAATTTCCCAATAACGTTAATCGTTCAGAATCTCATCAAGAAATAACGGAATAAGCTAATCAAAGAAGTTCACATATACGAAGCTCTCATACAGGCAAATTCCAGCCAAACAAGTAAACACCGAGCATTAAACACATCATCAAGGTAGCTAGAGCTTCGATGACTGAAATTCTGGCGCCCAACGAAAAGAAGGCAATCGCCAATCACATCCACAACTAATAAGCTGATAAACCATATCAAATCTAGATCCGCGGAAAAATAGATAAAACAGAGTTGTATCGAGGATCAACAGTCATGTAATGAATTCAAATCATACGAATCAGATCAAGGATCTAAGGTCAAAACTGAAAAAAAAAAAAAAACAGAAAATCAATCATCGGAATACAAAAAAGCGCAAATCGAGATTATGGAGTAATGGTTGGTGAGCACTTACCGATTCCAAAACCCCTTGCCGTTTGAAATCGTCGATGGAACGAGATATGGAGAGAATAATCAGGCAGACAGAGAGAGGTCGGCGAGCATTAGATAATTATAGATTGGAAGGCAAGAAGAGTTAGGGTTTTATATATAGAAGATAGAGTGGGTGTGGATCAAAACATAACATATGAGAATAGGTAAAAAAGATGAGGCGGCCTTCGGGCCAAGGAATTGCTTTATATTTCTAGGGTTGGAATAATTATTTACGCTTAATTCACTTTTAGTCCTTGTATTTTAACTTGGGTTGCTTCTTTGACCTGTACTTATAATTGAGTAATCTAATTTAGTCCAATTTTCAAAGCAACCAAAATAATAATCCAATATTGAACATTAAAAATTTACCTAGATAAACTTTGGGTGTAACATTAGCAGCTTATTAATTTCCTCTAAATTATTCCATAACACAAACGTCTAAGAGTTTAACTTAAAATACTTACTTTTTATGAATTGCCTTATTTAAATGGGGTGGCGTTGATGGATACTGTGAGATTATCAAATTTCATAAAACTCATTAGGTGGGCAATCTTAGAAAAAAATATTAAACATTTAAACTGATCATTAGACATTTAGAATTATATTATAAAAAAGTGAATTCAGGGAATAAAATGAAATAATTAAATTGATAATTTACAAGTTTTGTAGCTAGATAGCTTGAATTACAATTTCCAAAAATGATTGACTATATAAGTGGTATAAGAAAATAGAAGGCAAAGTATATAAAATTTTCACAAAAATATATATATATATATATATATCATTGTAGTCGGTTTTGGATTTTTCTCAAAGGTTGTGTTGTTGACATGTTGTTAGCAAGCAAGGCTGTCCAAATATTACGAGAAGCTTCCTTGTCAAATGGACCTTCCTAATTAGTGATTTATATTTTGTGTATTTTTTTTTCAAAAGAAAAAGGAAAGTGGTATTTTGTGTTATTTTGCCGTATCTTTTTTGGGGTGTGATTAGGTGTATAAAACTGTAAATGCGTGCGGCTGGCGTCCGCAGGACCTCGGCTGTTTTGATCAGATTCGTTGGTTTTCACTACTTTTACGGCTGATTGATGATGTACAAATTTAAGGATGGAGATGAAGCCACGTAGTGTTTCTAACTATCTAGGGCACAATCTGTTTGTGATCTCTCTGTGTGGCCTCCAAAATTCTGCATTGTGAATTGTGAGGTATGGGCCTCTGTTACTGGACTCCTTTGGTTTTGTGTTTTGAAAGATACTGGACTCCTTGAATTAATGGCCTTGGGTCCTGACAGGGTTTTCACTAATATCACATCTCAAAAATATTATGTAAAAAAGATTTTTGGATAAACTAAAGAGTTATGTTTGGTTAATGAAAAATATACATCTCTGTCACAAAATGATTCGTTCAATTTAAATTTTTCATTTTAGTACAATTTATACTACAAAAACAAAAAAAACAAACAATATTACAAAATGATTTGTTCAATTTGAATTTTTCATTTTAATACAATTTATACTACGAAAACAAAAAAAACAAACGATATCACTTCTTTCCCAACATCAATACGAATTTTTCAATATTCCTCCCACAACGCCAACGGACTTAACATCTCGATATGAGATATTCTCAATGCACCCTCCCGACTCCAATGGACTTGGGGCACCGATTTTTTTTTTGAAAATTGAACTTCACATTAATAAAATAAAGACTTTATTATATCAAGTTGGCCAACTCTAATGTTGCATTCTTAGGCGTTTTCAACAATTTTTTAACTTACATTTATTTACAGCTTTTAAGTAAAATTATATCTTTATCTACACCCTAAATTTGGTTTGCTGTAACAAGTCATCTATAGGTATTTATTGGAGTGGGAATTCAAAACCTTTTATTGAAAGTAACGGTGATTTTTGCAATGAACAGACACCATATTTTCAACAACAAAAAAATGTATATATCCTACTATATTAGAAACAAAAACCTCCCTTTCAAACACCTCATATGATTGCCACGTGGCATGTAAAAAATACTAAATTGCCCTTTTGTCTAACCATAACTAAATTATTAAATCTCCCTTTGCACTTTACGTGACACGTTTTTTTTTTTAAATTTTTTCTTTATGTTTCATTCAACTAGAGTGGTTTTTTAAATTGAATTGATCAATTAGGTTTTTTGTTACAAAGTGTCAATTTTGTTTTAAGCGTATACCCTTTGGATGAAGCTTATTACAAAGCTATTAAAAATCTCTAAAAATAAGTATTGATTTGGCACGGCCAATGGAGAACATCAATAAATCATCTTACTAATATTTAAATTTATTAGGATGCTTTTATATTTTATCTAACATTTACTTCAATACATATATTCGATTAAACTATTTATATTTAATAAGTAACACTTATAAAACATTTCTAAAACATACATGGCGAAATACAATTTTTTTTTTTTTGCGAAATACAAATATTTCTATGATCACACTTATAAAACATTTTTAAATTCTTCAAACATTTCTAAAATATATCGCTCCAAATACAAAAATTTATTTTTTTCAAATATAAACATTTCTAAGATCTACAGATAGACTGGGCCAGGGTCGCGCATTGCGCTATCAGACATCACTAGTATATATATATATATATTAAAATTTAACGTTGACTATTTTGTTAGGAACAGGAATGTACTAAGTTGGAAGAGTAAAAAAATAATAATAATAAAAATCAATAAAAGATGGCATTCAGTCATTATAGAGGCCCTTCTTTATTCTGGGCCATCCCGCATCGATGGTTAATCCAAAAATGGGCCCAATTTAGATTAAACTTCAAGCTGAGAAAAGCTCAGCATTTTTTAAAAAAGTTATTAGTGCAGACCACCCGAAAAGCCCGCCGACCCTGAAAGGCAGTCGAAGAGTTACCTAATCACAAGCAGCAAAATGTAAATGTAACCATAAAAAGGAGAAGAACACGCATATGACTGATTGGAAAGACCACATGTTGTTAGAGATTGCATGACATGATATTGGTATATTTACGGTTTGAAATTTCATTCTCAGTATAAATTTTTTTATAATTTCATTTGCAGTACAACTTGTTAAAAAAATGAAAATTCAAAAGGATAATCATTTCGGAACAATTAGAGATAATGACCAAAAGCAAAAGGAAAGAGTGAAGAAAACAAACATTCAAGAATAAAAATCGTGTTTTTCGTGTTCACGTAGTCGTTTGTTTTTTTTTTTTTCTGAGGATATTTTGGCTTTAGCTACATAATAATTTTTGGATATATTTTTTTAAATTAACACAGCACAATAAAAAAATCACAAAGTGAATTTGTTAAAACGTGACGAATTGAGTAGAGTTCATTTCTCCTAATACAGACTCTGCGTACGTTAAGAAACTTAGGATAGAACTTAAAGTACTCGTAAAAGAGTTGACCCGAAAACCGCGTGTGATGAGAAGAAGAAGAAGAAAAAGAATGCGGTGGTTCAAAACAATTAAAAAGTATGTAATAATTTATACAATCTTAATCATTTTATTTGTTAACTAGAATCATAATTTGTCTTAATCGGAATTGTTGGTCCATGTACAACTAACCAACCCTTCATGTACTCCTATTTTTTCAATTTAAAAAATAAAATATATAATGTATAGTTTTTAATTACAGCCGTCGCACCAACAGTTTACATTGGTGTTTCTCCTAAAATAATACAATTAACAATACTGATTTTGAGAATAAAGAAATCCCCAAAAATAGTGTCGTATTCATCGGAATTTACGTGCTGAGTAATTTGACCCAGCAAAATGTGAATAAAACCAACCCCACGGGGGCTAGCTAGCTAGTCTTGTTTATCTGCATCATCTTCGTTTCTTATAATCCTATAAATACTATCATTTCATTAGAAGAAAAAGAAGATATATATTGAATTAATAATCATCTTTATAGAAAAAGATGGCTGCATCTTCAAGAATCACTCCTGCATTAATGTTGCAAATTGGTCCTAAAATCGGTGGACCTCCATTTCGCAGTAGTGGTATTCATCGTCAATGCATTCGAGTAAGAGCAGCAGCTCATGAGGGCTTCCGAGATGAAGGTACCACTTTTTTGATTTGCAGTTTCATTTGCGTATGATTGATTTTAGTTTCAAAGATGGAATTTTTTTTTTAAAGCCCATTTCTTTTTAATTTTTGATTTGCAGGAAGACGGTCCGGAAAACAGATTGATGAAGCAAATTTGAGGCTGCTGAGGGAGAAGATGGAAGTGATTAAGGTGAAGGAGAGTTTGGAAAGAGTGATTGAGGATTATGAACATCGTCAGCTGCTAAATGAAGCTGGATGGAGTTATATTAATGTCAATGATAACTACGAACCATTTCATGATCGAGAGAAGAAGTATTGGAAGCTGCAATTGTCTGAATTTATGGAAGTTTTGATGATGGGTTTTGGGACGTTCGGATTCACGGTGGCCAGTGGTACGCTTTGTCTCTGCCTTGCTTCCGTTTTGGTTCACTTCATGAACCAATGAGATTTTGACGGCGTTCACAAGGTTCGTAGTACAATATTGTACAGATAGATAGTATATAGGAGTATATTATTTGATTTGATTATGCATTTTATTCATTATTAATAATTTCATACTACGTCCTGACTCCTGAGGAATTCAGTAATTCAGAGGTTGTTTTAATTAGTTTTTACTCCATTTATGGTGATTATATATACCCACATATAATATTCTTGCAGGCAATTTTGACCTTCACTTTCCTGAACATAGTCCTCGAATAATTGGATTTCCGTTAGCTTGTTGAAAAAAATCGTCGACATACTGTAGAAATGGAATGATGAAACCTTAAAACAAACTGATACTGTTCACGTACTCATCGAAATGGACCGGATGTATGTGTTCAAATCAAACGTTACGATCAGAAGTGTCAAAATGTAATTCAAGAATTTACTGTCGCGAAATCAACTATCCCTATCATGTTCACAAGTCTGGATCATCATTCGGCCAAAAAAAATCATGAACCAATTTAGAAGATTTCATAATCATGTGAAACATTGCCAAATTACAGAAAGAGGTGAGAATGATCACAAAAGATTTCACCAACTTTTAAACACTTGAAAGTTCTCAAGTTTTTTTTTAATACTGTCTTTGAATTGCGAATTCTGCGATGTATTCAATGTTTGTTTCAATTTTTAAAATCATTTGGTTAGGAAAGTAAAGATTTGTTTTCCTGATGAATCCCAACCGTACAAGCTTTGTTTTATCTATTGTGTTATATTGCAGTCATCCCTAGCTGGATGATACTGCGATTGATCCTAGACTCAAATACTATACTTAAAAAATAGATTACGCTTTCTTTTTATCTTTCTTTTTTTTTTTTTTTTTCATACAGCAGGTTCCATGCATATAATTAGGTGTCTACCGCCGTAACTTGTAACTGAAAGCACCTGTTACCGACTCAGACACTTCTGCACCTTCTGCATCTTAAAACAAAGCAAGGAAGGAAATGTCAATTTTTTCTTCTTCAGGGTTTCAACTTTCAGTATCCCAGAATTTTCTACAACGCCCGAAAACAAATGTTTCAAGATAAATTAGCATCCTCCGCGAAGTCTGTCACACAAAAAGTACAAACGCCCGAATCCTGCCCTAAACTACTTCATGATGTTTCGACAATCCTTTGAAATGCAACCGTAGCAACACGAGTTCCTACCGATCCTCCAAACATGAATGTCGGGTAGGTGCGAACATGATCAACGTAACGGAAGAGGGGCGTCAACCTGCTTGGTTCTTGCTCTCCACCAGCTTCATTACCTTGGGAAGGAGAATTCCTCCTTTGATTATATGCGTCAACTTCTTCCATCAGTTCATCTTTTGTACTGTTACAAGATGTAATCACCTGCAAGATTGAGAAAAAATATATATACTGAAGATGGATCTAGTAAACTCAAATAGAAATATAGTTACAAATGTACTCAGAATTCAGCAGCAAAATGTACGATGGATATATTCCTGATGTGGTGAGTTTACACGAGCTATAGGGATTAAAAAAAAGAGATTATAGATACAAAGAAAATATAGCTCACCAACAATCCACCAGGAGCTACAAGCTTTGAAACCGAATCCCAGTACATAGCCCTGAAGAGAGAAAATAGAAGTAAATGACATTGATCATGTTGCAGCTATATAGCAGGCCAAAGAAACATCAACAGAGTAAATACAAGATGCACATTTTCTATCAGAGATGTCAGAATGTTCACATCAAATTGAAGTCAAGGTCAACAATTCTTCTCCTACTATTATATGGTCTACTTCTCTTCTCCACCAGGAGAAAATGACCAGCATATTCTAACTCCAATGATCTTTTTTTTTTTTTTTTTGATAAGAACTCCCAGTGACGCTCAGCAATTTGTAGCAGGAGCAGTTATGATGTACAAGTCTGGGATCTTGAGACTACATACAGACCGTGATAAACAGCAATAGCAGAAGTAGAAAATGATGTCGCTACCTTTTAACAGTACCATCAGGATGTAGACCAATAGCATCTAAAGTTCCTTTATCCAAAACAAGCTGAAACCTCTGCTCTATTTTGGTTTCAAGAATGTCATCAACCTGTATCATAATATAGAGAGTTGGTTTCAGAAGTATGCATATTACAGAAGCCAAATGAACGTAGATGAGATAAAACAAGCTCGGAGTCATGACTTATATACTCAAGGCTCACAAATCAAGCTACATCTTTGATCCAAAAGAGTAACAAGTCGCTGTCCATAAAAGCTACATATATATATATATATATATATATATATATATATGAATCACAGTACAGTGTCATGTAATGACAGCACCGAACCTAGGTGCAAAAACTAGCTGAGCAGACTTAAAAGTAGCCCTATTATACCTTCCAGACTGAAAAAACAAGCACAGCCTAGCATAATATCAATTTCACATTCCTTAAGATCATCAACCCAGAATGCATTAACCTATGTCTCCCTCATTATCGACAAATTGGCAGCCCTAATCATAAGAATGGATTTCTGATCTCATCCTCATACCATAAGGAGGATGCTTCCTCTTCCACCTTATGTCAATGTTTCCACATAATTCCCTCTCCTACACTTAGTAGGTTATCATAAATGTAAAGAGAAGACAAAAATCATACATACAAGTAAACATTTGCATTACTAAATAGACACACATAAAAAACAAGCTGCAGGCATAGCATTGAAAGGAAAGGACAGAGTACATTTGTCCTAAACCTCAAATTTTATACCATGAATTTGATATAGGTGAGACCCTCACGAGCAACAAGGCTTCGAGCAAGGTCTATGGCTCCTTCACTGTAATCAGTTCCAGTGAGATCAGAGAACCTGAAACCAGAAACACGTACACATTATGGACTTAGAACAAGCTCAAGGGAAAAGAAATAAACACACAGGCATACACAACATCTCTACTGACAAAAAATATATCATGCTCAGAATCTTCATATGGCAAAAGTAGAAAATAACAGGCCCTTTTTTACTCCAACTTGTACTAAGTGATACCCATCAAACATACATGTCAACTGAATCCCTGATTCTGTTCTTTTTACATGATATAATTTCAGATGTAATAAATGAGAGAGTTCAAATGATTTAATGGACGTCAATTTAATACCAGCTGATAATTTAACTTCCCTTTGTAGTATTCATGATGCACACACAAATGCGAGAGAGAGAGAGAGAGAGAGAGAGAGAGAGAGAGAGAGGGAGGGGACGGAGGGAGAGAGGGAGGGAGAGAGAGAGAGAGAGAGAGAGAGATAGACCCTGACGCCTCCAAAAGTAGGACAAATGACATAAATGAAATACCTTTAAGAAACACATTCAAAGAGAAATTTGGAAAAGAGTATCACATTTTCTTTTGACAACTTGCGGCTTTTCAGTAGTGTGTTTTGGATCATCCTTTGTCAATTAAACCAAACAGATTGCCAGTTGCAGCTGAGCTAAAACTAAATCTTCTGGACAGAACAAAAAACCTAACCCAGGTTTTCCAGTTTCGGATCCTAATGCTTTCTGATTTATGTTAATGGTCCAATAAAGAGCTTGTATGAGTGAAAGCTTGGGAATATCAAGCCGACTTATTACATTGACAGAAATTTGGTACATAAAATCCTAGATATATATGTCTACATTTTTATAAAGATGAGGTCCAGAAGTAGTAGCACAAGAGCGGGGCAACAGAAAACTATAAATTTTTTGAGAAGTCTTTTATTACCCTTGCATCCAATTTGATTCTAAGTAGGCTTTTAGGTAAGTTGATCAAATTAAACTTCCCTTGATAAAACATCCAGATTAAAGCCACCTCATACTTGTCGCAAGTTACACGTGCAAATTGAAAACCCAGAGTATACCAATTAAATGCACAGAATATACGCAGGCGAAAAGCGCAATGGCAACTAACTCATAAATGCACAGAGATTCTCATAAAGTTCTCCAGCAATAAGAGTAAGCATGTACAGTCAGATTGGATGTCCTTTGGTAGAAAGAAAGCTAACAAATCTTTTCCTAGGTATCAGTTCCTAGGAGATCTTACAGCTAAAATGCCATATTGAGTCATGGTAATTTCATATCTGTTAAATATATAATATCTACAGCACCAAATGCGCTGAATTATTCAATAATAAATTGTTTCTCTGGTGAAGGGGCAAAATGAGTAATTTCCTTTCAATCGTGAAAGGCCAAAGGTACCCTCATTCCTAAAAAGTCTCGGAATTAAGAAGATCATTCATCATTTATTTATTTCCCAAAGTTACGTACACGAAAAAAAGAAGCAACAGCAGAAGTGGCAACTACACAAGCAGAATCATCTGAAACATTGGCCACAGGGGAGAAACCATAACCATAATCAAAAGTTAAAAGTATTCGGGGTTGAGTTAAGATATTTATTCAGATAGAAGATACAAAAATATCAGTCATTTGAAGAGAGGTGACAAACTTTGCAAGCAAGTAACGTAACTTCCTTTCCAAAAAAAGTAAGGTAACTTAATAAACTCTGCCCCTTTTGTATTCATCAAAGAAAAAGTCAAAAGCTGAAAATTTTGAAGTTGGACACCTGGAACTGGGAGCAGTTTTGTTCAGCAATTAGTTCGCCGTGGACATAATTCAGAGAAGACAAATAAAGATTACCCTTGTTTAGCAAGCTCTTGCAGAAGCAATCCATTGCCAGTCCCAATGTCAAGCACGGACCAATTAGAAAATTCCTTTTGCTGACCAGCAGATTCAGTAATGGCATTTTCCACATGGTTTGACAATTGACCCTGAGAAAATTCACTGCATAAGCCTTTTGTCCACGAAGCTACAATTTCCATAACATCGGCTCCAAACCTGTCAAGGGGTAAAATGTAATTTTCAGGAAAGCGTCTAAAACAAACAATCATAGGATAAGACCATTTCCTACCATTCCTTATAAGGATAACCATACTCGTGGGATAAGGTGTTAAAAATCCATGTTCATAAAACTAGTTACATTTCCAAATAAGTGTGGGATAAGATCTTTTCTGTGAAATGAAAAAGATAGCAGCAAATATCGAGGTTATCATGTTTTTGCATTAATCAACCTTAACATAGCATACCATCAATTCAAAATGACAGTGAAGGAAACCAATTTCCAATCAAGGAAGCACACAAAACAAAACAAAAAAAAAAAAAGTCAAGCCAAATGGACAGGCGTAATGATGATTACCAAACTTCACCAGCATGGCCATGCTCACGGAAATTTGCCAATTCATCAGCATACTGCGAATCCCAATAACTCTGAAAGCCCAACATTGACTGCTCTGCTTCGGCATCTGGCTCCTCCTTATCCGAGCTATTCATTGCGAAAAACACCAAAACACAACTTCAAAAATCCAAACTTTATCCAAAAGATTATGATAAACCCTATCAAAACCTTGATATTTGGTGACCACGCGCAGAAGCCCCCTATCTTACAGTCAGATTTTTACTCTAAAAAAAATGAATGCTAAACGTAAGATAATGCCACAATCAACCAGTAATTCGTCCCTCCCCGTGATCCACATTGCAAAATGTACTCCCACCCAATTCAACAAAAACGACGGCTTACAATCAAAGATTTGAATAAATTCGAAATTGTAAGTATCAGGGAAGTTAGGAATCGGCGGTACCTGTAGTCTGATGCCGCACGGAAATTGACAGCGGAAAGAGCTTCGGAGGCGTCAGCGTGACGCTGCTCGTCATCAAGGGTGCTGCCATAGTCGCTTTTAATCGACCAAGAGTCCGCCGCAACGGAGCGGTCGTCGTCGGAAATCAGATCGGAGGCCACCGGATGTCGAGCTTGGGAGGCGTCGGAGTCCTCCGGAGGGAGTCTGATACCGGCCATGAGTCACCGGAAACAAAATCAGATAGATTACAGAGAGACGGAAAAGCCTAAAGATGATTAATGATGAAAACGAGGGGAAAAAAAGGTGGAACAGCAGCAGCAGCAGCTTTCACTGACGGGAAAGAATATCTGATTCTGATGTGCAAATATCGAAATATGATTTGCCTACACGAAGTTTGACCTTTGCTGTTTCAACAGTGTTATTACCCCTTTCTTACAATGGAGATTAACTGAAATACATAATCTTGATTAATTCTAGTTTTTTTCTTATTGGTACTTATATTTGCCTTTATGTAAGGGGAAAAAAAAAATACAATCTGCTGACTGTTTTGGCATCCTAAAGTTATTGTTGTATTTTAGTTAAATAATATTGTACTAATTACAACTACTAGGACAATAATAATTTAAGAAAAGGTAGAATATAGAAAATTATCACTTAAAATGGGGTTGTAAGCAAATAATTTACTGAAATGGCACGACAAATGTAACGATTCGTGTTATAACATTTATCAAAATAATTTTTTACTAAATGCATTTGTTAAAACATGACTCGGCATATTTGATAAAAATTATTGTTCAATTTTGAATGTTTAATATTAAATTAAAAATACTAAATTCAATAACTTGTTAAGGAATAGGCAATAAACTAACTTCTATTACTTATATTTTGTACTATAGTTTCAACACCACTTAATTCATTAATACATTCATTTTTTGTTATCAAACATACTGAAATGAAAAAAATATATTTAATCCAATAATTTTAAACATTAAGTAACTTTATCAAACAGTGGCTATTCACGATGATCGTCATAAATGAAACGGGTGTCTAAAAACTACCTAATTAACTAAAATATGAGATAAATGTAACCAATGTTGTATACTATGTAAGTTAATACTTTTTTAAAAAAACATTTATATACCACATAGCTAGCATTTTGCTAGTTAATGTTTACATTTAGATATGAATTTCAGGAATCAAATTTTGTGATAAATTATCTAGCTTCAATGACGGCACAGAGGCCAGGCGAATTGCAATAGCTCGAGAATCCACCGTTGGGAATCAAACCATAGCTTGAGCATGATGTTATATATGTTGCATATCCTCATTATCTCGTAATGTATTAATGTCATCCTAAGACGTGAGCTTTTTTTTATTGTAACCAAGAAAAAGTAGTATCAATTTTGGACAAATACCGAAAGGGTTCATTTATTTTTGTGATGAATAAATTTTATTCAATCTTAGTATATGAAATTATATTGTGGCAATACATTGAGAAAAACACGCACACAAAATAAATAATAAGAATAATAATAAAGAGCTCGAATTATATTTGCAGCTGTGTTTACTTCTTTTTTTTTTTTCTCGTGCGTGTTTATCGATTTTAAAATCGCAATAAAATTTGAGAAAAGTGATGAGTGATGACTAATACTGCTACTAGTCCACAACTCCACAGTCCACAGAATCAAGCAGCTCTCGCTATTAGAAAAGTCTTCACATCTTGGCACAATCACGAAGGCTGAAAAAAGTGAAAAAAAAAAAAAAAAAAAACTCAATGAATGTAAAACAGATGTCCATTCATTTAATTTTATTTCTGGATCAATATTTTACCATTTTAATCACTTTTTTCTTTTACAAATTTAATTACTTTATATGAATTATTAAAAGATGTTTATGTCGCAAATTATAAATAGTGCTATTAAAAAACAGTACGTTTGATTTGTAAAAATCTATGCCTTTTGAAATTTATAAACTCCATAACATAAACTCTTTGACAAAACTCCGACCAAATGTCACTAAAAGAAAAACTTATGCGTTGTGAAATGAAAATTTGGAAGAAAATATAATGAAGATCACATCAATGGAAATTAGCAATAATTTGAATGAATTGATTGTATCATTAAATTACGATGATATACAGTTATCCACCATCCTTATTTACCATGATCTTTTTGTTTTAAACATTCAAAAATCAAAATTTCAGATAAGGTAAAAAAAAAAAAAAATCACATTAGAAATATACATGGAATTTATTTGTTGCTTCAGAGTATCAAAAAATCAATTTGATCGCAAAAAATATATGTGATTGATCTATCCTTATCTCTTTCTATTACAACCACATAATGGAAACTTTTTTAAAAAATAATAATGATATCTAGACTAGATTATGAAATTCTACTAATCTCTCTAAAAAAAAATTGGAAGAGAAATCGATTAAAATTTTTTGGGTCAAATTCTGGATCATCTTGAGAAGACCGGTTCTTCAACTATGGTTTCCAACACTGGTTTCTTTGACCGGCTGGCTGACAGCCTGTGCTGAAACTCCGGCGTCGAGAACTCTTCAATATCATCCAAATTCAGTTTCGGAACCGCCGCTGCTTCCGCCTTAACCGGCTCCTCCTCCGCTGTTTCCTGCCTCTCCGCCGCCGCATCAAAATCCGGCAAGATTCTCACCCGTTTCTTAGTAATCGACATCCGTTTGTTGGCGACCTTATTCGCCGTCACGAATAAAGCGCCCAAATCAGCCGCCGTGACAACGGAATTCACCCTCTTCATCGGAAACATGACGTAAACATTAGCAATTTCCAAGTCTTCGTCAGCATTCAGAGCAGAGAACCTCCGACCAATTTGCAGAGACTTGGTGTTGACGAGAAAGAATCCGGGCATTTCCAACATGGGTTCCGCCGCCTTCATCGGCTGGTAAAAGTGACGGATTTCACCGCGGGGGAAGATAATCTTTATTCCACGAGATTGCTTCATTGCTGGCCCAGACAGAGTACAAGAAACGTAGTTCCCCATTATAGGAATTCACCAAAAACTGAGAGCTTTTTGTGGAATTTGGAGAGAAGACTGAAAATATGTGAAATTTGAAGGAGAATTGAGGAGTGTGGAAAGGATTATTTGAGAGCGTATATATATACACGGGTTTGAAGTTTGAACTTTGAAGTAGTTTTTATATTTGGAAGTTATATTGCACTGCCAGTTGGAATGAGGGTACGTTTGACAAGCGGTGGAGTCCGCGTCTGGTAAAAGAGGAATATAAAATGAAGTCGATAGGAAGGTTGTATTTTCCAGTTGGTCTTTTCATTTCCATTTTTATGGTCCTTATCGATATGACTAATTATTTGGTCAGTTTTATTTTTCAATTGTTTTCTTTTTACCTGTGTTTTATTATTCCGCTGTGGAACCCACAGTCCCCTCTACTGAGTGGAGACTCAACTTGTTCCATGATTTGTGATATTATGCGACCGGACCGGCTTACTGAAGAAATTTTAGTACTATGTTCAAAAGAATTTGAAATATTCCATTTTGAATCATTCTTCGCACTCTGTTAAGTGTTAACTTCGATATGCATGAGAATCTGTTCAATTGGCAATGAGTGAAGTTACCCTTGTAACTTATAAACAGGTCTCAGATCCTGAGCACGAGGGATGTAGGATTTTTTTTCCAACACCCTCCCTCGAGCTTAATAGAGAGTTTACCCAATGGGCTTGCAATAACAAGAACGAGAAATCGCCTATGGGTCATAACCCAATGGGTCGGAGAAAGAATTGAAAGCCGTCAATGAGTAGAAGCCCAAATACGTCGGAGAAAGTAATCAACGCCGCCTATGAGTCAAAGCTCAAATGGGTCAGTCGAACTCTGCCCGTGGATCAATTTGTCTATTCGGGTCAGTTAAGAGAAATAGAAGAAACTGCCGCGACCGGGAATCTCAGGGAGGTGGCCGGAAAACAAAACTGGAAAAAATTGGATGGAAATCGAAGAATTAGGGTTCGGTTTGGGGAAGAACGAAGAAGAGGGAAGAAGATTGGAAAATTTTAATCTGATTCAATATTTTCGATAATAATTTACAGGTCCCTGCCATCTATTTACAGTATACCTATTTTCTAGAATTATAATTTTGTCCCTACGGTTTCTATTTCCTACAGTCAAATCCAATAGCTTGACAGAAACATAATATAAAGTACAATCCGTGAACTGGCTCTGATACCATATCAAAATACATACTTGGGCTACCATCTTAAAACCAATTGGCAATGAGTGGGGTAACCCTTGTAATTTATAAACAGGTCTCAGATTCTGAGCATGGACGATGTGAATAACTATCTAAATTTCAAATGAGAAAATTGGGATTGGGTATTGTAATAGTACGGGATACTGATCCATATTAAAATAATGGTCGCAAAAGTACAAAAAGATTTTTAACGGCTCGATTAACTACCGATTAGAACTAACTATCGACGACCACACAACACAACAAAGACGGAAATAAAAAAGCAAGTGCAATGAACTTCGAAAACAAAAAAATACACTAGTACAGCAAAACAAAATAATTCTCAATGTGTAACTGTGCGTCTGATTTGATGGGTATAAGGCCGGGAAAGTTGCAATTAGGAGAAGTCAATAATAATGCTGGCGACTTGGCGTAGTTGCTAAAACACTTATATGAGTGATGACTGACTTCCTAAGTCTTTAAAACGAAGATCTTTATTTTGTTCCCCAGCATTTCTTCCGTTTCACATCCATCTGGTTGGTTTAATTTGTTCTTTTCCCCGTTCGGTACATTTCATTCATGCCCATTTTCCTTTTCTTCGGCCTTAATATTTCCAATTATTTCGTGTAATATAAATCACCACATTCATGCATGCAAAACAGAACATGAGAGATTTCACATACAAGAAAAAAGATAAGTAATTATTACAAAAAATTCTTTTTTTTTTCCAGTAATGCCAGAAACTCTATCAGAAATTATTCAAAATCCTCTATCTATATTTATTTGTTACACGAACATATGTTATCGAGTGACATTATGAGCTTCAGTTTTCACATTAGTTTACCACCATGCTAAAACATAGATTTAATGAATTAAAATATGCACGGGACAACATCTTTGTTAAGGTTTTTAATTCTTTGGTGATCACGGCGGGTGGATGATATTTTAGACCTATGTAATGATTAGTATGTAGTACTTAAATTTATTCTTCGGAGTTCATACTCTTAAAATATTCAACTAATTTCTAATTATTTGCGACTACTAGGTGTGTAACTACAATTACTTAAAAGATAATATAATGAGGAGTTTTTATTATTACTTATTTTGGAGTAAATTGAAGAGGATTGAATTGAATAATAACCCTAAAAGTCTAAACTGATGATTAAGGTAAATGTAATTATGTTTTTAACAATCAATCAAATATGTGTCAACTCCACTGAAACCTCATCTTTATTTTATGACTTTTATCGTTTGTTTGGATTACACCTCATTTTAGCTTAGAACGCACTCATTTTTCAACCATGCCAACCAGTGAGAATAATTAGAGAGTACAGCTTACTCCTCCCTAATCATTTATTGAACCAAAAATCAATTACTACAAAATATTAAAACAAAGTCACACCCTAATCTCAATTGAGTGTCATTTCCGTACCCCATCCCCGTATCAACACCGCTAAAAATGCTTTATTCTTTTTCTTATGCATGTATAATAAACTATTGATTTTGTAGATACACAAAATACCAACGAACTGCGACGTCTGGTTCTGGATCAATAATGTATATATGTACAACTAGTATATACTTTTGGAATTTGAATTCCCAATATAATACTCTCAACCGACTGATTGGTTGGGTTTTGTTTTTTATTGAGTCCGTCAAAAAAAATTAATAATTTTGACTTTATTCTTGATTATTACTCAAGTTTAAGAGTAACAAATCTCCAATTTCTGATGTAAATAGATTTTTAAAACCTAAAAAAAAATAAAGTTGAACAAGTAGTTTGCATATTTCAAGGAGCTTTATTATAGGCAATGGCATGAATTTGGTGCAATTTGGTGCACTTTATTTTTGGGGGAAGCATGGCCTGATGGACTGGACTAACTACTATCAAACTATGGTCACCACTCACCAACCCAGAATCTAAGGGTTAGAAGTGCTTTTGTCCAGCTGCTGTTGTAACTGATATTTTATGGGTTCAAACTTTATGGTGCAAATCCAGCTGTTTCTTCTTTACCTTAATTCCTCACTTAACCAATCATTATTCAGTTGGTTACTTTCTTCAGTGTCTCTTATCAGTATGCACCGCGGAACATACAAATATGACCGGAAAAGCCACTCATTTGTTCAAACTCTGCTCACCGGTATAATTAAGTATACTATAATATTTTTCAATAAATAATAATGGTTTTAGTAGTCGCGTTACTAATTTTATATCAAACCTTCAAGATTCTTAATTTGAAACGAAATAAGTAACTAAATTTTTGGGGGCGTTGTCACCAACAATATTTGCATAATTGCATTATTCCCTCCTAGTTTTGGTTTTTGCCACTTTGTTGGCGCTGTGAGAATGGGATGAGCAATATATAGTGTGATTGTTCCTAAAATGGCTGCCCACAATTTGAGGAGGTGGATAGTGTTTTGTTTCCGTTTGAATCATTTTTTATATGATGGTACAAAAACCTTAATCCGAGCAAGTTAAATGAAAACTCCACATTCCAAAAGATTATCTAATTTAATTTTTTTTATTTTTAGTTTAAATTATCATATATTCATGTGTTTTTTTACAAGTGTGGTTTGATTTGCAATCAATGAAACTGAAAGAGTCATCAATCATCATTGATATATTTTTTAGTTTATGCTAATAATTGATTAGATGAAATGATTCAATTAAATTTGGATTTATTTTTAGAACCTTGTTAGTTCAAATTTAGAGCAACTTTTGATTTTTTTATTATAATTTTTTATATCAACTATATCAACTATATCCTATTTTTATATCAACTTTTGATTTAGAGCAACTATATCCTCAGTGCCCAACAAAATACGTAGAGTACAATTTCTTTGTTCTTTTTTTTTTTTGGGGATAGAGAGTATGTAATAAGGCCACTTATGCAATAAAATAAAATAAAATAAAAATTGCTCTCTATTAATTTTTACTCCTTTTCTTCAGTTGAGAAGGACCCAGTTTATCAAATTGACCTAAAACTTGTACTCCTCTCGTCCCATAATTATTGTCCAGTTTGTCAAAAAAATTTTGTCCCAAAATTATTGTCCGATTTGACTTTTAAGGGTTAAATGACACGTATACCCCTTCCTAAAAACCATACCATTTTCTCTATAGCAGCGAAAACTGGTGTTACTCTCCGATGGCTTTGCCCGAATTCTTAATGGCTTCTTCCATGTCTCTCACCCTAAGAAAAATCACCACCGCGCCATTTCGCCTTCCTCCTTCTTCACCAGATTCCTCCGCCTAAAGCCTCCCTCATCCGCCGCCTCTCGCTTCACCAATCAGCAGTACTTTTCTTCCGCCACCATCACCAATAATCAACCAGCACCTGCTACTCCGACCAGCCAGCCGAAGAGGCGGGGCCGACCAAAGGGCTCCACTAAATCCAAAGCCAACACCGAGCGTGAGTCCACCGCCGATACTCTCGGTGTTCCCAGTATGAGAGGCTCTGCCAGAATCCGATCCGGAATCCCGCAAACATCATCTAGTAATTCCTCCGATTAACGGTTCTTACCATTAAATTTTTATTTAATTATCAGTTAATTTTTTTTGGTTTGAATTTGGGGGTTTAATTTCGTTGTTTTGCAGTTTTGATTAAACAGGGGGCACCACAAGGGTCGAAGATGAGAACCCGCTCCAGTTGGGCGGCCTGAAAGAGTTGCTGTTCTTGCACTTGAATTTGATCTTTGAGTTTGGGACTTGGTGAAAAAAGAAAATTCAGACGTCTTTTTCTATAGCCATGGGCCGGTGAAACCAATTTTATACGTAGGGGTATATTTGGAATCTTTTGCCAGAAGTTAGTTCAGTTTGACCAAAAATAAAATCTTGTATTTTGATAAAATTGGACAATAATTTTGGGACGGAGGAAGTAATTCTTTTTCCCCTTCAAGTATTATTAGTATTACACTTTGACTGTCAACTGTCGTTGGCTGTTATTATGTCATCCTCTTAAAATGAAATTCCCAATCATAATCGTTCTTGAAATATATCTCACAATTCTACCCAGTGAAAGTGAGTTCATTGAAATATAGACAAACATTGGACATTAAGCAACGCAAATTTCTCTCTTGTGGATGATCATTCAAAATGTTGACAGAACCTAAGAAAACAATAGGGCGAACTACATTTTATCCCCCGAGTTTTGGCTAGATCTATCATAAACCCCCAAGTTTAGATTATACTACCAAATACCCCCTCAACTTATAGTCAACCTACCAAAAACCCCTTAAGAGAATAACTTCATTATCAATTTTGTATAAACGGCACAAACTACCCTCTAATCTATATTTTTGAAATCATATGATTTAAATATTTTTAAAATATATCATAAGTTAAGGTAAAAAATACCATATTAATCATTTTATAATAATGCACTTAAAAAGTAAATTTTCATAATTCAACTCTATTATTTTGAAATAAAATAATTTTGATCAATTAATTTATATTATTAATTATGAATTAACTTTTATATAGTAACTTACATTATTAATCATCGATTAACTCTTTTTTTTTGTAAATTTATATTATAATTGCAAATTGATATAAATAAATTCACATTTTTAATGGTCAAAATACAAAGAAAAACAAACCCAAAAAAAAAAGAAAGTAAAGAAAATGAAGTTTATGTAAACTACGGTTAATATAGTCATTTCAATATTTGACCCCGCTCAAGGGGTATATGGTAATATTACTAAAACTCGGGGAGGGGGGGGGGGGTTTGGTAGATCAAACCAAAACTTGGGGGGTAAAATGTAGTTTACCCAAAACAACAACTTGCCAATCTCATTTTGGATGAACATCGAAAAGCAAATATGCTTAGTTTAACACTTTGCAATTATTGTGCCTTAATTAATCTTAAAATGAAAATGTGGTCCATTCAAATAAGCATCAGCCATTAGCTACCTTTTGCATGGAGCCAAAAACATCTATTTTCTGTTTTGAGAGTTTGGACCAGTAGTAAATATCACGCACTTTACGTTGATTTGCATATAAAAAACGACCATCAGTTATTGATACGAAGCACATTAGTACAATAGTACCCATTAATTAACAAAACAACCAACTCCAGTTTTCCAAGATCAATTTGGAATTTTCAGCTAGATTAAGTTAGAGATGAACAAAGAGGAGTTAGGCTACCGGAAATACCGCATGGAAGGCGGTGATGGCCCTTGCAGTTACAGGCAAAATTCCAACTATCAGGTAAGTGGTATATCGTCCCCTCAACGGCTCAAAGAAAGTCAATTGTTGTATTGTTTTAATTTAACAAACACGATTTTATTTGGGACGAGAGGAGTATAAATTTGTCGTAGTAAGGTAATAACCTCTTTTGGTTTGCGCCAAAATTGTTGCAGAAACTATCACTGGATTCAGCAAAAGAACTGATGAATGAACTGATTGATCAAAACCTCGATCTACGCAATTCCTACAATGTTTGTCCACTTGACACTTTCAGAATCGCAGACTTTGGGTGTTCTGTTGGACCCAATACATTCATCGCCATAGAAAACATCATTGAAGCTGTCCGAAACAAGCACAAATCCATGAACCTGGAATCGAAGATCCCGGAATTCCAAGTCTTTTTTAACGATCACGTCGATAACGATTTCAATTGTCTCTTCAAAAACCTGCCTTCTAATAGGCAATACTCTGCAGCAGGCGTTCCAGGCTCTTTCCACAGACGCCTGTTTCCTCGTTCAACCTTACATTTTGCTCATTGCTCCACTTCATTGCAGTGGCTTTCTAAGGTTCCTGAAGAAGTCACAGATAAGAACTCTCCGGCGTGGAACGAGGGCAGAATCCATTACGGCGGAGCTGCAAAAGAAGTGAAAGAAGCATATTTCATTCAGTATGGAAAAGACTTGGATTCTTTCCTCAGCGCCAGAGCACAAGAGCTTGTTCCAGGTGGACTAATGGCACTTATTATCATGGGATTTCCAGAAGAAGCCCAGCTTTCAGAATCCATCCTGGGAGAAACGTTTAAGACTCTTGGTTCCTGCCTTCAAGACATGGCCACAGAGGTAGAGATGAAAAATTGAATTACAATATTTTGCATCAAATGGTTAAAACTTAAAACCCTGTATTAATCTGATTGAACCCATTATTGCATTTCACTGACAGGGGATCATTGAGGAAGAAACCGTGGATTCGTTTAACTTACCATTTTATTATCCTTCAGCATCGGAGCTGGAAACACTGGTTGAGGCTAATGGTTTATTCGAAATGGAGAGAACAGAGGAATTGGTTACACCTATCAAACGGCAAAAGCCTGACGTGCGGGCCGCCGCCCTTCATCTCAGGGCGGTCCTGGGGGGACTCATCAAGGAACATTTCGGAGAAGGAATCGTTGATGGTTTGTTGAAACGTCATTTTGAGAAATTTGTCCAGAATCCCATCGTTTCTGATCAGAATTACATCAAAGAAGCTCACTATTTTCTGTTTCTCAAGCGGAAGATGGATTTACCAACTCCTTGGGCAGGCCAATCTTAGTAATTGACTCAGCTTGTTGGTTTGTTCGTTGCTTATTTTGAGAATTCGGATTTCATAAATTTGAATGCATTTTCTGTGAATTGAAGCTTGATTTCAATGTACATGCCTTACTATTGAGGCATATGATTAAAATACGAAGTCTTTGTTTTCCGTCGACTTTATCATTGGGAAAAGAAACACGACGACAAAGCCGACGACGTGATTTTATATGAATATATATATATATATATATATGTATATATATATATATTTATTGGGTCTGGCTTCTTTATGATCGGGCAAAAGAATGAGGTGAATAAGTCAATTATGTAATTTTGTCTGAAAGTTTTCTTTCGAAGACTTCATCATTCGAAAAAAGAAACGAGACAACCAAAGCGTACTTGAATAAAACTTCTCTTTTGTCGACTTAATTGTCAAGAAAAATAAATGCGACGAATTAATCGGCAGTACAATTTGTTCGAAATTTTTCTTTGCCAACCTAAATGTCGAGAAAAGAAACGCAACGAAGTAGTCGACGACATGGTTTGTATGAAAAATTTTCTTTCATCGGCCTCTGGAGGATATAGTGTTCGACAAAATGTTCACGGCTTTTCTTCTTCCTCTTCTTTTTTTTTTTTTTTCCCCACATCAACTGGGATGCTTTGTTTGGCATGTTTTAAGTAATTAATTCCATACAACCAAAAAATAAAAAATAAAAATGTAGACCTATGGAATACTTCCTCCGATCCTTGTTATAAAGAATTTTGACTTTTCTTAGGTTTCATCTAATACGTATTTTTAATTGATAAAAAAACTTTAAAAATATTTCATAACAATTAAAAGAACACAAGGAATGTGAAAATATATTTTTAAGGTTTTTCTGTTAATAAAATTTGCGTAATAGGTGAAACTTAACACAAATCAAAATGTCTTATATTAAGGACGAGAGGGAGTATCATTTTTTTTTCCGTTGGTTACTAGTATTTTTTTACAGTTGACATTGATTGTAAAAAATGGAATTGACATTGATTGTTATCGGACAACTTAAAGTGAACCAGGCATTAACAATGACATTAATATTGGGTTCATAAGTTGAACGAAGAATGCTATTGTCATTGACCACTCTCAACCACTCTACTCCTATTGCTTGGTTCTCCCTCCATTCCAAAATATATGTCGTTGGAGGGAAACCAATTTTTTTCAAAATAGATGTCGTTTTCGCAGATCTAGGCATATTTTGTCAACTTCTTCCAACATTATCCTTATATGGGAAATTGTAATTGTATTTAAAGTATAAGTGTATTAGTACTAAATGATATTGGAAATAGAATTGTATTTAAAATAAATAAGAATAATTTATTATTTTAACTAAATATTTATTGTCTCCTTAAACTTTGTGAAACTCCTCCAGCGACATATATTTTGGAATGGAGGGAGACTATTTGAAGTTTGAACTACGCGCCTAAGTTTTGAATACCTAGAACTGAATAAGTAGTAATTTTACGTACCAAAAAATGTGATTATTTAGTTCTGCTTAGAATTATTTTTTTGAGACCGTATAATTTTTTTTATTTTTATTTTTTGAAAAAGACCGTTCTTATAATTATTGTTGACTAATACAATATTTGGAACTGGTATTTGAAATATTCAAGCGGAAAATAAAAAACCCCACAAAATATAATTAGGACAACGAGAACAAGAAAACGGAAAAGCAGGATGGTGGCGCCAGTCCATACCGTTTAGCAAATTCTTTAGAAGCCAAAACGAACCAAACCGCCACAACCGGCGGTAACACATCGAATCGTACGAACAACCGCCAAAAATCCTCCACTACAATTCTATTGATGTCCGCCAATCTTTACCGCCAACCGCCATGTCCTCCGCCGCAACTCAATTTGAAACCCTAACTTTCGACTCCACCGATATCTACATCCGAGCTCACGCTGCTGTTTCCACCCAACCGCCGCCCATCTCCAATCCTTTTCCCCCAATTCCTTCTTCTTTTCCTCATCCTAAACTCATCCCGAGAACCAGATTTATAATCGACGGCTTTAGACACGCCGGTGACTTTTCGGTCTCCTACTTCCTCTCCCACTTCCACTCCGATCACTATACGGGGCTCACCCCTTTCTGGTCCAAAGGCATTATTTACTGTTCCTCCATCACTGCGCGCCTCCTTATCGAAGTTCTTAAGGTTCCCTCTTCATTTGTTGTGCCATTGCCCGACGCCCAGCGCGTTGTCATCGATGGCTGTGAAGTTGTTCTTATTGACGCAAACCATTGCCCCGGGGCGGTTCAATTTCTGTTTAAAGTCCCGGTGGATGAAGGTAAGTTCGACAAGTACGTTCATACTGGTGATTTCCGGTATTCTGAATCCATGAAACTGGTTCCATTGTTGAACGAATTTATTGGTTCTGATGCTGTCTTTTTGGATACTACTTACTGTAATCCTAAGTATGTCTTTCCGGGACAGCAGGAGTCCATTAATCATGTAGTCGAGGTGGTTAATAGAATCGGGGCTGAGAATGAGGGGAAGGTTAAGAATGTTTTGTTTCTCGTAGCTACCTATGTCATTGGTAAGGAGAAGATACTGATGGAGATTTCTCGCAGGTGTAACAGGAAAATTTATGTTGATAGCAGGAAAATGACTGTTCTGAGTGTTTTGGGTTTGGGGGATTCTGGAATGTTCACCACGGACGAGTTGGAGAGTGATGTTCATGTCGTTGGTTGGAATGTGCTGGGGGAGACTTGGCCGTATTTTCGGCCCAATTTCGTGGGTCTGAAAGAGATTATGGAGGAAAAAGGGTATTCTAAGGTTGTTGGATTTGTTCCTACGGGATGGACATATGAAGTGAAGAGGACTAAGTTTGCAGTAAGAACGAAAGATTCGTTTGAAATACACCTCGTGCCTTACAGTGAACATTCGAATTATGAAGAACTTAGGGAATATGTGAAGTTCTTGAAACCCAAACGAGTTATACCCACTGTGGGCATTGACGTTGAGAAACTAGACAGCAAACATGTAAATAAACTTACAAAACATTTTGCTGGATTGGTAGATGTCATGGCCGCTAAACAAGAGTTCTTGATGGGCTTCTATCAAAAGACCATGGAAGTGGATGACTACGATACTGATGTTCGCGCTTCTTTCCCTACTGATTTGGTAAAACCTGGGAATGCGGTTTTGTTGATGGAAAAAGAGTGCAGCCAAGGTCTGGATATGGGTGGGTCGGGAGATTCTTCTCTCCCTCAGCAGGAAGTTGCATCACAGGGTATTGAGACTGTAAATGAAGTTAGTTTAGAAGAATCTCTCCAGGAATTGAGTGACTGTCTACCGAGCTGGGTAACTCGAAATCAGATGGTGGATTTGCTCAGGTCTTCCAGACAAAGTATAGTTGAAGCTGTTTCTACTTTTTTCGAACATGAAACTGAATATTATGAGCAGGTAGCTGCTACCATATCTCCTGCTAAGTCGCAAGTTAAATTGTCATTGCCTTCTACATTCGCAGGAGATGAATGTACAATTTCTTGTAAAGGTAGAGGAATTGAGTCTGGGGTGCCTTCGACATCATGCCCCGATAATGTGTTTCCTAAAAGTCCTGGAGTTAGTCTCAGTGAGAGGCTCAAAATTCCAAAAACTGTGAACTTAGTCTCGAGTAGGTCTTCTCCAGGGAAGAGGAAGAGGGCTGTTGAAAATAAAGCAAGTAAAAAAGTTAAGAGCAATAAAAGTCTAAACAATGCACCCAAGCAACACTCAATTACAAAGTTCTTTCAAAAGGTAGCACCTAATACATCTCAGGGTGACAAAGTTGCTGCCGTAACTCCTCATCTTCAGGATGATGACACTTTGAGGCCAAGTAACATGATTGAAAATCACAATGCTGAGGTGGATCAGTTTATTGAGATTGTAAATGGTGATGAATCATTAAGAAGCAAAGCTGCAATGATTCTAAAGCAGACAAATGGAAATATTAATTTGGCACTAGATATCTACTATGACGGTTCTGGTTTTATCCTCACTCAGAGCAGGGAAATCTTGTCAGATGAAAATGTGGTGGTCCAGACAAAATCCTCAGATGGGAATACATCTCCTGAAAACCCCAAGAAGGAACCAGGGTGTTCCAGTGGTGCAACTGTAGCTTTGGAACAAATTGATATCATTTCCGTGAATCACGTATCACTATCTCCTGAAAATTATTCTCCAATTGAGCATGGTCTGTGTTATTGTTTTGCTTGGTTCTAAATTTGTGAGGAAAACTAGCAATTTATTTCCTAATTGGCCTTTCTGCAGCGTTTTGGAAGAAAGGAGAGCCAGCTCCCTTCCTTCATCTTGCAAGAACCTTTGATCTGGTGGAGGAAGAAAGGGGCAAGATAAAAGCCACATCCATACTTTGCAATATGTTTAGAAGGTGAAAAATGCTGTTGGAAGTGATTATGTGTACACTTTTTTAATTATCTGTATCCTATTTTTAATCTACCCTTTAAATATTTAGGGACCAACGAAAAAAGTGTCAGACAAGTTGATAACTTAAAATAATTTGGTTTCATGGACGTATTGGCGACATATGGTCCATATAGCCGACTCCACCTAGAGGGAAAAAGGCTTGTTATTGACGTATTTTGTGGGACAGGCTTAATGTTGTTGTCTCCTAGGCTGATTGATTTGCTGCAGCTAACTTTCATGTCCATGTAGTTCTGTAATAGTTCTTCATTTTTCATCCTCTAACATCACATTACCTTTTTGCAGTTTGCTTTGCTTGTCCCCGGAGGATGTTATACCGACAGTTTACTTGTGCTTAAACAAGATTGCTCCTGATCATGAGAAGATGGTTTGTTGGTTCCATGTTGCCTATGACTTCTCCTAATTTTGCCATTTTTCAAGATTTTACCTGCGTTTTATTGGCAAATTGACTCTATTGTATCCCATAGCTTTGATCTGTTAAATTTCTTCTTGTTTTTAATGCTTTCAAGGGAAAATTGGAGAGTAATTTTATGAGAATAGTAGAATTATCTTTTTGACCTGCCAAGTTCTGGGTTATCTTCTCTTTGAAGATCTATGTCAGCTTCAAATTTTTTGTGCTTTGTATGTTCTTATTCTTGTGTCAGCTGTCTAGGGGTGTTTCACTGTAGATTACTGCTATTGATTATTGTCTGGAGGCTATTCTTTCTCTCTGTCCGTGTGTGTGTGTGGGTTGTTTTATGTCCCATGGTTGTCTGAAGAAATTGACAATTAATTTTGCTGAAACAGGAATTGAATATTGGTGGTAGCATTGTAGTAGCAGCATTAGAAGATGCATGTGGTACAAATAAGTCTAAAGTACGGGAGTTGTATAACAACCTTGGCGATCTTGGTATGGAAAAGGGCTTTTGTCAATTATTTTTCAATGCTTAAAAATGACTGATGTTTTGTTGATAGTAGTTGATACCTAATGCTGAATCAGGTGATGTTGCACAACTTTGTCGACAAACACAACGGTTACTTGCTCCTCCAGCTGTGCTTTCAATCCGAGGTGTATTTTCTGTCCTGAGAGACATAAGGTATAAAGTGCTTATTCTTGGTCTTGATCAGTAACTTGTATTTGAGTACTTAACTACTGTACATTGTACTAGCATGACATGGAATGGTGATGTATGTATTGATTGAAGCATACTGATAAGAATCTCTGCTTGTTTTGATTCTTGTATACTGTTTTCTCTTTTTTCTATGTGCTTGGCAGTTTGTTTTTTTTTTTGGGTACCTTGTCATGGCGATTAACTTCCATAAAATGCAGAAGTGTAATTTACTTTTCGTTATGCAATTAGTTCACTTGTGCTTTTCCAAGCTATGGTCAATTGTTATTTTTTTTGTTCATTGCTGATAATTGCTTTTCGATTTATTATTAGTATAGACTTTCTCTTCTGTGAGTGCCATATCAGTTCTATCGCTTTTTTACCTACAAATTACCAGTTCGCAAACAGGTACTGGTAGCATGGTTCGAAAGAAAAACCTTATCTTGAATCTTATGCGTTCATGTAGAGAAAAGGAGATGAAATTTCTTGTCAGGATGCTGGTATGGCTCATCCCTTCTTTCCTGGGTTCATCTGTTGTCCTTTGCTGAGTTGTTGGCTCATGATTGTTTTTCCGGTTTCCCCAGTGACTGATGTCATGACAATCTTCTAATTCTTTGTCTCATGTAGGTCCGTAATTTAAGGATTGGAGCAATGATGAGAACTGTTTTGCCAGCTCTGGCACAAGCTGTAGCAATTAACTCCATGCAGGGTTCTGTTGTAAATTTGAAGGATCGTCTTCAGGTCAGTTGGCGTGTAGTTGGCGTCTTCTGCTTCATGTCATATTCCTGTAGTTTTGTATCACAAATGGAGTCACACTACTGATGGGCCTTTTTCTTATTAGTTGGCATCTTCTGATTCCTATTAGTTGCACCCCTTCTTCTTCTCCCTTTTAGTTGGTTTTGTTTCAATGTTATTCCTTTACTGACATTAGACAACTACGGCATGTTAACCATCCCGCAGGGTCTTTCTGCAGCTGTAGTTGAGGCCTATAACATTCTTCCTCACTTGGTAAGGCATTATTATGATCTCGTGACTTTTTTATTTTTTTGTCTTGGATGCTGTTTTAAAATGATGAGTAGCTGTCTCTAAAATAATGTGGCACTTTATAGTTTCACGTGCCAGTTTGTTATGGTTCTTTGTATGCTGGAGTAAGTATGAATCAGTAATTGCAGTGATGATTATGTTCTACACTTTTTTTGGTTCTTACACTCTTTAGCTATTTTACTAGTTGAATAGAATTTATAGCTTTTCTGGTTTTATGATTAATTAATGATAAGGATACAGATATATTACCCGTTGGAGGTACGAAATAATGGGAGAGTAAGATGAACTTGATTCTTGTTATTGTACAATATTGTAAATTTAGTTCATAATGAGTTATGGTGTTTCTAGATCATTAATGTCTTATGTTTTTTAAATTATATGTGCCTAGGATTTGTTGATCCCTTCATTGATGGAGAAAGGACTTCAATTTTCGTCAGGAGATTTATCTATGGTTCCTGGCATACCCATCAAGCCAATGCTTGCAAAGTAGGTATTTAATGTCTAGTTAACATGCCATTGACGATTTTGTTAATTTTGAGAAATCTAAGTTGAATAGCCATGCCAGCTGGAATGTTCTTTTCCTTGTTTGCTGTTAAATTTAAATGAAATTGCATTAGTTTACATTTGAATAGAGGCATTTGATAGCAGAAGATCTCGCTTTGATCTCATAGTTTCTGTTTGCTGGGTGATTTTCTTTGTATCAAAGAAGTAGTAATGATTCTTGTGATGAGCAATATAGGTAAATGATCTTTTGTTCTCTTAGTTTTCAACAAATCATGACTCTTGAGGCTGATATGGAATGCTATCAAAAATGTATGATGAGAAGAGATTTTATATGATTTGTTAGCTCATATTCTATTTATGCTTCATTATATTATTGTTATATTTATTATTATTATTCCATATTTAACTAGAGCTCTAATGTCCTTTTCTTTTCCCCTTTTTGTCTTCTAGAATTACTAATGGATCCTCTCAGGTTCTTAAGCTCTTCCAAAACAAAGCCTTTACATGCGAATACAAGTAAGTATTTGGTGCATTTGCTCTTTGCTTTTCACTATTGCAACAGTTGTTAGAAGTCAATTTTGATTTGTTAGGTCATAATTCATACACGTTATTTGGCTGATCAATGTGCTTTTAGCGACTTTGTTTATGCTTATCTTTCCAGAAAGCCTACATACTTGAGCTGTCAATCTTCTCCCCCTTACAGTAGGATCTGGCTTATGTTGTATGTCAATTTATAAGATTTCTTGGATTATCTTTGTCAGAGAAAAATAGTGATTTGGGTAAATGGCATTAAAACTTCACTTCACTTTGCTTTGTGTAGCTGTTATTTGAGCATACTGATAACTGTGTACTTGCATGTCCAGGTATGATGGTCAGCGAGCCCAAATTCACAGATTAAAAGATGGTTCACTACGCATTTTCTCACGGAAAGGGGATGAAACAACTGCTAAGTTTCCTGATGTGATAAACATAATTAAGGAAGCATGTGGTTCTGCTGAAACTACTTTTATATTGGACACTGAGGTAGATATCCTACAACATTCTGCCAAAGTCATGTGCTAGTGAATGGATACTGACCAGTCTTGTGGAATTCAGTTTTCAAAACTCCTTGACCAGTGTTTTTTCTTTTTTTCCTGATCGTGTCACGGGAACTTTCATGTTCTGATTGAAAATTGGAATGTCTTTTATTTGCAGGTGGTAGCTGTTGATCGGAGAAAAGGTATGAAGCTTATGTCATTTCAAGAACTGTCTTCTCGGGAGAGAGGAAGTAAAGACTCCACAGTGTCGTTGGATAAAATTAAGGTAAACCGAAATCGTATTTCAGGGATTGGAAACCTATGTATTTATGTGTAAGATATGATGAATCTAATTATGTTGGTAGTACCCTTCAACAATATTTATACTTCGTTCACCTTGATATTCCATTGATAATCTTCTTGATGTGATGATATACCCTGTAACAAATTACTGTGTTTCACGATATCTTTCCTTTTGGTTCGAGGAAATAAATGTTTTTGTTTTTCCACATGTGTAATAAGTTTCTGTTGCTCTCCAGATTATTTAATGAGAATTACATGGGAATTGATTGACAATTGGGTGATGCCTGAATCTATTGTGATAGTCTTGGGATAAAAGAAGGTAGAAAAATTGCTTGTACATGAAACTGAAATATTCATTCAAAGAGAGTCTGGGACAATAACTTGCTTCAGTCCATGCGATCATGATTAGGCCATATGATGTATAAACTGTCCCTTTTTTTTTGCATTTTTATTTCTGATAGTGTTGTCTCTCTCTGAGTGGCATCCTTTTTTCTTGTTATGCGTTTACTTGTCTTAGCTCCTCATTATATTTATGTTAGATTAAGCAATCTTATAAGACTTTAATTGTTGCAGGTTGACATATGCGTATTCATCTTTGATATCATGTTTGTGGATGGGAAGCAGTAATTATTCTAACCCTTTTATTGATTTATTTAGCTTAAACTGTTAGCAAGTAATAGTTTCAGTTTGGCAAGTTTCATTAGGTCTCATGCATATATCTTCAAAACTTTTGCTAGGTCTTTGAATCTTGGTTTGGGAAAAAGCGGGAACATTGGAATTTATGGCTTATGCATTTCATCTTTGTACCTGATACTATTACTATCTTCCTTTTCTCTAGGTTGTTGGGAACTCCTCTTCGTCAAAGGCGAAAGTGTATGCATTGTCCTTTTCTCTTTAAGAACTATCTATCCTTTTCCTGATGAGATTACAGCCTAAGCTTCCTTCTTGATTAATCAGATTTTAAGGATTTATTCCATCAGGAGAAACCAGGATATCTGGAATATGCGAAAGAAATGACAGTAAGGGTTTTGTTTCACCGGAACTATCGAGTAACTCTTTTCTTAAATAGATTTTGAATATGCTGGCTTTCTCAGGTGGAGGCCGATGATGCTTATCCAGATAATGAAACCACTTTGACAGCAGTGAATTGCTTTCTTAAGGAAGCACTCCATTCCTCTTGTGAAGGAATCATGGTTAAATTTCTGGATGTGGATGCTGGGTATACTCCATCAAAACGCTCAGATGCCTGGTTAAAGGTGACAGATCATAGTTATGTCACCTGCGTAAAGTAGAAGAAATACTGATATTAACGAGTGTTTCCTCTTTTGTAGGTGAAGAAAGATTATGTGGATGGATTGAGTGATTCATTGGATCTAGTCCCTATAGGTGCTTGGCATGGGAATGGACGCAAAGCAGGATGGTAATATTTGATGTTTATTATGATTATACTCTCTCTTGTTTAATCTTCTGCTTTGAGAATGAACATGATTTCATTGTATATTGTGCTGGTGTTTGATGCATTTACATCTACTACATTTACTTACCTAAAGACCATATGATAATGTGAATATTTTCTGTTTCTCTGAGGTAAAATTTACCTGGGAAAGTGTGCATTTACCTTGAAGTCTGGACATTCTCGTCATGGTTTTGTTCATCTGCTGTCATTTAAATGGTTTAGGTACAGTCCCTTCCTTATGGCCTGCTACGACCCTGAAAGAGAAGAATATCAGAGTGTTTGCCGGGTCATGTCAGGGTTTTCAGATTCCTTTTACAGAGAGGTATATAAGTTTATTTCTGAGAAATGCAGTTTTCTCCGTACTTCCAGACTTAACTGCTTAAGTTATCATGGTTGTGATTCTTCTCGTTTCTAATTTCGTTGTTGCGCTATATGATGTTTCACAGATGAAAGAGTTTTTTCAAGGGGATAAAATTCTTGCTAAGAAGCCTCCTTATTATCAAACTGCGGAGGTGCCAGATATGTGGTTCTCCCCGGAGATTGTCTGGGCAATTAGAGGTGCCGAACTGTCTGTATCGCCTGTCCACAAGGCTGCAGTAGGTCTAATTCATCCATCTCGCGGGATCTCGATGAGATTCCCTAGATTTATTCGGTCTCTATCAGATAGAAATCCAGAAGATTGTAGCACAGCTGCTGATATAGCAGAAATGTTCAATTCTCAAACACGAAAAATGGATGTGAATGTCGAGCACTGAACCAAGCCTCTCTTTTGTTTAGCTGTAGTCAATATGTATATAGGTACTTCTTCAAAAAAAAAAAATGTACTGTATATAGGTTGCAGCGTTAAACATTTTCTATGCGGTATAATTTGCAGGTTAAAGCACATTTGTTTGGTCAGCATCTTGCGTACTTTTTCCACTTTTAAAAACTAAAACAGTACCTTAAATGTATCAAAACACATTAAGCAACCAGATTTACACGTGAACATATATAAATGTGACAATTTTCATGTTATGGACTGTTTTACCAAATGCATTCAACGCATTTTAAGTTCTTAATTTCTTTTTGATTTAATGTCAAAAACTTTAAAAGCCGTGGATCCATTTCTAGATGGGCTTCAGTAGCTTAGGATATTTGAGATCCAGTTCTGAATGGGCCCATTTATCCACCTCAAATAATCTCCCGCCAAGCTGTGAAACCGGCTATTGCCGGTTTCATTCGCGGGTCGTCCATATAAAATGCCCGAGTGACATTTTCCGATTATTTTAATTTTGTTGAAGCAAAATTAGTCGTGCTGAGGGTTAAATTAGCACGGCTGTGGGTTTCCCTCCAATCGGTCGGGGCCGCCGTAGTGGGTTGTTTCAGATTGAAATTTTCTGGAGGTTTTCCTCCGTCCCATGAGGAAACTCATTCGCTCCGGTCTGCATCGAAGTCTCAAACACTCAAATTCGAGATTATACCCCAGCTTTACTTTAACTCCAGTCCAGTAGAATGAGTGCGGTGAACATCACCAACGTGACGGTCTTGGACAATCCGGCGCCCTTTGTCGCTCCTTTTCAGTTCGAAATCTCTTACGAGTGTGTCACTCCTCTTAAAGACGGTAATTTCTTTACCTTTCAGTAGGCAAATTTGATCTTAATTGTTCGTCTTCTTGTTTTCCTTTCTTGAATCAGTTAGTCGTAGCCGATTATTTCGAGAATCTGCTAGGGTTTTCTTTTTATCATCGTTTGCCGTTTCTAATCACTAAGTTAGGGTTTGTTCATTTTGATAATTAAATACTCCTTTTATTTTGGTTGATTTGCTCTATTTTGACCCCTGTCAACTTTTAATTAAGTAGCGGATTTGAGGATTCATAGACTTTGATGGAAGAATCAGATGCAATGTGATGTATGATGAACTTAACTGGGTTTTTGAAACTGCTGCTTTCCTTCATTTCAAAGTGGTATCATATTTATATCTTTATCTGCCATGAGCTTAGCCGAGTTGGGGAGCTGTGATTAGCTTCCTTTACTGTCTTGTGTGTTGTGTGCCATCTGCTGTTTTGATGCTGAATCTAGAGTATTAACCTAATTGTCGAAACCATTGTCTGACCCTAGCTTTTGCCTGAAATATCCATTAAATTTTGAATTCATGAGGCTTCTTCAAAATAAATAAAGAAATCCAAAAGGCCAAAATGCCACAGCTTCATCTTTAGTTTTTCAGTAACGTATGCTCTCAGTCATGTCATTTCATACCTGCTAACTTTTTAATGAAATGCAACATTTATATTTTCTTAATATCGACTCTATCTTTGTGCCTCACATACGAACTATTTCCCACCTGAAGTCAGTGTAGGAGTTCTAATCCCCAGTTTGTCTGTGAATCATTTGACTGGTGAAAATTAGTGGTGCTGCAGCGTATTAGAAACAAAATAATTGAGATTTCTTGTACGCATTATATGGAGGTATATCTTATGTCTACTCTGAGAAGTTTGTCATGTTAGACAAACTTAAAAAAGAGTCTAGTTTGTGCTAGAAGATTTACCAAGAAGTATGCTCTTCTTTTTCAAGCTTCTAAGCATAGGAATCTGTGTGCAGATTTGGAATGGAAGCTTGTTTATGTTGGATCTGCCGAGGATGAAACTTATGATCAACTTCTGGAAAGTGTTCTTGTTGGGCCAGTCAATGTTGGCAATTACAGATTTGTCTTACAGGTAACTAGATCTGATGAGTTGGTTTTTCTGAATGCATTTTGTTATTTTTACTTATGATCCTCATCCATTGTTATAATGTGCTAGGCTGAACCACCTGATCCTTCAAAAATACGCGAGGAAGATATAATCGGTGTGACAGTGCTGCTGTTGACCTGCTCTTACATGGGACAGGAATTTGTTCGAGTGGGCTACTATGTAAACAACGACTATGATGATGACCAGCTAAGGGAGGAACCCCCTCAGAAAGTTCTGATTGACAGGGTTCAGAGAAATATACTTTCAGACAAGCCTAGGGTGACTAAATTCCCAATTAATTTTCATGGGGAAAATGGAGAAAATGGAGAAAATGGAGACCAAGAACCTCCTCCTGATCAGACTACTGAGCAAGAGGGAAAGGAGGAAGCAGTAGCACCACCAACTTCACCCGGTCGTCCTTCAGATGGAGGAGAATGAAATATAGTGACAGTAGCCGTTGCTGATACCTGATTTTGTATTCTAAGCGTGAAAAGATCAAATGTTTTGCCCGTTTGTTATTGGCTGCTTCTTTCTTCCCTTTGTGATCTTTTTGTTAAGTGACTGCTGAAAACACGCATAAGGTTTCAGTCAATTAGATTGCTGATAAGAATTTAGGGTTAGTCTACTCTGCTAATCTCTTTTGGAACTTGTAATGACACTGGAAAACATCAATTTTGGCTAGAGGCTCCTGCCATTAGTTTCGATAGCCAGTGGTTAGCCTAGAATGGACATATCTCTGCATTGACTGGTTTTGAAGTCGTTGTAATAGAAGCATCTACTGAATCTGAATTATATTTGGCATTACAGTGGATACTTTTCTCATCGCCTTTTAGTTTCAGTGTCCCTATTATATGTTATCTTCCACTAGCCTACAGAAGTACTTCCATTTCTTGTTTAGCTGTTGTCTGATGTCAACAATGTGTCACATTCAGATAATAATTCCAGACATAACTCAAATGAATAACCCTTGATTGCGGCTGTAGTGAACTACCAGTGAACTACCACAAATGGACCGTTCGAGGATTGGTTGCAGTGCGATGCAAGCTTGTTTCTCAATCGACATATATATAAAGCAGAAGGTACAGATATAAAATAATTTAATCAGTCCACAAAATTAGTATGAAAATTCTTCTGTTTCCAGCAAATGACTATATGAAGGGGGGAAAAAGACAGGAAATCAGACTATAGTAACAACAATGGCAGGATGAGAACGCAAGACAATCTCACAATCAGCCTAGATCTCTGCACCCTGACCTCCATATCTGCCCCTTTAGGGACAAACCAGAACCGAATTAAGAAAATGGAAAAACCTAAGACTTAAATCTGATCTGAACAAAGCTACAATGTCAACTTCAAGTCCAGCTGCTTTCACATCCCCAAAAAGGATTCATCAGACAAACAGTCCATGGCATCTCAATAATTTCTGTGTCTCTTCTTGCCAGCATTCCTTGCCGATCTTGAATCTTTACCTTTTCTCTGCAGATCATACAACAGTCGGATTTTCACACAAAAAAAGATTGTAGAAAAAATTTATATCCCTAGGTAAAAAGAAGATTTACCTTATTTGACTTTTTGGTGTGCACATGCTGCTTTTTCGTCTTCTTTGGAGTTTTAGCAAAAATCTGTCAAAAGCTAATTAATCATTTATGGACACAGAAAATCCTTTTGATTAGGCCAAGGGCAAACACATAATGCACTCACCTTTGCTGTAGACTCACTTTCTGCATTAGCCTCACCATCAAGTTTTCCCTCATCATCAAGTATAAGCTTAAGCCGCCCTTCTCTCAGTAACTTCTCAGAGCGAGCATGTCTCTGTTAAGAAATAAATAGCATGCTTGGTGAAATTACCAATAACAGAAAAAAAAGATAGAGATTCAGCCAGTAGACATAGAAAATAGCACTCATTTCTATAACAGTTCCAGAATCTATACATGCCAGTAAGACAGCCCAAGTGTCAAAACATCAAAAAACACAAAAAGAAGCAAATCTTGTCACATTTTACAATAACATGGCACAGAAAACCTTGAGTTTGAAAAGGAGAAACAAAAAATGCGCGATGGCAAACCAAAAATATAATTTGAAGTTACCTTAGATTTCAGATGAGCCCTTATACTATCTTCAGTCAAGCAGACAATTCTAGGGCACAGCTTACACTTAAAAACTGATTTACGTTTCACCACATATTCTGCAATATCAGATGGGATTTCAACATCTTGAGGCTCAACATCGTGCTGGACGTTGGCTAATTCGACATTTTCTTCGGTCATGGTTTCTCTATCCTTTTTTGGCTCCCCATCATCATCACTGGTAGGTAAACCTGTCAGAAAGCATGATCTTATTAGTATTTTACTTCAATCTCTACTATCCATTCTCACAACTTCATAAGTAGAAGCTTCTGTCGAGAACGTCCCCCACCCCACCCCCCACCCCAAACCAAAATCGAAATATTCCCTCTTCTTTACAACCGAGAACCACACAAGGCTTTGACATAGTATAGTACTGGACACCAGTTGTTTGTTAATGTACTCCATCAGAGCCATGAAAGAGAATATGGATATTCAAATCTAGCCAGAACCCGATCTACATTAAGCATTTCAAACTGACCTGATGAGTCGACGTGAACTTCATTTGCTGAGCTATCCTCACTTTCATATCCTGCAGAGATTGACAAAAACAATAAAGGAATAATTTTAACTGAAACTACGGTATTCAGTAAAGCTATCAGTTTCGGAACACAAGTTATGTAAAGTATAACTTAGCCGTTGACAATAGAAGTCTCTGGGTACATGACATTTAAAGAACAATTCAATCATAATATAAGCAAAAACCAAAGTAATACTAGATCAATGGGACCTTTCATAGAAGGAGCTATAAACACATATTTTCTTGTCAGAGTAAACGGTCAATATCACCATTCTATCCCAGACATGTTAACTGACTCATATCCGTCAACAGTCAGATAATGACATCGACAAACTTAAACATTCTTAGCTGCTCAAACTCAACTTGTATGATAATAAAAGATATTTATCGAGCTAGAATGACACATACACACACCTGAAGAAGATGAAGCACGAGCTGCTTCATGCTCTCTCAATTCTGCCCCTCTATCATCATTCTCACTTTCGACCTCCTCTTCTTCTGATTCGTCCGTGGAATTTGCTTCCAATTCAAAATCAGAGGAGGATGAAGAAGATTCAGAGGGAGCATCCCTATCACCATGCTCGAGCTTGTAGAATCGCCTCTTTATCATATCGTTTCTGTGTCTCTGTTCACGCCGATTGCGAAACTGGTATCAACACAAACAAACAACAAAATTTCAATCCTGAGCTTCACCCCTTTTAACATCTTTTTACAAAGTTATATACATTCCGAATTGAAGGCATTATCAATCAAGTGGGAAAAAAAAAGTCAACTAAATTTTTCCAAAAGGCAACTACAGAGGCATAGACAGACGAATGTGGAAAATAACCAGTTCCTCGTATGCAGCTGATGCTTGGAACAAAGGAGGGAAAAAACAAAGTGCGACGGAAACTCGGGGGAATCTTACAGACAAATTAACAGTTAGAAGTTAATTCTCAACGCTCCGAGGAAACAAAAAAATGTGGATGAGATTGTTTACGCCAGATAAGGGTTTATACAAAGAGAAACCGGAATATAACTGTACCGGGAAAGAGACGGCGGAGCGGCGATGAGTGGTATCCGGTGGCCGACGAGGAGGGAACTGAGGACTGAGGAGTGAGGAGGGGGTTTGGGGTTTTTATTCCACGAAGTAATTTTGCACTTTTGACCTTTGAAATGACGCCGAATAAATTATTAATATCAGATTTGAACCCTAAAGTTGGGAAAAATATGTCAACACTCCTCCTTCACTTGTTTTTTTTTTTGAAAAGTCCTCCTTCACTTGTAAGTTTTAACTTGCAAGGGGAATTTCACTTTCGATTTTTTTTTTTTTCCTTTTTAGATGTTTTTCTTCGACAATGTGGTTTTTGAACCATTTTGTTTCTGTCTTTTAAAAAAAGTTGATAATAGTTTCATATATTGTAAAATGACATAGTCCGCTAGATAATCTTTTTGTTTGAAAAATTAAGGAAAAAAAAAATGTAAAGCATGGACATGCCACTTAGAGGAGCTTTTTAAGAATACCTTCAACCAAATTAAGTGCAAAATGTAAACAATGGCATGATAAACAGATAAAGTTAAGTATTTCATCACTTGGATGATTAAAAATTGTTATTTTATCTTCTAAGTCTATCATGGTTGTAAATTAATTTTTTAGCTTTAGTGCGGAATGGAACTCATAATTTATTTTGCCTTGATACACGTCGATAATATCCCAATATTGTAATGAAAATTTCTTCTCTACATTTATCATTTCACCCACAATTAACTCAACATAAGGTTGGCTTTGTTTCCATTACTGATATAATAGGTATTTTATGGCCTTTTCCATTCTCGCTTAAGGCTAATCAAAACCAAATTTGTTCCGTTTTTGCAAAAGCAAATTAAGCCTTAGACCAGAAAGGCAAAAGTGCATTAAGTAAACTTTCCCGTGAGCATTGGAAATGGACCAAAAAAACTTATAAGGAAGTAATCAAAGCGGAATTGGTTTCTTTTGTTTGTTGAGCAAATTCTGTCGTTTCCCTCGTGACAAAATGAGTGACCATACAGTATATAGTAATACGATAATACACTAATCCAAACGATGAAATGAGTCAACCTTCTTCATTCAGATCAACCCGGACCAAATACAACCCGCCCCCAAAATTCTCTCTTTAATTCCTAGGATTACTCTATTGATTTGATTTGATGGGCTTCAATGCTTTCCAGCGGTAGTATTTACTATTTTGATTTGAAGAGATTGTCGGTTTACTCTTCTAGTCTAGAGAAAGCTATATAAACCTCACCCCATTTCAACCATTTCTGCTGATAATCAAGAATCAATTTTTTTTTTCCGGAATTCTTGCTTTCTCAAATGGCTGGCTCTAATGGAGAAAACCCAACTTCGATCGACGGCAATATTCTCGTGGCCATGAGCCTGGCTCGGGCCGGAGTAAACAAGATGTTCGGAGTAGTGGGCATCCCGGTCACTTCATTAGCGAACCGGGCTATGTCCCTTGGAATCCGGTTCATCGCCTTTCATAACGAACAGTCTGCCGGCTATGCTGCCTCAGCCTACGGCTACCTCACTGGACGTCCGGGAATTCTTCTCACAGTTTCCGGGCCGGGCTGCGTTCATGGGTTGGCTGGTTTATCGAACGCTGGCATTAACGGGTGGCCCATGGTTTTGATTTCGGGTTCGTGTGATCAAAAGGACTTCGGCCGTGGTGACTTCCAGGAGCTTGATCAAATTGCCGCCGTTCAACCCTTTTCGAAGTTCTCGGTGAAAGCTACTGATATTTCCAAAATCCCTGCTTGTGTTTTCGATGTTCTCGATCATGCCAATTCGGGCAGACCCGGTGGGTGCTATTTGGATCTTCCTACTGATGTTCTTCACCAGTGTATCACTGAGGATGAAGCCCATAAGTTGATTGATGAGGCTGAGGGTAGTAGGAAGAAGGAGCTGATTGAAAAGCCAGTGGTTAATCATTCTGAAATTGGAAAGGCGGTTGCTTTATTGAGAAACGCCGAGAGGCCTCTGATTGTTTTTGGAAAGGGAGCTGCATATGCTAGGGCAGAGAATGCATTGCAGAAATTGGTTGAGAGCACTGGGATTCCGTTCTTGCCCACTCCCATGGGGAAGGGATTGTTGAGTGATACCCATGAATTGTCAGCCACGGCTGCCAGGTCGCTGGCAATTGGGAAATGTGATGTTGCACTTATTGTTGGTGCTAGGTTGAATTGGTTACTGCATTTTGGGGAGCCACCAAAGTGGTCCAAGGATGTGAAGTTCATTTTGGTAGATATTAGCAAAGAAGAGATTGAATTGAGGAAGCCTTTTGTTGGTTTGGTTGGCGATGCTAAAGAGGTTGTTGAAAGATTACATAAGGAGATTAAAGATGACCCCTTTACCTTTGGAAAGACTCATCCTTGGGTTGAGTCTATCGCGAAGAAGGCTAAGGAGAATGTGGCAAAAATGGAGGTACAATTGGCTAAAGATGTTGTCCCATTCAATTTTATGACTCCTTTGAGGATTATTAGGGACGCTATTTTGGGTGTGGGTAGTCCTGCTCCCATTTTGGTTTCTGAGGGGGCAAACACTATGGATGTTGGTCGAGCTGTATTGGTTCAAACCGAACCGAGGACTAGGTTGGATGCTGGGACTTGGGGGACTATGGGGGTTGGATTAGGATATTGCATTGCTTCTGCTGTTGCTTCTCCTGATCGGCTTGTAGTTGCTGTTGAAGGGGATTCTGGATTTGGCTTCAGTGCAATGGAAGTTGAGGTTGGTTTTTGTACTCTTGTTTGCTTCTTTTGTTATACTTAGTCATTCTTGAGTGGTATATCTGTATTTTCTGTTTTTTTTTCTCTTATCCTTGATGGCAAAGTACAATTGTGGATTATGATCTGTTTTTAAAAGATATGTCTTGATCTTCCCAAATGTGCTTTCTTTATCTTAAGCATTGCATATTTATTTCCTACTTCATGCTTTTTCCTAAAAGGATATACATTTCGTGTTATTGCTACGTTACTTTCTTTTTTGAACAATTTGTAGCCATTTAAGGTTGGAATCTGTTTAGGAAATTCAGATAAAAGAATCTTTGCTGAAACAGTAACAAAATATATTGCAACAACTTAGACAACTGGAATTGCTTTTGTATTGTGCAGACCTTGGTTAGGTATCAGTTACCTGTGGTGGTTATTGTTTTTAACAATGGTGGAGTTTATGGAGGTGATAGAAGGAGTCCTGAAGAAATATCTGGGCCTCACAAGGATGATCCTGCTCCCACTTCATTTGTACCTGGTGCAGCCTATCATGTTCTGATGGAAGCTTTTGGTGGAAAAGGTTACCTTGTTCAGACGCCTGACGAACTCAAATCTGCACTTGCGGAATCCTTTACAGCTCGGAAGCCTGCTGTCATCAATGTCATAATTGATCCTTATGCTGGTTCCGAAAGTGGGAGGATGCAGCACAAAAATTGAGGTATGTTGGTGTGTTTTTTGAGGAAGTTTCTTTGGACATTTTGGTTGTACGTTGTTTGAGATATAGGCAAGATGCTACATGGTGTAGCAGTTACAACTTAAAAAAGAAACGATTTAAGCCTACAGAATCATGTGAAGTCTGTCACGTTGTACATTTTCCATGTTTTCTTGTCCTTGCAGACTCGTGTGTCTAATAATTGGTAAAGAATAAAATCAGCGTATATTTACTTTCATCTTTGATCCAACTTTTAGCACATTGTTTGTTTCAAAGACAAGGTTGAACATGCATAGCATGAGGGAAGTGTTACTTCAGTAGTCTTGAAGATTCTGGCCTCGCGCAAATTTTGCATTGTTTGCTGCATTGCCCATGTATCATGTTTGCAATGTGAAGTTGTAGTATCATTCAGTTTGTTCATTACACCGTAATTTTGATTGTGGTTTGCTGGATGGAAGAAAGCTATCAGTTGCTGTTCTGTAAATCGAGGATGATTGTAGCTTGGACAACTTTGAATAACTGGAAATTTTGTACTGCACTGTCAGTTTTAAGGTTGCATATTTACAGCCGCCTCAGTGGATTGATTCGGTCTTTAATAGGATTGATTAACTGCAGAAAACCGGGTCACACTCCATATGGGACAGAGCAACTCTGTTCTGCACTGCAGTAATCCAACTTTTATTGTGTGCTAATGCAAACTGTGGGATGATTGAAAAGGATACGCGTTGTTAATTGTTACGGTAGGCAGCTCCACTTTAATATACTCCCTCCGGTCCTTAATATAAGGCATTTTGATTTGTCTTAGGTTTAACCTAGTACATATTTTTAATCGACGAAAAAAAATCTTAAAAATATTTCATTACAATCAAGAGAACACGACGAATGTGAAAATATATTTTAAAGATTTTTTGGTCAATAAAAAATATGTACTAGGTTAAAAGTAAGAAAAGTCAAAATGCCTTATAATAAGGACGGTAGGGAGAGAGGTATTTTTCTGATTCCGGTAGAAAAAGGGGTAGTATTTTTTTTATTTTTTTTTTCATTTACATAGGTGGCACGCCCACGCCCATTTTGAACGCCACATCAGATGAATATTTGTGGGAACACACGAATATTGAGAGGCATACATTAATTTCGTCAAAAGCGACAATCATCGAGCTTCTTAATTGATTAATGATGTTGATATGTGAGGATTGCGATTGGGAAATTGAGGATGCTTAACTCGTGAATTATTTTTGGGATAAACAAATGAGCAAATGGATTCGAATACACGCACCGTAAACGTGTTTAGTCATCTTGATTCAGATCGCAGCATTATCTTTATATAATCTTGCATCTGTTCTTTTTCCCATTTTGGTAGTATTACAGCTGCGTATCACTTATAATTATTACTATAATATAAAGTTAAAATCATTAATCTTTTAATAAGAATATACTTAATTTCAAAACAGAATGAAATTTTCTTAATTTAGCCGGAGACGACAACCTAAACATTTAAGATGGCATATGCCTATTCACGAAGAGGCAACAACAAAAATACGTACCATTTTGATTGATGTGCTTTTGCTTCCTGTGAAAATCCCCATGTACAGTAGTAATTTGATATCTTTGAGCCACACAAGCCGGAAATAACCAAACCAAACATTAAAAAAGGAAGATACACTTGGGTTATTATTGTTTAAAAAAAGTTGTGTGAGCAGGACTGGGCGTAACAGGCCACTACTACGGAAATTTCTGACACCCCTTTTATTTCATTTTGGTCCATACAAACTTTTCTTTTCTTCATCAAAGTTGAATTTGCTTCTGTTTTCTTTATTATTACTCCTTTTTTTTTTTTTTTTTTTTTTGGGTGGGATGGCTGAATAATGTTGTATATATCCAGCTTCTATAAAAAGCCAAACTAGCCGCCTTAGCAATTCTGCTTATATTCCTGACAGGGCCATTATTGTTGCTGAGCTCTTGTTGAAAGGCAGAGCTCTTGTTGATCCTTCAAGGAAGAAGGGAATCATGGAAGAGGCTCTGCTGCCACAGAACAATAAAGAGATTAACCGAGGTTCGCCATGCAATCATTATGTGGAGGAACTGAAGAGGGTGAATAGCATAGCGTTTCCTATGATTGTTACAAATATAGCTCAGTATCTGTTGCGGGTTTCTCCCATATTCATGGTTGGACATCTTGGCGAACTCCAGCTCTCTGGTGTTTCAATTGCCACTTCCTTCTCCAATGTTACTGGCTTCAGTGTTCTGGTATATACAAACCCTTTAAATCTTTAGTCAGCTCGTTTTATTTTTAGTTTTAATTCTGTCCCATAAGCTTACATCCATCTGTTGTAATTCTGTTATACTCTATGATCGTATTTAGTTAAATGGATGTTTAGTTGATCAAAGTTTCTTCCCTTAGTAAGGCTAAATAATGGATTGAATTGATCTAATATGCAGTTTGGGATGTCAAGTGCATTGGAGACCTTATGTGGTCAGGCTTTTGGAGCGAAACAATATCATAGACTTGGAGCTTATACTTACGGCGCGATTTTAAGTCTCTTCATCGTTTGCATACCAATAGCCCTTTTGTGGATCTTCACGGATAAGCTACTCATACTCACAGGCCAAGATCCTGCCATTGCAGCCGAGGCTGGAAAGTATTTGATCTGGCTTTTACCGACTCTGTTACCTTATGCCATTCTTCAGTCACTGGTTCGTTTCCTGCAGACTCAAAGTTTAATTCTTCCGATGCTACTGAGTACAGTTGCAGCTCTAGCCATCCAGGTTCCTCTCTGCTGGGTTCTTATATTCAAGTTGAATATGGAAAATGCTGGAGGAGCTTTGTCCATTAGCATATCTTACTGGCTGAATGTGGTCTTTCTTGCTCTGTATGTGAAATACTCTCCAGCCTGTAAAGAGTCTCGTGTCTCGGGTGGTGCCCTGCAGACAATGGGAGAATTCTTACATTTTGCTGTCCCTTCTGCAGTGATGGTCTGGTAATTAATCTGTTTCTCTTTATTCCTAGACCTTCTCCAAGTGGAAATGCTTTGATATTGTATTCCTAAGTTTTATTAATAATGTCTGCACTCCCACTAATAAATGAATGCTGTTTTTGATATTCATGTTGCAATGCAGCCTGGAATGGTGGGCATTTGAACTGGTTATATTGCTCTCTGGCTTGGCCCCAAATCCTAAGCTAGAAGTTTCTGTGCTATCTATTTGGTAAGCTTTTTCCCACCATTTTCCTTGTATCATCAGAGACTAAGAACTACACTGACACGCTATCATCTTTGAACCAGCTTCACAATGACTTCAACTCACTACCTCATTCCATATTCTTTTGGTGTCGCCGCAAGGTTTGATCTTACTCCAACTAGCATATCTTTACATTACAGCAATAAATGATCAATACAAGTACGCTTTTTCTGAGCAAGACAATCCTTTTATTAACTTTGATGTTGATATTTTAGCACCCGGATCGCGAATGAATTAGGAGCCGGGAATCCACGGGAAGCAAAGACAGCTCTTTCGATGGTGCTAATAGTCTCGGTAACAGAGTTTCTTGTGGCAGGCCTGATTTTGTTCGTGTGCCGTTCTAGACTTGGATATGCCTTCAGTGATGAGAATGAAGTAATTGAGTATGTGAAGAAACTGACACCACTCCTGTGTATGTCCATAATGATGGACGGTACCCAATCTATCTTATCAGGTTAGACCAAATTCTGCACTATAGGAAACTACTACTCCTACAACAACTTGGTTGCAAAAATAATATTTAATCTGTATGGTTTTGTGGTTGCGTCAATCAGGGGTTGCTAGAGGAAGTGGATGGCAGAGGTTAGGAGCATATGTGAACTTAGGGGCGTATTATCTGGTCGGAATTCCGGTAGCATTGGTACTGGGATTTGCATTGCATTTAAGAGGAATGGGGCTATGGGGTGGACTGGTTTCAGGAGCTGTGGTGCAATCCATTTTCTTCTCAACCATTACTGCTCTTACAAACTGGGAAAAACAGGTTTACTACAAATTCCTTTTGCCCTTTAAAAGAAGTTTGGTCCATTTCAAAATCAATGTCTCTGAACATTCTGTATACATAGTGCTGATGTCCACGTTCTGGCCCCCGATTACAAAAATTGCAGTCAATTGAAGCAAGAAAGAGAATATTTGAAGGTGAACAAGAAAAGGCCAGCTTGCTATAATCAGTTGAAACTTCCCATTTATTTATTCTGGTTTCAGAATTTTCTTCGACACATTTTTTGGGGACATAAAAGTCTCGGTAAGAGATTGGACGGCTTATGTCACAATCAGTATTGGTTTCGCTGCAAAAGGATGGCTCTAGTGTGCGTCAAATGTTGTATGATCACAGAAGATTTAGATAATCAAAATTATTGGTTAAGATGATGCTAAGGTCCAATTAATACTATATCTCGTCTCCGTCCCTTTATTTTATACGTTGTTGCAAGTTAACAAATTATGTGGTTAGAACATAATTTGGTCGGAAGTTCTCATAAATGTAATAGTTTAGGGTATGTTTGTTTCATTTTTTAATATATATTTTAAGGTGTTTTTTGTATTGAGAATGTAAAAAAATGTATTAAAAATATAAAAAAATATGTTGAAATGAGACAATTATTAATATTCTAATTTAAAAAAATTATCAAGAAAATGAAACAAATAAAACCTTAGTTTAATATGCTGAGATGGGACAATTATTGAATCTTATACTTACGGCGCGATCATATCTCTCTTTATTGTTTGTTTACCAATCATTCTACTGTGGGTTTTACAGACAAATTACTTATACTCACAGGACAAGACCCTGCCATTGCAACTGAGGCTCGGAAATATTTGATTTGGCTAGTTCCAACTCTGTTCCCTTATGCTATTCTTCAGTGTCTGGTTCGTTTCCTTCAAACTCAGAGTTTGATCATCCCAATCCTGTTAAAATGAAGGCACCGACTAATTTGTTAAAAATCTACAAAGGCAGCAAGGATTGGATTAATTGCTACCTCCGCCGACTTGTTCTTTCTAGAAGCTTGAGGAAGCCTCCACCGCCTAACTGTAGTACTGCAAGTTTTTTTTTAAATTGTAAATATTTTATAACTTGTGAGAAAAGAAAGTGCATATTTACACCAAAATTACTCTATTACATATTACTACCTCAACAACCTACTAGTGTACATTTGACAATTAAAAGAACTGATCTAGTATCTCTTTGCACTTTACTGCCCTTCTACTACTCAAACAATGCTCTATTCTCCATTGAACTTCCTTCTTGATCACTTCTATTATCTTCTCTGTTGTCCTCTGTTTAGCATCAAACGTTCTGGCATTTCGCTTCTCCCACACATAGTACACAGCAGCTGCCATAACAGCCCAAAAAATGTTTCTTCTCAGTTTTGAGGTCTTCCAAATTATCAGAACTCGTTCTCTCTATATCCTCTGATTACAAGAGAGGGTTTGCACTCCGAGCCAGCTAACAATTCTATTCATCAGTTCCATAGAGAAAGAGCATTCAAAGAATAAATGCTCTGAAGATTCAGGATGGCTTTAACATAGAACACACACAGGATCAATTTGCATACCAAACAGTTTGACCAATCTTTCTTTAGTCATATCTCTCTTTTTCCAGAACAGCCACAGAATAAAAGATTGCTTTGGCAAGTTAAATCTTGACCAAATGAAAGAAGCAGCAGGCATACTTTCACGCTCTCCTATCAACCACTTATACCCCGAAGCAATAGAATACATACCTGTTGCACTATGGTTCTATTTGTTGTCCAAAAATTGATCCTTCGCTTTCTCCTTCACCCTCAGCAGTTGCTTCCAATGCCAGCTGGAATCCTGCTGCGGTTGTAATTCCCAGAAGTTCCTCCCCTTTATGTATATCTCATGGACCCATTTGATCCATAAATTATCACTTTTGCATGCTATGTGCCAAACTTGTTTCAAAATGGGAGCTTCATTCCACAATTTGGCGTCTCTAACATTCAACCCCCCTTCCCTCCTTCATCTACAAACCTGGTCCCAACTGACAAGTGCCACAGTGTTTCCAGATGCTTTACCCCCCTCCCCCAATAGAAAACTTCTACAAACTCTATTAATCTGCTCTACCACACTTTTTGGGAGTAAAAAAGTAAAAGCTCAGTAATCATTAATGGCCATAAGAACATTATTAACCAACTGAAGTCGACCTGCATAGCTTAGATGTTTTGTACTCCAACATCTAACCCTAGCAGTGACTTTTTCCACCAGTATCTCACAGTCAAGTTTGTTCCATTTCCTAGGAGAAAGAGGAACTCCTAAATACTTCATAGGAAATTTCCCCTCTCAAAAACCTGTGACTTGGCATAACTGTATTTTCAAATCCTCCTCTACCCCACCAAAATACATATTTGATTTCAAAGGGTTTGCCACTAATCCAGTAATATTCAAAAACCTATTTAACACATCCATAATTTTCTGTAAAGTGTATGCATCTGCTTTGCAGAAGATCATTAGATCGTCTGCAAAGTAGATATTGGTAAGCTTCATACCTTTACAAAGGGGGTGGAAGTGAAACTGAACATCCTCAGCTGCGATCTTCATCATTCGAGTAAGATACTCCTTGCCAGGATGAAAATCAGAGGCGAGATTGGGTCGCCTTGGCGTAATCCTCTCCTGCCATGAAAAAAGTCACAGTTCTCTCCATTCAGATTCATTGTATATGATGTTGAGGACATACACTCCGTGATCTTCTGAGAGAAAAATTGTGGAAAACCAAACCCTAGCAGCATCTCTTCGACAATCTTCAATAAACATCTCTTGCTGATATTTTTCCTTCCATAAAGTCTGATTAGCTCCTGAGACAACAACACATTGTGAATGATCAACCTACCACTTACAAATGCACTCTGGTTTGAGTCTACTAGGTGTGGTAACACTTCTTTTAGTTTCCGACAGAGGATCTTTGATATGCACTTGTACAATACATTGCAACACGATATTAGTCTGTACTCAGAAGCATTCTGAGGACAGACATTTTTCAAAATCAAAGCCAGAACCGTAGAGTTAACCTGTCTGAGTAATCTACTATTTTTAAAAAAGTCAAGGACTGCCTTTGCCACATCATCCTTCACAATCTCCCAAGCACCTTTATAGAAGCCACTGCCATACCCGTCAGGACCTGGACTTTTCTTTATATTGATGCTCCACATGGCCTGTTTAATGTCCTGTATAGATACCTTCTGAAGCAGCTTGATCTGTTGTTGCCAACTTAACCTTAGGCCCTGTTCAAACATCTCCCAATTCGATTTCTGTCGCTCATTGCATTGCCCTAGCTGGACTTGAAAAAAATCCACAAGATGTTGCTTAATTCTCTCCCAGTCCCTGATGATAAACCCATTTTCAGTGATGGAGGAGATTCGATTTTGCATATTCCTTGCCCTCAACAGTTTGGCATGAAAATACTCAGAATTCGAATCCCCCAGCTTCACCCAAGTCTCTTTCGCTTTTTGCTTCAAAACTTTTCTGCTGCTCTACTTGCTGTAATGAATTTCTTGCACACTTCCTTTTCCAAGAGATGCAAGTTTTCATCATCAGGTTGGCAGTGTATCTGACCTTGCATTTGTGATAGCTGGATTGATAACTAATGTGCTTGATTCTGAATATCACTGAATTCCTCTCTGTTCAACTTCCTTAGTTCAGGTTTCAGCCTCTTTAATTTTTTAACCACTTGGTACATGTACTACCATCTTCAGTCAAGATCCAACTATCCTGAACAACCTTCTTGAATTGCTCCACCTGACACCACATATTGGAAAATTTAAAAGGCCTTCGTCTCCTACCATCCTCTTCCCCCAGATGCACTAGAATTGGAGAGTGATCAGAACATCCTTTTGCCAAAACTGTTGCAATAGAATGTGCAAAGGCCATGACCCATTCCCCATTAACGAGAACTCTGTCGATCCTCGAATAAACCCTTGATCCAACCAACTGTTTATTGGACCATGTAAATGTATAACCTTGTTGCTTCAAATCCTGTAATTCACATCCTTGTAGACATCTTCGAAAACCCTGAATTTCAGATAGTCCCACTCTATTTCCACCTAGCCTCTCATCTACTTCCAACACATTGTTGTAGTCCCCTACTACTATCCAGGCTTTATCAACATTTGCAGCTATGTCAATCAGTTGCTCCATAATTCCTTCCTGTCATGCTTTGCATTCGAACCATATATCGCAGTATAATAAAATTCATCACCACTACTAGCTTCCTGTACTACACAGTGTATGAACTGGGAGTTATATTGTAAAACTTGAGTTCTCACTATGCTAGGATTCCATATGGCACATATTCGGACCTTCTCCTGATTAAAATGATTCCGCACATACTCATAACCCTGCCAGTATTTACTTATCATATCCTCTATTTTATCAACAGTCAACTTCGTCTCTACTATATTAATCATACTAATGTGATGCAAATTACACAGTCGTCGTACCTCTAATTTTTTTACGGGGCTGTTTAGTCCCCTGACATTCCAATGTAAAATATTAAACATTAATACCTGGGTCAGGGGGGGTCAACCAGCCTAGCCTCTCCACCTTTTCCTTCCTGACACAAGTTAGCAATGTCACCCTCACCAGCCAGAGTTTGATAGTCTTCATCATCCTTGTTCACCAGGGCATTGAATATATTTGGCGTTTTAATCCTTTCCTCCTCTCTTGGCTTCTGTTGTATCCCCAGAGTGTTATTTGTCTGCTGCAGTTCCATAAGTTTTTCACTGGTATTCTTCACTGCCTCAGGACCCTTGTTTCCCCGAACCTGTTTCCATTCAGTACTGATGGTCTGCTTTTTCTGAACAGCCATTTTAATCTTCTCCTTTTCCACAATCTCAGTAACTTTCCTCCTATAATCTTCCTCACCATGGCCAAAGTTCTTACAATGCTTATATTGAGATGGTCTCCTCTCGTATTATACTGGCTGTTCTATAACTTTCCCAACTTCATCGACAAACAGTGCCACCAGAGGGGGGTTGTCCTGAATTTCCACATCTACCAATACTCGAGCAAAGTTAACTCGATCCTTCGCAACAGTCAAGGTATCAGCAGCTATTGGCTTGCCTAAAGTACTAGTTATTCTTCCCAATGTTGCCAGATTCAGTTCTAAATCGTGGGATTGAATCCACACCGGCACATGGGTTATATCCCTATAATTCACCCCTTCCTCAACTTTTCAAGGCTTAACAATAACAGGATTTGAACCAAAATACTAAAATGGAACAGATAAAACTTCCTCCGCTGCTTCTATAGTATGAAATCTAACTAGAAATAATCCATTAGGCATAAGTAATACCTTATCAACTCCAAAGGACTTCCATATGCGTCGGTAGTAGCTGTCAATTACTTTATATCGCGGATTTGCTCCCAACACAAAGCTAATGACCGAAGACTTCCAGTATCCCGTTTCCGGTGAGATATCCCTTCTGCTGTACCAGAGCTACCTTCTATCCATCTTGTTCTTCCGACGGAGTATAATCCAGAGACATTCCAACATTCCTTAATTTCTTGACATCAATCATATCCCACACAGAGGTTTGCTTCGTCTCCCCACATTTCTCCTCAGACCAGACAAGTTTACGAGCAGTACTCCCACCCAAGACACCACTACGCACTTGTGTTTGCTTCTCCGTAATGCCATCATCCCCTAATTCATTCAGATTATTCAATTTGTTTAGACTCCCAGGAACCCTAGAAGTGCTCGCTCTTTTCCCCAAATCCTCATCTATCTCACTTTCTTACAGATTTCTTTTGTGAAATGCTAATCGAACAATATTTTATTGGTTTCCCTCTCCCTAAAGCTACTTTCTTACCCTTCGCTTTCACCTTCGCCATGGCATGCGTAGGTTAGCGCTTTCGCGTGAACTGACGCTGAGAGCGTGAAAGAGGCTAGTGTAGGTCATTTGTAATTGATCACTTCCACCGCCTCTTAGGTGAATGACGAGTCCAAATTAGTACGACCCGCTACTAAGCCGGCCCAAGTTCGGTGAAAGGTTCAACCGGCCTCTGAAATCTTCTAGGTCGGTTCTTAATTACTTTTTTACCAAGAAAAGGTTAGGGATCAACCCTTCACGGTTAAAGGTACGGTCTATGCACCCAACTATATACATCTTCTACGAATACTTTTACTGACTTAAGCATCGGAGTGTCTACACTCGGGAGACCCTGAGGCCCTCTTTTGCAAGTTTTAGGGTTTCGATACCGCCATGGCCGCCGGTTGATTGAAACAGAGACGTCCATACAATTACATCCTTCATCAAGTGGCACGCCCAGTGGACCCAACTAAGGTTTCCCTTCAACACAAATTCTTCGCGCCCGTGATTTCTTCATGCGGCTATGGTGATAAGCATGATAAATGGACGAAATCGCGTTCATAAGCTTTGAAAAACTCAAAGTATCCAGGTTCTATATATTCCATTAATGTTGATCATGATAATATTGAATATATGCCTAGTCTAGTCATGGCTTTCATTAAAACTTTGATGACTCGGTAGCAAGCTTAATTAAAACAAAAGGACCCGTGTGCATGGAAACACGTTCACAAACCCTTTGGTTAAGGTTGCCTTTGTTTTTAATTTTTTAAGGGTGAATAGCCATTGATTAAGTTATCTTGAGAAGCAAAATCCAATTTGTTCATGATTCGACACCTTAAAAGTTTAAAAAGTTTGCTCAATTGTGGTTAAATCACTCTGATCCTTCAAATAATATTGTGCTTTTAAGCAGTTTCTCATAACTTGCACGTCTAACATGAGTTGGTACTGTATGCACAATGAGCATTCCTTATGCTCACAGAATCGGCAATTAGTACAACCATATATAGCGGAGCTTATAATAGGCCTTTATCATCGAGTCTTTGCATCTCGATTCTGCGTTCTTGATTAGTAATACTTTTATCAAATTATAATATGCCTACATGCTTCAGTGAGTGGCTGCCTTCAGGTTTCCATTAAAATTTGAGTCAAGCCAATAATTTCGATCATGCATCAGACTTAACAATTTTTGTAGCCTCGGGTAGTGCCATACGTTCAAGTTTGGCCAAGTCAATATCCAGGTTCTATCACTTTAGTTAAACATGGATCATGATTGGTTGCATAAATTAAAGCATGCATATAATTTCATCTGGATCATGGTGTTAACCGACTTAGGACATGTATAAATAGGCTAGTGTAGGTCATTTGTAAGCTAAGCCAAAACTAAGTAAGTGCTCTATGCCTTAGTCTCCTATTTGTAAAGTTTGGTTTCACTATATAATATAATACTTTGGTGTGTTTATTTGTGAAGTGTTTTAGTTGCTTCCCGCTTCATTATTATTTGTGTTATTATTTGTTGATCCTGAGCGTGTATCAGATAGCCCTGATACCCAACAAATCCTACTCAGTTCAGTTTCAGCTCTAGCTTTCCAAGTTCCTCTCTGTTGGGTTTTTATATTCAAGTTGAAGTGGGAATTGCTGGAGCAGCTTCTTCAATTAGCATATCTTATTGGCTGTATGCCATCTTTCTTGGTCTATATGTGAAATGCTCCCCTGCCTGTAATGAGACCCGTGTCTCTACTGGCGCCTTGAATACTTTCAGGGAATTCTTCCGTTTTGCTATCCCTTCTGCAGTAATGATCTGGTAATCTATCGTTTTAGTGTATAATCCTTCTTCTTAGTAGCATTTTCTGGATAAAAAAAATTATTGTTGGTTTTCTAACAACTGTGTTGCAGCCTGGAATGGTGGGCATTTAATTTGAACTAGTGATATTGGTCTCCGGCCTGTTCCCTAATCCTAAGCGGGAAACTTCTGTGCTATCTATTTGGTAAGCTTTTTTATCATCTCCATTTTCCTTTTTGTTATCAGAAGATACTCAAGAACTACACTGACTCAGTACTGTCAATTTATTTGGTCCAGCTTCACAATGACTTCAATTCATTTCCACATACCACTTTCTTTCGCCGTTGCTGTGAGGTTTGATCGTCCTTCGAATTCATTTTGCACTATATTCATCATACAAACAATACTTCTCAGAAAGACAAACCTTTTCTTGTGATCTGTCAGCACTCGGGTTTCTAATGAACTTGGAGCAGGGAATCCAAAGGCTGCAAAACTAGCTGTTTCCTTGGTACTAATGGAAGCCATAACAGAGTTTGTTCTGGCAAGCCTGACATTGTTCCTGTTCCGTTCTAGACTTGGGCATGCCTTCAGTGACGATAAACAAGTTGTTCACTATATTAAGAAGATGCCTCCACTCCTATGCATTTCCATAATCATGGATGGCACCCAAAACGTCTTATCAGGTTAAATAACCCACCAAAGAATACTACAGTTCTGACTTCTGAGAAAAAAAAAAAAAAAAAAAAAGCCAACTTCAGTTTATTGCCTCTTTCTGACTTGTATGATTGATAATTGACTCAGGGGTTTCTACTTTCTAGAGGGGCTGGATGGCAGCGGTTAGGTGCGTATGTTAATCTTGGGGTTTATTATCTGGTGGGAATTCCAGTGTCATTAGTACTGGGATTCGCGTTGCGTTTACGAGGAAGGGGATTATGGGGTGGGCTGATTTCAGGAGCTGTAGTGCAAACCATTGTCTTCTTAACAATCACTGCTTTAACAAACTGGCAGAAAAAGGTTAGTTTTATTTACCTTTTTTTCAAATTTGATACTCCAAACATACAACTCATGGCTTGACCCCCTGAAATTAATAAATATTGCAGGCAACTGAAGCAAGAAAGATAATTTTTGAAAGGGAAGAAAAATCTGACTCATGATTAATTATGAGCGATTGAGTTTAGGCCACCATTGGAGGTTACTAAAGAAAATAGACTCCCAACAAGGAAATAACATGTGTTTGGAAATCAGTCAAAACTAAGATTTAAATCCTCGCGTTTCCTTTGAGATAACTTTGGAAGAATGCCCTTACACTTAATTGTATCGTATTGCATTGACCTCCAGAAACCAAGTCAAAATTCTAAGAATAAAAAATTGGCAGATTACTCCATTTACTCCAGGTTTCAAGTGTGAATGAAATGTTCTCAAATCAATTACAAGGGGCCTTAACATGCATCTGGTGAGTTGTAGCATGGGAAGCAGCGAGCCCCATACCAAAGTCAAAAAAAGAAGAGAAAATAATTGGGGAGGAAAGTCTACTTGGAAAACGTATACAATATATACACATTACTATATACAGGATAAGATTTGCGAAGAAGAATTATATATTACAAAAAAAAAGACTTTTGCTGCCTCTCCCCATTCAATCTATATTGACAATATTAAGAGTGTTAAAGAAGTTCAGAAACAATCAAAGAGATACAAGAATTTGGCATTTTAACCCTATTGGTTCTTCTAAGGAAAGACAACGATGGAAGAGCCTCTGCTGTCCCGAAACAATCAAGAGAACAATGGCGACATAACTTCATCATGCAAGCCTAATGTGGATGTTGAAGAAGAACCCAAGAGGGTCAACCGCAAAGCTACTCCGATTCCCATGATAGCTGCAACAGTGTTAATGTACACTTTGCGAGCTTCACCAATCTTGATGTTGGGGCGTCTCGGCGAACCCCAACGCTCGGGCACCTCAACCGCCGTTTCTTTTTCCAATGTTACTGGCTTCGGTGTCCTTGTAAGATCCCTTTGACGAACCTTAAAAAATTCTTTATGTATTATTTTTCATCAAATCTATCTAGCTAGGAGCTAGCCATTCATTTAGTTTTTGAGGTGGCATCTAAATTTTCTGAAATAAACTGGTTGTAGTAGCTGGTAGTTTTACTATATAATATTGGATGAATTAATCAACCTCGCAGACCGGGATGTCAAGTGCATTGGAGACTTTATGCGCACAAGCTTTCAGAGCAAAAGAGTATCAAAGAGTTGGAGCTTATGCTTATGGGGCGATCCCATGTCTTGTCATTGTTTGTATACCAATAGTACTTCTGTGGATCTTCACAGACAAGCTACTAATCTTCATTGGACAAGATCCTGCAACTGCAACACAGGCTGGAGAATATTTGATCTGGCTTATACCAGCCCTGTTACCTTATGCTGTTCTTCAATGCCTTGTTCGTTTCCTCGAAGCTCAGAGTTTGATCCTTCCAATTCTTCTGAGTACTATTGCAGCTCTAGCCATCCAAGTGCCTCTTTGTTGGGTTTTTATATCCAAGTTGAATATGGGAAATGCTGCTGGAGGTTTGTCTATCAGTTTATCTTATTGGATCAATGTGATCTTCCTTGCTCTGTATGCGAAATACTCTTCAACCTGTAAAGAAACCCGTGTTTCAAATGGTGCCTTGAATACCATCGGGGAAATCTTTCGTCGTGCTTTCCCTTCAGCAGCGTTGATCTGGTAAATCTAATATATTTGGGGGATCCATTTCTTCAGTTTACTCCAAATTAAAAGGGGTTTTTTTTTTTTTAATTTGTCACGTTTTCCTTCGTCTTAAAATATCTAATATTGCAGCATGGAATGGTGGGCATTTGAAATAGGGACATTGCAGTCTTGCCTGTGGCCAAATCCTAATCCACAAACTTGTTCGCTATCTTTTTGGTACATTAAAGATTATTACTCTCACCATTTTCCTTATTTTATTATCATTTGAAGAAGCTCATAACTGCACTGACTCACTATTTTCCTCGGAATGGGAATGGTTCCAGTGGCTGCGGTGCAATCGCTTTTCTTCTGTTCTATTTCAGCAGGTCTAACTCTAACCAACCGGCGGCAAAACCAGGTTTGGTTTTTCTCCCCTTAAAATTGGTAAACTTTCCAATTTGATGGCATTCTGGGTTCAATGGATAGTAGTAATAGAAATAGGCCAATATTGTTGACGGATTTTGTCACTGTAATTTATAGAAGTGCAGGCAATTGAAGCAAGAAGTGAAGAGAACTTTGAAGCGGAGGAAGGAAGGAACAAGCGCATCATTAAGAGTTGAGAAGCAACTTCATATTGCGTTTTGAGAAACAACACTACGCTTCGGAGGTCATTCTAGGGGGAATTACTGAAGCAAAGGGACTTCCACGTTCCAACAGAATTAGCTACAACTGATGGCTGTTTTGAAGTTCCTTCCTTTCCTCTATCCATGAAAATGTCAAATCGTTTGGTTGTGGAATTTGGGTTTTGTGATTTTATAAGCTGGTTTAGAATTTCTCCTGCACACTTTCTGCAAGAAATATTGGAGAGAAACAAGTTTAGTGAAGTTTGAGGGCGTATCATTATAGTTTTTTTGCTGGAAAAAAAAAACAGTTTCTATTAGTACTATCACTTAACATTGCAATTTCAACTCTTCTGACAGATATTCTTGAAAGCCCATATAAACTCACGTGTGATTTCAAATCAAAACTAATTGGTAATGAGGGAGTACTACATGAAACTTATATGTTGGCCCATACTAATTCTAATGTGGAAGAAGTTATTTTCACTTGTTTTTGTTCAAAAGGGAATTTTAACAAATTTAACTGGCTAATTAAAAACTTTGTAATCATTTCCTTTCACTCGACAACAATTAGCTTTTAAATGAGAACAAAATCCAGTCCACTGAGATCTTCGTTGGCTAATTGATATGCAGTGACAACGTTGCAAATCTGAAAACAAGAGTCAAGAGATTAAGATACGATACATGAATATAAATCACCGATTATGTGGTGTTTCAGCCACTATCTAACACCATTAAGTGGATCAAGAAGACGTGAAAAACATCCAGGGTTCCATGATGCATTGGCTATCAAATAACCTCCCAATAAAATTTGATTCCGATAACACGTGCTTCAAACAAAAGATGATGTATTGTAAATACGGGATGCATGGCCTAATAGCTAACAACCTTCCTTGAACTTCATAGAAAGACAACATTACAAGGTTTAAGATTCTTTCATTTTCCTTGGATTCCTTTTAAGCTGTACCTGATGTCGGCTACAACTTCCGTCCAAATACAACATTTTTTTTAAAAAAAAAAATCTCGTTGGCTGTTCCTTTTTGTTTTGTATTTTGTCTCGAATGGTATTGTTTATTTTGAGAACAATAACATGGTACAGGGAGAGTTTGATTTTCATTTCTTTCAGTTCATAGGGACTTCGCACTCAAGAATATTGCTTCTAACTCCAGGCAGGAAGGAAATAATCCATGGAAGAGGCAGCTGCGATTCCACAAAACAATAGAGAAACAGGAGAAGTAGTTTCATGCAAAAATTACATGGAAGAATTCAAGAAGGTCAACGCCATTGCAATGCCCATGATCGCTGCAACAGTGGCACAGTATCTACTGCGAGTTTCACCCATATTTATGGTTGGACATCTTGGTCAACTCCAACTTTCCAGCGTCTCAATCGCAACTTCCTTTTCCAATGTTTCTGGCTTCAGTGTTCTTGTAAGAACCCCTTAACACATCCCCTGGCTCCGACTCCCAGTTTATCTGCATTTCTTCAGTTGGTATGACTAAACAATTGGATGATTACTTTGATCTAAAATTTTGCAGTTTGGGATGTCCACTGCATTGGAGACCTTGTGCGGACAGGCTTTTGGAGCAAGACAATATCATAGACTTGGAGCTTATACTTACGGCGCGATCATATGTCTCTTCATTGTTTGTTTACCAATCATCCTTCTGTGGGTTTTTACAGACAAGTTACTTATACTCACTGGACAAGACCCTACCATTGCGACTGAGGCTCGCAAATATTTGATTTGGCTGATACCAACTCTATTCCCTTACGCCATTCTTCAATCTTTGGTTCGTTTCCTGCAAACTCAGAGTTTAATCACCCCAATCCTTCTCAGTTCAGTTGCAGCTTTAGCCTTCCAAGTTCCTCTCTGTTGGATTCTGATATTCAAGTTGAAGTTGGGAATTGCTGGAGCAGCTTCTTCAATTAGCATATCTTATTGGCTGTATGCGATCTTTCTTGGTCTATATGTGAAATGCTCCCCTGCCTGTAAGGAGACCCGTGTCTCTACTGGCGCCTTGAATACTTTCAGGGAATTCTTCCGTTTTGCTATCCCATCTGTAGTAATGCTCTGGTAATGTAATGATCTCAATAAATTCCTTCTTCTTAGCAGTATTTTCCGCATTCCAAGTTGCAAGTGATTGTTGTTGTTAACCTCTTTGTTGCAGCCTGGAATGGTGGGCATTTGAACTAGTGATATTGCTATCCGGCCTGTCGCCGAATCCCAAGCTAGAAGCTTCTGTGCTTTCTATATGGTAACTCATTATCAGCTCCATCTTCCTTTATTTTAATGATTGGAGAAAACTCAAGAACTACACACTGATTCGGTACTGTTGTATATTTCGATTGATCAGCTACACAATGACTACAATTCACGGTCACATACCATACTCTTTTGCGGTCGCTGTAAGGTTTGATGATAACCCGAATCATGTCATTAACACCACAGTACTACTATTGGTAGTATTTAACTCGATCATAAATTCTAAAATTTCTCTGAAAGACACCCTTTTTTGACTATCTTTTTAGCACTCGGGTTGCAAATGAATTGGGAGCTGGTAATCCGCGGGCGGCTAAAGTTGCTGTTTCCATGGTACTAATGGAATCCGTAACAGAGTTTGTTGTGGCAAGCATTGTTTTATTTCTGTGCCGTTCTAGACTTGGACATGCCTTCAGCGATGAGAAACAAGTAATCCACTATGTCAAGAAGATGACTCCTCTCCTGTGCCTTTCCATACTGATGGATGGCACACAAGTTGTCTTATCAGGTTGAATATTTCCTACAAAAGTTACAACTTTATTGGGAATGAATCGATAATTAATATCCATTCGGTATGAAAATTGTTAAATTGGATCGAAACTCAAAACGGAAAATGGCCAAGAGCCATGTTCAGTTTTAACTAGTATGATATTGTTCAGGGGTTGCTAGAGGAAGTGGATGGCAGCGTTTAGGAGCTTATGTGAATCTTGGGTCGTATTATCTGGTGGGAATTCCAGTTGCATTAGTTCTGGGATTTGCGTTGCATTTACGAGGAATTGGGCTCTGGGGAGGACTGGTTTCAGGAACTGTTGTACAAGCCATTATCTTCTTAATTATCACTGCTCTGACAAATTGGGAAAAACAGGTCAGTTTCTTTGTTTCTTCTTTTTTCTTTTGGTACCCTTTACCAAAATTGATACCCAGAAAATGGAGATAGATCAGAACACAGCTAGTGGCTTGACCCCTGCAATTAACAAGTGTTTACAGGCCACGGAAGCAAGAAAGAGGATATTTGAAAGGGAAGAAGAGAAGGAAATGAGGAAATGAGGTCATTGTTGCAGAGTTTGTTGAAGAGAAGGAACACCAGACAAGGAAGAGCTAAAATGATGGCTCGCCGCTTTTCTATGTCTATAACTCTGTATTAACATTTAATGTGAGACACTTGTGCTAATGGTTGAGAAGAATAGGCTAAAAGGATTGTAACCCCGATTTATTTACAGCATCCATGATATCAGTCACCCTGATCGAAATTCCAGCGCTTTCTTTAATCTTGCAGCGCCAAGGATATAAAATACACATACAGAAAAGACTGCCTTTGCACATTGAACTGATCTAGGTTAACAGTTAAAAGTGTGAAAGGTTCTGATACCATCAATCAGATACAAGAAGTTGATTTTCACTTGATTGGTCTTTAAAGAAGAAAGGAAACTACGGGAAGAGCCTCTGCTGACACCAAAAAAAAAAATAAAAAAATCAAGAGGCCAATGCATAACGTCACGCAAGCCAAATGCGGAAGAGCTGAAGAAGGTGAGACTAACCTATGACAGTTGCAATAGTGCTGTACCTTTTTGCGAGTTCTACAAATCTTTCAACAGTGATGATCTACCACTCAAACTTGATTTGTGAAAAGAAAGTTGTTCATGAGCAGGTGAATACATGCATTCTACTACTCAACTTGATAGAAGGGAACAACCGAACAAGGCCAAAAATCGCAGGATTTTGTTCCATTTTCACTGAGCTGCATGCTGACATCTTGAGCTCTATTCAACATCCGCCTTTAGCTTGCATCCGTAGTGTGCATGGAGTCTCTTCCTACATGTTGGCTTTCATCTCCCATCTCTCCTTGGTATCAAGTCTACAGTCACCCAAAACAAAGAAGAGAAAAAACCAAAAAAAGAACATGAGATTGACTGAACTGGGTAAGATAAGAAACTTATGAACAAGAATTCGAAAACTGGCAAGTTTGAAAGATAAGGTACCCCCAGTGTAGCTTCATTCGCTTCGGAGTCGAAGCAGGAGGTATTGATGGACTTTCTCCCTTGAGAGAAGAGCAACTGCCAGAAACGCTTGAGTTGTCCGGATCGGATGAAGTTGCTAATCTTCCCACATTAACAGATTTCTCATTGGACTTTCCATTTCCTTTCAACCCCCCAAATCATGCACAAGACAACAGAAACTTTCAACTCATATCACCAAGTTGATGATACAAACACACACACACACACACACACAAACGAAAACAGCAAAGACACATACCCTTGACTTTCTTTTTAGTTTGTGATTTCGATTTTATCTGTAACCGCCTCCGATGAAGTTCCTGTTTTCCAAGATTAAGAAACAACAATTAAATCACAGGTCCGATGCAAGATCGAGCATGGGAGCAAAAACTCTTATCCATCAACATCGGGTATATATTTACTTTCGGGCGGAAAAAAAATCCGAGGGATTAAGCAACGGATCGACATCAACAGAAGAAACATATCGGATCATTCGTAAATAAAATGAAAAATTGCGGTGGCAAAGAGTAATGATGGAAAAATTAGGGCAGATGAAAGAAAACCAACACAGCGCTGACCCGTAACTTGGAGAGGTGGGCGGAGGTAATTTGTTTCGATTTGGGCACAAAATTGGGCTGCAGACACTCTGACGCAGCTATGGCTGCTTCTCTCCTTGCGTCGTCTCCTTCTTCCATCAATTTCGCTTCTCTCTTGTTCTCTTGTTTCAGGACCCGATATTCCGACCCGTTCGGCATAGTCAGACTCCGTCCCAAATCATTCGATTTCGATGGGTGTAAAGAAGGCGTGACTAAGGAAAAAATCTCGCGCGCCTTTAGCTACACTTGTTATTTTAGATAAAGGAAACCTTGGTTAACTTTGTTGAAAATTGAGAAAGGATTACTAATGTATATACGATAGATTAGAATTTTAGATGTAAGAATCAACTGATCATCTTCACTGCAGACGACTAAATCACAAACTATTTTGTAATATATCCGTAAATACTTGTTGAAAGTATCACATATCAAATAATATTTCTGATCTAGAATACTTCACTCATCGTCATATAAATGCCAATATACTTAGAGCCTCTTTGATAACACTCATTATTACTTAAAATCATTCCATTAAGCACTTTTTGTTTCAGTATATTTGATAATAAAAACTGAACCTCTTAATAAATTAAATGATTCTGAAACTGTAATACAAAATATAAACAATAAATATTAGCTTATTGCTTATTACTTAATTACTTAGTGAATTCAGCATTTCTAATTCAATATTCAGTATTCAGATTAAGCATTTATTTTTATCAAACAGGACTTCCAATCCTCAAACATAATCCTTTTATACACCTAATAATGAAGAAATCCCCGCAAATTGCAAATTATGATCCCGTTCCATTCCAAATTAATTTCCTTGCTATCCATGTTTTTGCAGCTCAAATTGAGATTTGTAAATTTGTATTTTTTCAGGTATTTATTATAAGGCATTTTAATTTGTCTTAAATAGTATGTCTTTTTAATTGAAAATAATGTCTTAAAAATATATTTTCAGATTTATTGTGTTTTGCTAAATATTATAAAATATATTTAAAATTTTATTTTCAATTAGAAGAATATATGGAATAAAATTTAATGTGAAAACTCAATATTAGCTATTTTAGTTTGGACAAATTTTCTTTTTCTTTTTCTCAAAATTAGGATGGTAAGTTTGGGAAAATTCCACATCGCATTCCTAACATCGTAATAATCCTGTTTTGTAGCATTGTTTTAGTTTTCCATCAAATTTAATCTAGATTATATTAGCGTTTTCCATCAACAAAGTGAATAAAAATTCTTAAGGGACAGATATTTTTGGCCCAAGAACACCTTTGCAATGTGGGGAGCTTTGTTGTATTTCGGCCTTTGGGTGATGACCACCACGGTTGTCGTTTTGTTGCACGGGACTACGTGATTCCTGTTTTTTTTTTTTTTTAATATAGAAGACATTCTTAAAAAATCAACAAAGCACCACTTGTTCAAACAAAAAAAAAAAGCACTACACCGTTCAAATTTTTGCAGCAAACCATTCTGTGTCACCGCTAATTTGAGCCACGTATCTGATACAGATTAAAAATATCCTTAGCCACCCATCTGTTCACTGTTTCACAATTAATTGGCCTTTTTTTTAAAATTCATATCTTTTAGGAAGATGAAAAATAGATGGGTTTTAATATCAAAAATACTCCTGAGGTTTAAACGATTAATTCAACTATCCTGTTTAAGAAAATATCATGAATATTTTAAATTTTTAAGTCAATTATTGATAAGTGTTGAAGTATTTATCCCACATTGGTGTCTGGAGACACTTTGTATCAGTATATAACCACCATGGGGTTTAAGTCAATTATTGATAAGTGTTGAAGTATTTATCCCACATTGGTGTCTAGAGACACTTTGTATCAGTATATAAGCACCATGGGCTACTTCCCTCATTGTCAATTGATTTTGAGGTAGAACCCCATAAACTTCTATATAGTATCAGAGCGGGCTCGGCCTGTGGTAATTTTAAGCCCACGATATTATTCTGTGGCCCAATTTAAGTCCGCGACGTTATTCCACGACCCGTGATGTTATTCCATGGTTTATTTCCTGATCCTGGTGATTTACATTGGTGTCTGGAGACACTTTGTATCAGTATATAAGCACCATGGGCTACTCCCCTCATTGCCAATTGGTTTTGAGGTGGAACCCCATGGGCTTCTATATGGTATCAGAGCCAGTCCGCCAAGAGTCGGACTCTAAAGCCTGATGTGATAGAACTAGTAGGGCTGAGACGTGAGGCGGTGACTGGGCTGACAAACCCAACCCAATAAGAGACGTTGGGCTTGCGGGGGAGTGTTGAGTATCCCACATCGGTGGTGGGAGAGACTTGATATCAATATATAAGTGTATGGGCTACTCGCCTCATTGTCAATTGGTTTTGAGATGGGAGCCCAAGGTGACTTTGACATGGTATCAGAGACAACGATCTGTGGACCTGTGATAATTATGGACCCGTGTGTGCGGGCTTGTGGACTGACCCGGCAGTATATCCGGAGTATGTGCCCGTGTGTACGGGCTTGTTGACTGATCCAGCAGTATATCTGGTGAATTATGTTGTGTTGTGCAACCCCAATTGGGCTTGAGGGAGGGTGTTGGGACAAAAGAATCTCACATTGGTGTCGTGATGGATCTGTCACCTGTTTATATGTGTCAGAGGCGACCCCACTCATTGTCAATTGGTTTTGAGGTGCAACCTCATGGGCTTTTACATGGTATCAGAGCGGGCTCGGCTTGTGGTGATTTTAAGCTTATGATGTTATTCAGTGGCCCAATTTAACTCTGCGACGTTATTTTGCGGCCCGTGATGTTATTCCACGGTTTATTTCTTGATCTTGGTGATTTAGTCCAAGCCCGTTGGGCTTGAGGGGGAGTGTTGAAGTATTTATCCCACGTTGGTGTCTGGAGACACTTTGTATCAGTATATAAGCACCATGGGCTACTCCCCTTATTGCCAATTGGTTTTGAGGTGGAACCCCATGAGCTTCTATAATAAGGTCTTCCAATGACTGGAAATCGATATTTCCACATGAACCCAAAAAAAAAAAAAAATGCCAAACGTCTTTTGAAAACTTTTATTATTGGAGTTTAAAAAAAAAATAAAGATATTTATATACTTTACAAACGTCTTTCGACATTTTTTTACTGGATTTATATGCATACATTATTTTTTCGCATAACTCTTTTGATAATTGACTTCGATTAGAGGATATTTTTATAGTTTTCTTAGACAGTAAAAAGTAAATTAAACTTTGGGTTTTTTTTTTATTAACCCAAAATAGGACGTTATTATGATGTTTGTATTCCTGCATGTTCCCCATACGCCATTGTCATCATTTTCCGCCCAGGTTGATCCGCATTCTAAGGATCAGATCATAAGACGTATATTCCTTTTAAATATTTTGACTGTTTTAATTTAATATCTATCTTTCTGTTTCAAAATACTAAGGTCTTGGTTGGCCAACATCTCATTTTGTACTTTATTTCACTTTATTTCTTAAAACATTTTACAATTCCCAAACACAAAACTCAATATTATCCAAATAACTTTTTAATTTATCTTTTAATATTTATTTCAAATATTATTTTTACACAATTTTTATCCACAACCACCGGACCATTTTCGCCGTCATCGGGACGTCCACCGCTGGCCGGAATCCGGGTGATCGGCGGTAGTCGGATGGCGGCGGTGGAGGTGGTCAGTGATAGTGTAAAAATATTATTATTTTATTTAAAATATTATCTATACAACTTTTTAAATTTCATCTCAAACCACATTTTAAATTATATCTCAAACTCAAACCGAAAACTAAAATAAACTATTATCCATACAAGACCTAATTGTCAAATTTGAATTTTCAAACAATTACTTTAAATCTGACGTAATTAGACGTGGTGCAAAATTAGATCTTCAATATCTTTGTATTTTAATGGTTCATCTTATAATTAGATTAATTGTTTTCTATTTAATTAGTGAAGTTAGTTAGATCTAGAATCGTTCATAGAATAGAGTATGTTATTCTTTTTTCATGACTAGATTTAGTTGTTCTTAATACATCTCTTGTACATTTTGGGAAAAAAATAATTATTTTGAGACGTAAAGATACAGTATTTTATGAAAGTAAATAATACAAGTAGCTAATAATAAAATAAGACATGCGCGCTTTGCATGATAAGTAAGACCGTAGAACTTCAGTCGACGACTCCATGATGTGGACGGTGGACAAATTGCTAAATGCAAATTTTATACTTTGATCAATTAGGCCCGGAAAGTCGTACTCCAGAATCATCCTAGATATGTTCAAACTTCCACCAACTTTGAAGTAACAGACAAATGATTACCAGACGACCGATCCGAAATCGAATGATCTTTCTTCTTTCACTCTGCTCCTTTTGGACAGCCTAGCAAGATCCCAGCATTAAAGTCTTAAAACAAATTAAAATAAAACTACATGGTCATTAAATATAGGTAGATTATACCATACTATATCACACACTTGGGTTATTGTTTCTTCCCGTTGACATTTCGCTGGAACTGGAAGTCAGATTTCGGAGATGGAAGTACCTCTTCTAACCGAAGAGAAACTTCACCGGAAAAGGGTACTTGTCGTCTTAACATGGGATTTGTTTGTAACCGAATTGAAGCGGGTCAGCTACATCGCCGTGCCCATGGTGGTGGTCACCGTGTCCCAGCACCTCGTCCGGGTTGTCTCCATGATGATGGTGGGCCATCTTAGTGAGCTTCAACTTTCCGGCACTTCAATCGCTACTTCCATCACCAATGTCACCGGCTTCAGTCTCCTTGTAATGTATTCTTTTGTTATCTCTTATCTTCATTTAGATTACTTTTTGTTAGTATTATTGCCTATTTGCATCCCAAAGGTTTCAGATTAAGATTGTGTCTGAATCAGTGGCGTGTTCTCTCGAGCAGTTTGGAATGGCTAGTGCTCTGGAAACTCTTTGTGGCCAAGCTTATGGAGCAGAGCTTTACCATAAACTCGGAATCTATACATATGGAGCCATCATATCTCTGATATTGGCCTGTTTACCGATATCCATATTGTGGATCTTTATGGACAAACTTTTAGTATTGATGGGTCAAGACCATTCCATTTCTGCTGAAGCTGGAAAATATGCGATTTGGCTGATTCCTACTCTGTTTCCATATGCTATTCTTCAAGCCCTGATGCGCTACTTGCAGACTCAGAGCTTGATCACCCCAATGTTATATAGTTCAGTTGCAGCTCTATTGTTCCATGTGCCTGTTTGTTGGGCTTTAGTGTTTTACTTCAAATTGGGAAATGCTGGAGCTGCTTTGGCGATTGGATTGTCATATTGGTTGAACGTAGTAATACTATTCGTATATGTGAAGTATGCAGCTGCCTTCGAGAAAACCCGACTCAGTTTCTCAAAAGACAGTATGTCAAGTATTGGGGAGTTCTTTAAACTCGCAGTTCCTTCTTCTGTCATGGTCTGGTAACTTTCTGGCATTCTGCTCTTGAATCTTTGGTGTCAAGAAAAAAGAACAATTGTAATCAGAGTATCTTCAGTAGTTTCGCGTTCAATTTGACTTATTATTGTTCAAAATGACTAGTGCAGTGTTGAATGGTGGACTTATGAAATTGTGGTCTTACTTTCTGGACTTTTGCCTAATCCCCAACTTGAGACTTCAGTGCTATCCATATGGTATATTGTTTCGTTTTCACTTTCGGTTGGCTTTATACTTATAAAGTTCTCATGTTTATTGCCCAAACTCATTGTTAAATTTCCTTGGAACCCACAGCCTCCTGATTGCTTCGTTGCATTACTTTGTTCCATTTTCAGTGGGTGCTGCTGCAAGGTTTGCTCTTTGTTTTCTCATCTTATGAATTTTACAAACTCTATTCTTGGTCGGACTAACACGTTGACAGCACTCGAGTCTCGAATGAACTAGGAGCCGGGAATCCAGAAGCGGCTAAATTAGCAGTCTGGGCTGTTATAGGAATATCAATGGCAGAAGTGATCATCGCATCTGGTGTTCTTTTCGGCTGCCGAAATATTCTGGGGTATGCATTCAGTAACGAGAAAGAAGTCGTGGGCTATCTCAAAAATGTGTCTCCACTGGTTTGTCTAGTGCTTGTAATGGATGGCATACAAGCAGTGCTCTCTGGTATTTATGTCTCCCCCTTTCTTCTTCATTTTCCAAAGTTTAACTCTTAAGTTTTTGCACTGGCCGTGAACCATAAGAGGCCTTTTTCATGTTAAAGAAACAATCTTTGAGCGTTAATTAGGAACAACCAAATTGATATAGATTCATTGTTGATGCAGGAGTTGCAAGAGGAAGTGGATGGCAGCATATAGGAGCATATGTGAACATTGGGGCGTTTTATTTGGTCGGGATCCCGGTGGCCTTAGTATTGGGTTTCGTTCTGCACTTGGGAGGGACAGGGCTCTGGATTGGGCTAAATGCAGGATCAGTTACGCAGTCACTTCTTCTTGGTCTAATTACCAGTTTCACTAATTGGGAAAAACAGGTAATCAAACAGCTTCCCGTTGCAACAAATCTTTACTCGTTTAATAGATTGCATAGATCATGGTTACGACTCAGCCTAAACTCTCTCCGTGGGTTGAAAATGCAGGCCATTACTGCACGTGGAAGGGTATTTGATTCAGCAAGTCTCCCACCCCCAGATGGTGAATTTTCAAAATCAATCCCCTTGCCGGAATCAATGACTCCTCTTTTGAACTCTGTTTGATTAAGTTTCAACCCTTAAAGAGGTAGCTAGCAATTTACTAATTATAAGTATTATGATGATATCCCGGAAGGGTGTCAGGACAGGGACATGTATATCGTCTTCAAACAATTTTGATTTAGCTTTTCATATGTTTCGGACTTCTGGGAAGGACATAGTTTAGTTCTGAATCCGGTGTAGTTTAACTTTTGTTCTGAACGTGAAACCTTATTCTTACTGCGCAATTCAAAATTAATGGTACATAAATGTAGTTGAAAATAGGATGAAGAAAATGATCACTGAGATTCTTTGATGTAGATTTTTTAATTTTCCTGGAGTTATCTTTATCCATACTTGACTAATAAATTACATATTACAATCGAGATATCAACAACTCTGCGAGCGAATCGGTCCATGTTTCTGATAACAGACAACATGCTATATCCAAAGCAAAATATACCTCACGTAGATTAATATCTCTCTTCTTCGTCTTCTTTTTGTCTTTCCCTCTATTAAATTTTTTTTTAAAAGTTATAATTGGACAAAAGACATAAAACAAGTTATCATGAAGATTTAATGAAGACAATGAGGACACACTGATTTATATGTTCGAAGCCCTGACCACGGTTATAGAACCATCGGTTACGGTTCTAAAACTACCGGTTCATAGTTCTAAGATAGATGGAATTATCACCGAATCATGTAAGAGACGGTTTCAAACGGTTACGATTTGAGACGGTTCCAGTTCCGGTTACAACTTTTAGTTATGATTTTGACTTCGGTTATAGTTAGGGTTTTTTTATTCGATTCTAATTATGATTTTGATATTCATTGTATTTTATTAGCTTTATTTCTTTTTTGAAATTTTGTCATGGATGACAGTTGTTTCAACTCGACAAAGACTGAAAACTGATTAATTTAATTTTTTTAACTAATCTTGCTAAGTTTAGGAGAAGAAGTCACATAGTAAAAAATTAGTTAAAGATAATTTTTAGTTTGTTTAATAATTAAGTATAATTATTTTTTTATGGTTTTAACCAGAACCGAACCACCGATTATAATTCTGGTTCTTATAAATGAAGAATCATAACCGAACCAAAAGATTATGGATGGTTATGGTTTTTGAACCATAAATTGCGGTTACGGTTTAAATCGAAACCGACGGTTCGATTCTGATTCGAACCAAAACCTTGGTCGGGTCTTCGATTTTGGTCTATCTTTTTGGGCTATCAAAAAACTATTGAAGATGAAACTTTAATATATATATATATATATATATATATAATTTGATTTTTGTTCGACTTTTATCAATAAGACAAAAAGGTCGATGCAAGCAATTTTTCGAGCAAATAAACATTTTATTAATTTCATAATCATATTGATAACAAATAGACTAATTAATTGCCAAACATTATTTATTATTATTGTTTTTTTTAGTAACGTCGGGAACCCCACAAAGATGGATAAATCCACGCCAACTGCACCAGCCTGCAAACTACAGTGGTAGGTAAACTACTCGAGGTGACAAGTTTGGGTGTGAAATCGGGGTTTATTATTGTTCGTGAATATTATTGTTTTTTAGTGGGTAAACTAACTCTTCATTGGCATTGCCAAATATTACTAAGAAAAAATTGTGAAAATAATACAAAAAAATTGTTTTTGGAATTCGTTGACTTTCTCATCGGCTTCATTCACGAGATAAAGAAAAAAAAATTCGACGCGAATAATTGCTTCAGAAAATAAATATTTTGTGACTCCTACCTCTATAGTACTTAATTAAAGCAGCAAATAAAAAGGATATGTGTCAGCTCTACAATGAAAATTTTCCCGCCAAAAGTCATTTTCAGTACAAAATCATTTTTGACAAGTGACACTCTAACTAATCAGGAAAAAAGATGGAATAGATAAATACATAAATCCCTTAATTATAGCTACATAAAAATCTCTTAATTATAGGTATATACTAATCATTTAAAATAATAATATTTAATTAATAAAATCAAATGTAAGTAAATCCCCTTAAATCAAGTGAAACACAATAATATCTTCCCAATCCCCGATTTTAAAGAATCTCTTCCATTCCGCTCCTCTCGCACACCCGGGACTTTAAATCAATTACTTAAAATCTGATATCAATTATCAATCCATCTCTTTCTACAACAGAGACAAAATAAGCTGTCATGAAAGAAATTTGATTTTTTAAGGATAATTTTTTTTTATTCTTCTGTTGTAGATATTGGTTTATGATTTATGTAAATCCGGGCATAAGTTAACTGTTGTAAATTAAATGTTATAAATATGGGCATAGATTTATGTATAATAACTCATTTTCTGTCCTTTTCAATCGATGTTTTATTTTTTTATTTTTTTTTATTCTTTTAAGAATGATTCGTATTTTTTATTTAATCGATTTAAAAATACAGGCGATATCCCGGGCATTCACACGGGGCAAGCATCTAGTTAGAAATTAATACAAACACTATTGAAACATGGTTGAAATGATAAAAAGGTTGGTGACATTTTAAGTTTCTGAACGGGTACGTGCCCACAACAAGCGACAAATCCTTTATTATACCCTTAATATCTAAAGCAATATTTTTTTTATTTTTTATTTTTATAAATAGCTTTAAGAGAGGCTGATGGATCAGAAAGTTATTGACATTGAACAAATTTGGACCAAAACATAAGTAGAAATCTGGGGACTCTTCACTCTGCTCCTTACAGCCAAGCAATATTAAATCACCATTGATTAAATACAACCACTAATCCAGCTTTAAACAATTCCGTATACAAAACTATCAGCTCGCATGGATTGATCAATCGATCGATCGTATCCTTATAGCTAGACATTTTCTTCTTCGTTCACTGAAGCTGTAAAGTCTGGAACTCTGAGATTCAAAGATGGAAGAAGTACCTCTGCTAACTGAAGAGAAGCTTCAGAGGAAATGGATCGCCCCAAATTGGAATTTGTTTCTCGCAGAACTGAAGCGGGTTAGCTATATCGCGTTACCAATGGTGGTGGTGAATGTGTCGCAACTCTTCTTGCGGCTTGTATCCATGATGATGGTTGGTCATCTTAGTGAACTCGAATTCGCCGGCGCTTCCATCGCCATTTCCGTCACCAATGCTACTGGCTTCAGCGTCCTTGTAATGGGTTCTTGTTCTTCTTTTTTTTTCATCTTATTCTTATCTTGATCTAGTTACTTGTCTTAATTTGTTGCATTTTTTAGAGGACATAACTGATCCATATAAACTAAAATGCATAACTGATTCAGGGGAATTGTTTGTAGTTTGGAATGGCTAGTGCCCTGGAAACTCTGTGTGGCCAAGCTTATGGAGCAGGGCTTTACCATAAACTCGGAATCTATACCTATGGAGCCATCGTATCTCTGGTTTTGGTCTGTTTACCGATATCCATCTTATGGATATTTATGGACAAACTATTAGTAATGGTGGGTCAAGACGAGCTAATTTCCTATGAGGCTGGAAAATTTACCATTTGGCTTATTCCTTCACTGTTTCCTTATGCTATTCTTCAAGCCCAGATTCGCTACTTGCAGACTCAGAGCTTGATTCTCCCAATGTTGCTGAGCTCTGTTGCCGCTTTAGTTTTTCATGTGCCTGTTTGTTGGGGTTTAGCATTTTACTTTAGATTAGGAAATGCTGGAGCTGCTTTAGCGATGGGACTATCTAATTGGTTCAATGTGATACTAATATTCATGTACGCAAAATATGCAGCAGAATTTGAGAAGACCCGTTTAGCTTTCTCGAAAGACGTTTTTTCAAGTATCGGGGAATTCTTTCGATTTGCGGTACCTTCCTCTGTCATGGTCTGGTAAGTGGTAACCTTTTTGACATTGTAATCAAAGAAAAAAAAATGCAACTCTTATAATATGGGCTTGATATATTACTGCTGATGGATCAAATATGATGACTACATCCAGTCTTGAATGGTGGACTTATGAAACTGTAATCTTACTATCTGGACTTCTGCCGAATCCTCAGCGTGAGACTTCGGTGCTATCCATATGGTATGCCTCCTTAACTTTTTTACCCTTTTGCTCGTTTGTTCTGAAGTCCTATAATTTATAGCCCAAATGACCTCATGCTAAGGTTTTTCTTGCAAAACAACAGTCTCCTGATTGCTGCATTTCATTACTATGTACCATTCTCTTTGGGAGCTGCTGCAAGGTCTGCCCTGCCCTTTCTCTACTCTGAATGATTTTATATCCGTGTACAGAGTATTATGACTCTTAAAAAAAAAAATTCAGAACATACACATGATTGCAGCACTCGAGTTTCAAATGAACTTGGAGCCGGGAATCCAGGGGCAGCTAAAATGGTTGTTTGGGCTGTGATTGCAATTTCAATGGCAGAAGCGATCATGGCGTCCGCTGCGGTTTCTGGGTGCCGCAAATTTCTGGGATATGCATTCAGTAACGAGAAAGAAGTGGTGGAATATTTTATGAAAGTGTCTCCATTGGTTTGCCTTGTGCTTATAACGGATGGCATTCAAACTGTGCTCTCTGGTTTGCATTTTTTTCCCACATATCTTCTTCAATTTCATTCATATAAAGCCAACAATCTATTGAGTTCCTTTTCAAAGCAATTTGATACGGCTTCATTTTTTTGGGTAAATCCAGGAGTTGCAAGAGGGTGCGGATGGCAACATTTAGGGGCATATGTGAATCTTGGGGCATTTTATTTGGCCGGAATCCCAGTTTCCACGGTGTTGGGTTTTGTTATCCACTTAAATGGAGTTGGTCTTTGGCTCGGACTAAACGCAGGATCTGCTGTCCAATCTGTTCTTCTTGGTCTCATAACGAGTTTCACTAACTGGAAAAAAGAGGTTCTTTTCTTTTCCATCTTCACTACATGGGGTTTTTTTTTTCTTTTTCTTTTCCATCAGCACTTTACTTGTTGAAAATGCAGGCCATTGCTGCTCGTGGAAGAATGTTTGATGCCTCTAGTTTTCCAGATGTTGAATATTCCAAATCCGCTCATGTGCCGGAGAACCAAGATAGGGGAGAACCTTCATATTCGAACAAAATTCAGGATCTATAGATCATCTTAGTTTAGACCTGAATCCAGCATAGGCATATTGTATAGTTATGTAAACCTCAAATTCACATATATGATCGTGTTGCAGCATTAGTGGGTTGTAAATGCAGGTCATTGCTGCTCGTAGAAGAATGTTCAATACTGCAGATGGTGAATTACAAATGGCACGGACGGTCTTCAGCTTCATACAATTTTGACTTACTCCTTTCCGACCTCATTGATTATGTTTATTGTACTAACGTCTCGCCAAAAAAATAAAATTACTCCATCCGTCCAGAAATGATAAACCAGTTTGGATTTTCATCTTTAGTTTAAATTGTACTGAAAGTGAAAATTCAAACTGGACATTGGACAATAATTTTGGACGAAGGAGTATTAAAGTGTATGTATAACACTATTTAATAATAAAATAAACAGGCAAGGTGGTTCCTTTTAACTTTTGAGATTAAGTCATACTGTTATAACATCTTCTAGACCCCAAGATCGTGAAATTCAAAGATTATATGCTTACTCCGACTATCAAAAATCCACGAAAATGAAATAAATGATCAGAATGATTTATTTCTTAGGGTGCGAGAAACAGTAGAACAAGCATCTCATACAATAGAGACTAAGAAATGTAGTGATAGAACGATACAAGATGTATAAACATGCTCAAAAAGAACGAGTACAAGTACTTTTCTGTGCTTTCTGACTTGCGACACCGTGGTTAACAGTTGAAACTTGAAAACAAACCATTTATTTATTGATTGATTGATGATCATCGAACAAAAGTATATAGATAGCTTTAGTAATATGGGGGAGGCAGAGGAGGTGGTGGAGCAGTGGCCGGTCCAGGAGGTGATGATCGTCTAAAGGGGTCATCATAAAACGATGGCGGCGGTGGACCGGGTGGTCCCGGAGGAGGAGGCCCTGGGCCGTAATTCCGGTACGAAGCTGGAAAAGGCGGCATGGGTGGTCCAGGACCAGGACTACTATTTGGCAGGTATATGTAGTTGGACGGCGGTGGCGCTGGGAATACTCCGGTGGCAGGCGTTGGGGGAGGCGGAGGAGGAGGACTACTATAGTAGTCTTCTTGATATTGATAACGATGTGGGGGAGCAGGAGGCTGTGGTGGCGGTGGCGCAAAAGAGTCGGGCGGTGGTGGCACGGGAGGATTTCTTCTGAATGCCATATTAGTTTCTTCCGGAAATTTTTAACGAAAAATATGTGGGCTTAGGCTTGTCTTGGATGTAATATTAAAAATACCGAATAGGTCCAAGGAAATGGAGAAAAAGGTCATAAAGATAGATTTATACTGCATTTGAAAGTTAGTGGAATTCTCTGAGCTATCATCTTTTGATCTAGCAGATCAGAGAAACGCCACAATTAGGTGCGACTTTCCTGACTTGATTGACATCTGGATTGAAATTTGATGCTGTACATGTTAGATCCCAACACATCATCTTATTCCTACTTAACGTTGTTTTCCTTCTCTAGAATTAGCAACGTTATCAAAATGATAAAATAGAACTTGCACTAAATTTTTAAGGATTCAATTTGCTATTTTTGTCTCTTACTAATCTCTATCACGCCAACAACCTGTACTCATGTGGATATCTGTTTGTATCATTTACAGTCATTGGTGTTTTTTTTTTGTTTTTTTTTTTGATAATTAAAGAAACATAACCTCGGTATTCAGTTAGTGAGTTACGGTAACTCTATGTCCTGTTAGAACCAATACACTTCCAACCATTTTGCTCATATTTATTCCCCATCAAACCAAAGTAGAAATTAAATAATCGGTGACAAAATAGTCTTTATCTATATGACTATGCATCAATTGTACTACTTCCCGATGCCTTCTTATTGGGCAATTTACATGGTGTGGTTCACTATATATGGTACACTTATCTAATTAATACAATCTAATTATGAAATGAAAAATTAAGAAATTTTATTAAATCAATTCATTCTCTTTCATCATATAATTTCTCATATCATGCTTTTAAATATAACAGAAATAATATTTCAATAATTTTGTAACTCTTTCTTCTATTCATAATTACTGATGTAGTTTGAAATTAGAAACAATTTTAATTTAATAAAAAATCATGAAATTTTGATATATATGTTATGAAAAACATTATTATAACTCATGAATTTTTCATATAATGAGTATGAACTATGAATATAAGGATTTTTAAATATTTTATTAATATTTTTATTTTTTATATGAAAATTTACATAATTCCCATAAACATTATTTTATATGGTATGAATGTAGACTGCTTATTTCCATTACTCTTTCGATTCTCTAAAAAGATTGTGAAATTTGGATACACATGATATGATATGAAAAGTATCACTGCTTTTCATGAATATTTCAGGAAAAAAATATGAACATTTATTGTACATATGATTAATTTTTTGAAATTTCTCTAATTTGTATGAATATTTAGTATAATCTTCATGAATAATCATAGTTGTATGTATGAATATAAGATTAAAAATATTACATCCTTTAATTTGTAATTATGTGTACAATTTTTTAATTAAAAGATATGATTTTTTTATATATATATTTGATATGAAAAATATGTTTACCATTAATGAATTTTACATTATATGATTATGAACCTTTAATTTTTGTATAAATAGAAGTATATTAATAAATAAATATTTCTTCCTTTTTGTATTTTTTTTGTAATCACGTAATTAGTTTGAATACATGATATATGATATTAAATATGGAAAGAAGATTGACTAATTTAATACTAGTAATATTTTAATTAATAATTTATTCTTTAAATAACTTCTATTAATTAGATTAGTGCACCATGTATGGTGAACCATGTTGCACGATATCGGTTCTTATTGAGGTTATATCTCGTCACACGTGCATAAATAATAATTTTCACTTTCCAAAACCGAAAGCCTATAATAATAAAAAAATTTAAAAGAGGGATGGGAAAGTAATTATCATAATTATGATATAGCAACTTGCAAACAAAGGAAACCCCTCCGACTATATTGATCAGGTGCAAAACTACCCTAAAACTCCTATATCGCGTACCATCTCTGAATTGTCGCGGTCAACTGATAATGTTTCTGGTTTCTTTACTTTCTCGCCTCTCGCGTTTGGACTTTGGACAGGAGTGGCGAACTATTAAAAAAAAAAAAAAACTGTATGATCCTCATTCTGTTAATTCTTTTAATCTAAGTTTTGTTCAAAAAGCACTTTTAACAGACTCTGTTTGGTGTTGGTTTGACCTGCGCGTATCATGGAACCGCATTAATTAACACGCCAAGTTCATTGCCTGAATATTGTGTCCTAATGGATAACGGCCGGTTGATTGCCATTTTCGTGCTTTTCCTTAGTTCTTTCTACATCATCCATTTTCAGACTGCAAATCAGGGATTTGTTTGTTCTAAACAATTCGTCTTATGCACCACGAGAGCTTTGATCCGTCAATAAGTTCCATTACGTTGACCCCATTTTATATGACCTGCACTGGGTTCACACAGGCCTAAAGCATCATGCCAGCTTCCAATGATTCATTATTTTAAAGAGACGGAGTATTAGTAATCATTGCTTAAGAGATTGAATAATATAAAGTAAACTTGTTATCTGTATTCCTAGGGTGTGATCGGCATTTCCTTTTTTATTATTATGATCTAACTCGATAATCCAAACTTCAGTGTCAACCCATTACATTTTCTGCGTATCCTAATTCTCTGGGATCCACTCTTACTCGTTACAGCCTAGCCAGATGCAGCATTAAATACATGCAGTACATCTGTTCATCACGAATATACTAGAAAACAAGCAACTAGCTCGCTTTGGTAGGCTTTTGATAATTGTCTTCCTTTTTGAAACTTGGAATTTCAGATCAGGAGATGGAAGTACCTCTGCTTACAGAAAATACGCATGAGTCGAATAGGGCCTTCCCAACATGGGATTTAATTGGGCCAGAAATGAAGAGGATTTGCTATCTTGCAATTCCATTGGGGGTAGCATCTGTGTCACAGTACCTAATGCGGGTAACAGCGATGATGATGGTTGGCCATCTCAGTGAACTCCAACTCGCTGGCACTTCCATCGCTACTTCCATCACCAATGTCACCGGCTTTAGCCTATTGGTACTGTAAACTTTTGATTTTATATGTTTTTTGGTCCGATCTTTTCTATGGATCTTGTTTATTTTTATCTCCGTTGCATAATTGTATCCACCAAAGATGTATGATTGCAAATTGCATTAAGATATGACTGATTCAGTGACGTCGGTTTCATTCTGAGCAGTTTGGAATGTCTACTGCCCTGGAAACTCTGTGTGGCCAAGCTTATGGAGCAAGGGTTTACCACAAATTGGGAATTTATACTAATGCCGCCATCGTATCTCTGGTCTTGGCCTGCATTCCAATTTCTATATTATGGATCTTCATTGAAAAACTACTTGTATTGATGGGTCAAGACCCTATGATTTCTGCTGAAGCCGGAAGATATGCAATTTGGCTGATTCCAACTCTGTTTCCAAGTGCTATTCTTCAAGCACTGGTTCGATACTTGCAGTCTCAGAGCTTGATCTACCCAATGCTATTAAGCTCAGTAGCAGCTTTACTCTTCCATGTTCCCGTTTGTTGGGCTTTAGTGTTTTACTTCAAATTAGGAAATGCTGGAGCTGCTTTGGCGATCGGATTATCTTACTGGTTCAATGTTATACTACTATTAATGTATGTCATGTCTGCAGCAGCCTTTGAGAAGACCCGAATCCATTTCTCGAAAGATGTTTTCTTAAGTACATGGGAATTCTTCAAACTTGCGGTTCCTTCTGCTGTTATGGTCTGGTAAGTGGTAATTTTTCTGAAATTATCATACATGCTCTTGATAGTTGATTGTGAAAATTAAGGGGAAAAATAGTACTTCAATCGGGCTGATTTATTACTACTTATTACCAGTCTTCAATGGTGGACATATGAGATTGTGATCCTACTTTCTGGACTTTTACCCAATCCTCAACTCGAGACTTCAGTGCAATCAATCTGGTACATCTCTTGTTGTTTTCTTCTTCCTCCCTTTTTTAGCTCTATGATGACTGTAAACTCCCAATCTCATCCTCTGTTTGCCTTTGCAAAAAAACAGTCTCCTCATTGCTTCATTGCATTACTACGTACCGTACTCCTTTGGCGCTGCTGCAAGGTTCGTCCTTGTGTTATTTATCCACTTAACGATTTGATAACTCTTTCAATTAGTACAACATGTGAAGACCATTATATGATACGTTTGCAGCACTCGAGTTTCCAACGAGCTCGGTGCCGGGAATCCAAGCGCAGCAACAATGGCGGTCCTGGCTGCGATTACAATTTCGATGGCGGAAGTGATCATCGCATCTGGAGTTCTATTTGGCTGCCGCAATATTCTGGGATATGCATTCAGCGACGAGATAGAAGTGGTGAACTATCTGATGAAAATGTCTCCTTTGATTTGCCTTATGCTTATAATGGATGCCATTCAAAGAGTTCTTTCCGGTATGTTATGTTTTCCTCTGCTTTTCTTGCCAAATTTTCTGACTCATATTAAAACGAGAACCCTGATTGGGAGAATTCATAGCATTCCCTTCAAGATTGATACGAGATTAGCTCGTAAAAGCAATTTGATTTTACAGTTTTTCATAATTTTTTTGGTGGGATGATGAATGGCAGGAGTTGCAAGAGGATGCGGATGGCAGCAAATAGGAGCGTATGTGAATTTTGGGGCGTATTATTTGGTGGGAATCCCGCTGGCCATTGTGTTGGGTTTCGTGATTCACTTGAAGGGGCCTGGGCTATGGATTGGACTAAATGCAGGATCAGTTGTGCAAACTACTATATATGGTCTGGTTACATGTTTCACTAATTGGGAAAAACAGGTTCGTAACATTCAGCAAAAGTGTTTGCACTGATCATGATGATGAAGATGAATTCATGTATTTACAACTAAACCATATAAACTCTTTCCTGTTGTAAAAAATGCAGGCCAATTCTGCTCGTGCTAGAGTATTTGGTGCAGTTAGCCCAACAGACGATGAATCCAAATTAGTACCTTGACCAATTCTATGTCTGGTAGAGGTGGCGCGCACCTTAATTATATTCGTAGTTGTCTGATTTTTTGGCTTTGATGATGTAAAATTTTGTTTTTCTGCCGGGCTAATCTCCAACCATTTTTCCGGAAAAACTAGCAAAAGTAGTGACCGGAAGTTGAGAAGTTGGGACACGTGACGAGCCCTTCATCTGCCGAGCTTGATTTCCTTTATCTTAACATTTTGAGATATAGGATGATGATCACCACAGTTGTTTAGTCCAGACTTCTGAAAACTCCTAGTTTAACATTGCTGTCAATATGAAGATTTTTTTATATGGCTTTCTTTTGTCGTGTGATTAAAATATGATATTATACGTATATATACTCCACTGGAAGTCAGCGTGATTGCTCCATTTCCATTCGCTCTTTCTTTTCTTTTCTTTTCTTTTTTTTCCCTTTTATGTCGGGTCGGGCGAAACAATAAGAATATCACATCTCATATACAATTGGAAAATAGAGTTTTTTTACCCAAATAATTTTCAATGAAAAGACCTAGACAAAAATATATGTTCTGGAGTAATCTAGACAAATCTAGTTGTTTCAAATTTGGCTACATAGATTTGGATTTGGCAAATCCGAATCTCCTTATAACATAATTGTCTGATGCATCATTTCTATTAGGTAGATTCGGATGTGCCAAATTCGAATCCTTTCGAATTCGCCAAATCCGTGACAACTAGTTTTGTCCACTTAAAATAGAAAAAAATTATATTTGTTCACATCTTTTTTTGGAAATTTTTTTGGCCGAAGCTCCCAAAACTTATAGAAAATGTGATATAGCCACTCTTTTGAGAATTATATTGTCAAAACTATACAATAAATTAGACTACTGAAATTCAAAGCAGGGAGAACACAAGTAGTGTTTTTCAATGTTAAAAATGGATTTCTTGGTAAAAAAAAAAAAAGTTAAAACAAACGATAGCCCAAAATCATACTCTCTCTCTTCAAAAAAAAAAAAATTTATACATATTAAGTTTTCAATTTGCACTAAAAATAGTACTCCCTCCATTCCAAAATAAGTGTTATTAGATAACCTGTATACAGTTTAAGAAATACTTAATTAAATTGCTGGAATATCCTAAACTAACCTCATTAAATAAATACTTCCCAATAACACTATTTCTTTTGAGGATAAGTTTGGAAATTTTAGATAAAAAGTGCATTTGTAATAAAAAAAATGACACTTATTTTGAAATTTTTTTATTTTACTAAAACGACACTTAATTTGGAATAGAAGGAGCATAAAACTAAAAACTCAATTTGGAGTCAAGTGTGGACTATTTTTTTTGGAATAGAGGTTTTAGTATAAAATTGACAACTCAGTGTGGACTATTTTTTGGTAGTATATATTCATTCCATCCCCTTACAGATTCCGTGCAAAAAAACACAATGAATATTCTAGATGGATAAACAAAAGAGATGGAGGTAAGTAATAATATTCAGATTCTTCCAACCAATAAAATAAAATAAAATAAAATAAAAACTAAATTCATATACCAATTTGCAAACGAACCCCCTCAGACTAGAAGGCACCAAAACTCCTGTTTCTGTGGTGTTGGGACGGGGTCAACTGGTCATGTTTCTCGTGTTTGGACTTTGGACGGAGTGGCGAACAATTAAGTGATTAACAAAAACTGTATGATCCTCGTGCTCTTAATACGTACGTAATTAAGTTGGTTCAAAAAGTAGTTTAAAAACACACTTTGGTTTGGTTTGACCCGCGTATCATGGATCACATTAACACGCCATATTAGGTCCGATTGTGTCCTAATGAAATTTTGCCTTTTTCGTGTTTTTCTTTAATGTATTTCTTTCTACATCACCCATTTCAGACAGCAATTCAGCCATTTTATTGTTGCAAACAATATTTTCTCGTATGCAATTAACTCCGTCAAAACTTCCACTACGTCGATTCAGACCAATAACAACATCATGCCAGCTTCTGATGTTTTGATATTCTAATAAAATATATGAATAATGATCATTGTTTCATACATTAAATAATCAAAAGTAAACCTTACTTGTAAACCTGAGGAATGTTCTTAATCCTCTACTCCCAATCATAGTTGAGTTTTGGTCAATGTGATCGACATTTTTTAGTTTTATTATTAAACTCGATTAGCTCGAGTTCAAACCGAAGAGTCGTCTGATTGGTGTGTCCAAATTGCTAGTTACTGGACAAGATATATGTATCTCAGATTCAGCATTATAAATTCCACCACTCAAGAATTGTTCATTCAGCGCATAGAAAAACAATCTGATACAAGTGTTCCTGTTGAGATTTAACACTTTTTTTTGGTCACTGAAATGGAAGTGCCTCTGGTAGAAGCCAAGTTTCAGAGGAAAAGGGTTGTCCCAACATGGGATTTGTTTGTGCCGGAATTGAAGCGGGCTAGCTATATCGCCGTACCAATGGCGGTGGCTACCGTATCACAGTACCTAATGCGGTTTACATCGATGATGATGGTGGGTCATCTTAGTGAACTCCAACTCGCCGGAACTTCAATTACTACTTCCATCACCAATGTCACCGGCTTCAGTCTCCTTGTAATTAAACATCTGTTTAATTTTTTAACAATCTTCTTTTTTTTTTTCTCAATTGTCTGTTGGTTATTGTTTTCCAAAAATGTACAACTCTGATTCAGTGTCATTTTTTATGAGCAGTTTGGAATGGCTAGTGCTCTGGAAACACTCTGTGGGCAAGCTTATGGAGCAGGGGTTTACCACAAATTGGGAATTTTTACCTATGCATCTATAATATCTCTTATCTTGGCCTGCGTACCGATATCCATATTGTGGATCTTTATGGAGAAACTACTAGTATTGATGGGTCAAGATCCTCTGATTTCCGCTGAAGCTGGAAGATACGCAATCTGGCTCATACCAACTCTGTTTCCGTATGCTGTTCTTCAATCCCTGATCCGATACTTGCAGTCTCAGAGCAAGATCATCCCAATGGTAATAAGCTCTGTTGCTGCTCTGTGTTTCCATTTGCCTGTTTGCTGGGCTTTAGTGTTTTACTTCAAACTGGAAAATGCCGGAGCTGCTATAGCTATTGGGTTATCATATTGGTTCAACGTGGCACTACTGTTCTGGTATGTGAATTATGCAGCTTACTTCGAGAAGACCCGAATCTGTTTCTCGAAAGATGTTTTGTCAAGTGTTGGGGAATTCTTCAAACTTGCGGTTCCTTCACAGTTATGATATGGTAAAAGTTCTGTCGTCCTTTTATGCACTGTTGACTCTTGATTTCTGCTATATTCGTCAATATATGGAAGGTTCTAATTCATATTACAACTTGCAGTCTTCAATGGTGGACGTATGAGATTGTGATCTTACTTTCTGGACTTTTGCCGAATCCCCAACTCGAAACTTCAGTTCTTTCCATTTGGTATATGCCTTTTTGCCTTTTCCCTTTTTGCTTAATGATGGTTAAGTTTCAGATTGTGTAGCCCAAAACTAATTGCTTATGTTTTCGTTGAAAATTACAGCCTCCTGATTGCTTCAGTGCATTACTACGTACCATACTCTTTGGGTGCTGCAGCAAGGTTTATATTGATCCTCTTTAAGTAAAAAAACAATGATTTGATGTGTGTGTGGAGTGGATTATTGACATTTTAAGCACGTTTTACAGCACTCGGGTTTCAAATGAACTTGGAGCCGGGAATCCAGAGGCGGGAAAAGTGGCTGTATTGGCTGCGATTTCGATTTCAGTGGCGGAAGCGATGATGGCATCCGCTGCGCTTTTCGGGTGCCGGAACGTAGTGGGATACGCATTCAGTGATGAGATAGAAGTAGTGAAGTATCTCAACAAACTGTCTCCATCGATTTGCCTTGTGCTTATGCTGGATGGCCTACAAAGAGTTCTCTCTGGTTTGCTTTTGCTGACCACATACTTCCTCTTCAATTACATCAGGTTATGAATCTTTTTCTGTGCAAAATTTGGCATAAGCTTAATTCATTTTGGGGTTTGATGCAGGAGTTGCAAGAGGATGTGGATGGCAGAGATTAGGAGCATACATCAATTTCGGGGCATTTTATTTTGTCGGAATCCCGGTGGCGGTTGTGTTGGGTTTTGTTGTTGACTTGAAAGGGTCTGGGCTTTGGATAGGTCTAAATGCTGGATCAATTGTGCAATCTGTGTTTTATGGTCTGATTACCAGTTTCACTAACTGGGAAAAACAGGTTCTTTTCTGATGTCTCTTCCACTAAAATAGTTGAATTTTTTGTTCTTAATAAAGATTGATTGATGATTTCATGATTGATTGAGCCATCAATACTAAAGTGTCCATATGTTACAAAACGGCAGGCCATTGCTGCTCGTGCAAGAGTTTTGGGTGCAGTTAGCTCGGCAGCAGAAGAAGAAGATTGTGTGGATTCCAGATCACTACCTTGACCGCTTTCTTTATAAGATGCGCCATATGATTAGGAATTTGTGACCACCAATCTTGATTAATCGGCATACTTTAACATTAATTTTCTCTTTTATAGTATCTGAAAATTATTATTCTTTAACATCGTGTAATTTAAAACCAACAAATATATACTTGATGTAATGATGTATTGCAGTATGCCTGTATATTTTCATTTATTATTTTAGGCCCATGTGGCTTCTTTGAGCCCTATGACTTCAAAATTGGGGAAGATTTTCTTTTTATTTTCTTTTTTTTTTTTGGTATAAAAAGAGAATGACCTTAGTTTTTTTTTTTTTCGACAGAAAATTATAGTGTAACTTTCTGCAGGAAACCTATCAATATATTAACCAATTTCAAGGCACTTCATTATATTACTTCCCTTACAAACAAATAATTCAATTTTGAAAACATTGACACAGACATAATGTACGTGCAACTCGTTTATACTTAATGAGTTGATATTTCATTCAATGTATATGTTATATAAATTTATTTATTAAATCTTCTTGCAAGTAACCTGTCGGTTCCAAAAAAAAATGTTCACATTAACTGCAAAATTCAAAATTTAATGTCAGTTGTTGTTGCTATTATTATTATTATTATTATTATTATTATTATTATTATTATTATTATTATTATTTTGGGCACAGAGAGTATTGCTTATTGATTGTCCTTATTCCTTAAGAATGTGAAAATTCAATTAATGTTCAACTACCTATGAAATCTCCATTTAATGAAAATATAGACAGTTTCTAAAGGTAAAATTAAGATGTCATGTTGCGCTGATATTACCAATAAATAAATAAATAAATAATAGAAGAAGTAAAATATGGTCAAAACTCAGAAGCATTTTGGGACCTTAATTAATGATTATTGTGATTACTCCGACAAACTGTACAATCCCTTGAATAACTAATAAACTACTATACATAAAGCAGCAAAATACCCCCAAAATGTGAAAAGTATATGTTTAGGGCCAATCAATTATGCCCTAATACCGTATATTCTTCTTGAGGTCTCTCTATTTGCATCTATCCAAGATTTCTTCTCAAACAAAAGTAAAATAGATGCTCTAAGAGTTCAATGTCGATCTATCGCTGAATTGGGGAAGAGGCTTAATTTCCAGTTTATCAGCCTCAGAAATGGCTGATAGAAAGATTTGGACCATCCTCCCAAGGGTTCAGCAACCACTGCTGAAATTTAGACTTAAAATGGATCATACTCTATCCGTCTGAAGACAAATGATTGTTATAATAAACAACACAATCAAAAAAATCTATTTCAGCTATAAACAATGTGAAAAGATCATGTGACAGTTTACTGCTTCAAGTATAAACATTATCATATGTTAAGGTATATGATGTGTTTCCCCAAAGAAAATAATTTGCAGAGGATTGATTGTCACGGAAGTTCTTAATGGATCGAACTTCTTGATATCAATGGACCAAAAAAAAAAGTTATAATTAGCACTCCCACCATCCCACGAAAATAAATCTAAATTATAATCTGCGAATTCTACTAAAAATAATACAATTCAAACATTGTAATGTGAATTATTTTTGCGGAATAGAAGACTACTTTACATTCACGAGCACCAAATCAATAAAACAACTCCCAAATCCAGCAATACTCTAAGTTGAAGTTTCGCCTGGGATAGCTTTGATGGCACTTTGTTTGACTGAATGACAGCTAGCTGCTTCCGTCTATAAGTAACTAGCTAGGGAAGCTCAGACTTGCTCAACCAGAATCCTCGACTTTCTTAAACATGCAAGGTTTGTCAATTTATTTTTAGTTACAAAATTGAGAAAGAATTCCACTTTGTTTGTTAATTTATATCTTGAAAACAATAAATCACAAATATGTATATAGAAAAAATTGCAAATTAAGGAGTTGATTAATTACCTCACGAGCTGATGGCAGCAGGATTCTCTCGTAGAGATCCAAAGTGTAACATCTATAACAGTAATTAAGATGCTGTTGAAGAGTAGAACAATCTATAACACTGATATAGCCAATAAGCATAATGAAATCAAGCATTTTGTTCAGATCTGAATTTATCATCAGTCTTTAAAACCCCATAAATTAAACGAGACATAAACGGAATTATAACCATAAAATGCAAAAAAAAAATAAAATACTATGTACTCTATATGTATGAAAATGAATTAAAAATTTTGATTAGATATAAGGAGGCCGAGGGTGATGACAGAAGACTAGAGAGCACAAAGGATTAAGATGCAGTCATTTTGCATGCCCATCATCAGTGCTCTCTATCTTCTGTCAACAGCTTCACCACTCTTTAAAAAGCCTCCCTTTTGATTAATTGTGTGTTTTAAAATGCTTAACACAATGATGGTTGACCTCCTGGAGCTGGGCTATTGCTAGATCTCGCCGCTGCGGAACAAAAAATCTAGGGTTTCTGAGAAGGCTTTTGTAGGAGAGGAAATTTGCAAACATCAATAATGCTTCTTTTCTCACAAATATTTGAATAAATTGCACTCCATATATATATATTTTCTTTATAGAGCTTAGGGATCAAGTACTAACAGCTAGCTGCTGAAGAAGAAGAAGAAGAAGAAGAAAGGCTTGAAAGGGGAAAAAACTACTTAACTACGACTTGTAGAACTTGGAATGGGATGACAGACTAGATCCTATAGCACCTCTATTTATAGGGGGCAAAGGTACATACCTTTATTTAGACCTAAAATGGAGCGTTTCTTTCAGTTTCTGTAGTTCTGTTTAGGGTCACTTTTTTTACTAACAACAATTGACTAAAGCAAGCTTAATCTGACTAAAGCAGGCTTAAATGTGAGCGGAAAGTACTTATAAATAGGGTAGATGTGGGATAAACAGCAACAGATAATCCAATTACATAATCCATTTTTAGGTAATTGACTCATACGTCAGATAAAGATTACTTGTCTAATCAAATTAAGTTTCGAATAACTGAATAGGAATTGAGAACATATCTTGCATTAGAGTAATTAATATATATTAATCTATAAAAGATCGTACTACGAATCTCCTGGTGTTCTCTCTTTTACTGACGCGAAAAAACACGGAATAAGAGCTCCTCGTTAATTTTACAGCTAGCAATAATTCTAGATTTCAAGGTCATATGGGGTGATGCAGCTCAGCAGCAAGAAAGATTCTTGATTCTCTAAGAGCATTTTAACTACTCCGATTTTAATACGTAACTCCGACATTTCCATTATCTCTTGTTTGTTTTCCGGTTGGAAAGGAACTTCTTTCTCGAAAACAGCATTCTAAGCTGATCTAAAGGATAATCTTAACAATTATTGGTTGGTATCTATGTTGTGCTGCACTACTTAGTCCTGCTTTCTTTCCTCATGAGGGTTTTCATCTTTTGTCCAAGATATTCCAAAATAGGAGTGGTACCAGTAGCTTAACAAACATCATTTCAATATTATATACTTAAAATCATTAACTTTCCAAAAGCTTTCAAACTCCCAGAGGATTAATTTTGACACTCATTGGGAACATAGTGTAACGCCCCAACTGCGAGCTTCGTCCCAATAATTATATGGGAACTCATACTTAAAATGGCTAACCCAAGTTATTAGTAAACAAATATATGTTGCTTATAAAGTGGTTACTAGCTTGCTTGAAAAGCCTGTTTGGGAGGTCATCACACATACTATGTATGGAATCTGAGCAAATTAATGTCGACATTCATTCACAGCTAGTCAACAGTAACTCCTTCATAGCTGGCCATCTTGAAGATAAGTTCACAATACTATATCCTGACTAGGTTAAATCAATGTGCACCACATTCTGGGCTTTTTAGCCGCAATCATGTGTGATATGTTTCGTCTTCATGATTGAGTATAAAAGAACGATCTTCAAACCTTCTGGCTCTTATCTTTTGTTAGTGCTAGATTAGGTCGCCTTTGCTGAGCCAAATTGGTTCAGTTTGAAACCTAACTGGTTTTTTCAAAAATGTGCAACTTTTCAACTTGCATTGTGTTTAATGGTTTGCAAGAATAATTCTTGCGCGCAGATGCCAGCATATCTATTTTTGAATAAAGCTAGGTCAAGAGATTTTTTTCCCTTTCTTCTTTTCCTCTTGGGACACAAACATTATTAAAGTATGATATCTGATCTGCGGTGTGCTAAGAGATTAGCAGGCATTAATTGGGGAGTGCAAGTTGCCAAGAAGCATGGAGACGCTAGAAATTTCAATTCCCTAAAGGGGCAAAGACTATAATAAAAAGTGGATGCAAACTTGGAGAATCCCCCTTCACATATGCCTTATCAAGTAAACTAAAGTAGTAAACCCCCATTCTCCACACAACTTTTCCTTACCATTTTCTTCTCTGTTGGTGTCTCATCATATCAAACAAAAATAAAGGCACAATTCCCTTGGCCCTTGCTCATCCTTACCTTCCACTTGTCATAACCCCATTTCTTCCTTCACCCATTCTAACCTCTCCATCCCCGCATTTCTAGATTTTTTGACAGATTCATCACAGCAAAGAAGTGCACACCATCCTTACAATATTGTGGCACATGCATTATACCTTTATCAATTATATTAAAACATACTTCCTGGAATGGAACCATTCAGATTGTTAATCTGCATATATATGGGAGTTTAACGAGCTCAGAAAACAAACTTCTAAATTAACAAGTTCAAACCTCACTTATACTTTAGATATCAGTTTTTTAGTTTATGTTTTGCTCAAATAGACTTCTCTCGCCGTCTCACGTAAAGAATCGTATCTGTTAAATAGTTATTGTGAGACGGAAGGAGTGCCATATTAAAACAAGAATATAAAAAACTAATGTTATCATTACCAGAATACTACTCCGTCTATTTCTTTATATGCTTTTCAAGAGAATTCATCAAAATCAAGAAAACATTAATTAATATAGTTAAAATATAAAAATACCCTTATTTGTTGTCTATTTATTGTCCATACGATTCATCACAAACTAATAGAAATTAATTATTATAAAT